TTGAATTTATGCCTCACATAAGGAGCTCTTGAGGCAAGAATTTGAATCTCTATCTTTTTTTTCTTATAATGGCTACGATGATTCCACAAATCAAGAGCGTTGTACATTGAGATCATCACCGGCTGGCTGGCTGTCTGACTGGCTGGCTGGCAGGTTTATTTTGTCGATCGGTGGTGGGTAGTCTTTATGTGACTGAGCGCCATCGACGGGTTGTATTAAACCCGACTTGCCATATTTAGTTTAAGGTGTTTTATGACTGCATGACTCGGACACGAGCGTTTGTTACACCCGCACATCGATAGCTTTTGGGACTCAATAATAGGGCCAGAGTGACCGGAAAATCTACGACTACGACCCTCTTTCAACAGACCCTCCATAAATTCAAAAGGCCTCGTAGATGAACTGAAACCGCAGACCCCACCCATGGAACCAAACAGAAATTACACAGATAATTTCGACATTTACATTGAAATGATTTCGATTCGATGCTCCGGGCCGATCTGGAAACCCCCCCTTGGCTAGACACGGAGGGCAAGCCCCCTATGGATCGGACATATCCGATCGGCCTGATGATATTACAACAGTTCCGAGGGAGTCTATGGAAAAACTCAGCCAGCGGGGAACCGCCAGCTGCGGATGAATCAGCAAATGCGGTTTGGGGTCGTACAACTTACAACTGGGTGGGGGTGTGGGTGGGTGTGGGGGCTTGTAAGGCATAGTGTAGTATAGCTATGGTAGTATGTATAAATAGATCGATTCCCACGCCCACGTGTCTATTTCTAGGTCTTGTGTGGCTTTTCTCAGCTCTGTCTCGGTTGCTTCACATGGCATTGCATTGTTGATGGTTTTCCCTCTCTCTGATTGTGCAATTTGGCGAGTTTCCACCTTTTGTTTTCATTTCTTTGGGGCCTCCCCCTCCTCCTTTCTTCAGCCTTTCCCTGCCCGCCCAATCTGTGTTATTTTCCCCCAATAATTACTGACCACTTAGTGGTGTTCCAATTTCTTGCAATTTCTTCCAATTTTCCTGCAATTTTCCTTCAATATTTTTCCTGTTTTTACCGCCTTCTTGCCTTTGGTATTAATATTTTTCTTCCGCAATATACTTATGACCAATTCACTCTTCCCGCCCAACTAAAAATAAATTCCCACACATTCGAAGCTCCCTCAAAGTGTTGGTGCTTCTATATTTGAAAAAAAAAGTACAATTTATAAACATTTCGAACATATTCGCCCATCATTCCACCTCCCCCCCAAAGGCCAGACCCACCTGCTGTGGCAGAGGCACAGTGGGGCAAGAGATACGGCCAATGCTGCTACTACCAGAGTCTGGTCTTCCAACCACTGTCCGGCGGCGTCAACGACTCGTGCGTTCGTTCTAAAATTAAATATTTAAATTTGTTGACTTTACACATTCGGCTGCGCTCCGCCGCCTTTATAATGTTATAAATTTTGGCCATTAAAGCCATCTTTATTTAAATGATTCTCCGATCTACTCCGATCATCGGGAGGATGAGTCGATGCTGATGGAGGAGAAACTAGTTGATGAATCACTGGACGGGGAAAAGGGGACTTAACCGAATCGGCCGTCATCGTTTCGGTTATAGAGTGATAGGGCGGCGATAAGAGCCGACCCTCCCGAAAGATAAATGATAGCGACGATAACACAGCCAGAATCAGCGTAACAACTTCCGGTGGAGTACCCGCGAAAATAACAAAGGGGGAGAGAGTGAGCCGCTCTCTGCTGGGGCACTCTCTCTCTCAGACAGAGGCGAATGGCAATGCCGTCAGCTGGGCAGCTACCACTCTCTCTCTCTAGCTCTCTCTCTCTCTCGCGATCTGGAACAGTGGGTTACAACGAGTTTAAAGTGCTCCCAAGACCTGTACTAATTGTAGTTAATTAATTAGATTATCTTTAATTGTTGTAGACCTAAAAAAATCATAATATAAGAAAGCATAAAGTTTTATTTAATAAATTAACTAGAGAGCTATTTTTAGACCCCCAACCATTTGTATCTTTCACCCATGGTGCAGTGGGAGTATCTCGGTTTGGCGTTCATTCGATTCCGAACGCTTCGCCGCCGCGTACGTGAGCGCGGTTGAAAAAGTTTTCAATTTTTATTTATATTTCGTTCTTGGTGCGCTTTTCCGGATTTATTGCTTCTATAATGTTCAGTACGACGCTCAGTGGCGACTTCGAAGACAAGCTCGACACCAAGTTTAAGACGAGATTGGCGATCGCTGGCTAGGAAGACGACAAAGTAAATCCAAAAGTGCGAGTGCATCTGCGGGATACACTGCGGGGTGCTCTCTTTTACGGTTCGGATTGCGTGACTTTTCATCAATCTCCAATATAAATGCGCAACGTTTTCTTATCGCACGTATCTGTGTATCTGTGAGGTTCGATTGCAGTCAGAAGTAGGTTATGGCAAAAGCCAACTCCGAAACTTGGAGGCTACCAACACGCAACCAACTGTTGCCGCTGCTGCTCTGCTTCCTCTCCAGCCAACAGGTGAGGAGGAGCAGCAGGTGCCACTAGGAGGAGCAGTGTTCTCCAGCTTGTTGTTTGTTTTATCGCCGCCGTGTCACAATTCGGGCTTAATTGAAGCGACAAGCTATTGAAGAGTGTGAATCTCTTCATGCAGCGTCGATATCAACGGTGATGTAATTTGCATAAAAAACCCCACCACCAACATCGCACTCTGCTGGCCGCAGTCTAACCGCATACATAGTTTCTGGTGTAACTTCAGGTTTGGAGCTCCCCCCGTGTGTAGGTTGTAGTTCGATATTATTGCTGAGCACACTTGTTGTTTAGAGTCCCTCGAGTTTGTGATTAAAGCTGCTTGAATTCGATTCGCGTAAATAAATAAATAAATAAATACTGGAAAATGGGTGGCATGCACTGGAAAAATATTTACAATAGAAAGCCTTCAGATACTTCATGAATCAGTTACATCCTTATCAGCAGTCCCCTTCACTGAAATGAGGCCATTCTCCAAAGAATCTGTAATGGAATTCTTTCCAAATCACTGGTGGGTGATTCATATCCATTCCTGATGAAATGACTCTGATCTTTACAAACCAGTTTATGGGAGTCTCTTCCCTAATTTTGTTAAAAATTATACTGAGTTTCTGACATTTGGGTCTTGAAGAGCATCTATGTAAGCATTTAATAGCTAGTTTCTGTTTGATTTCGATTTTGAGAACCGGCGGCAAATGCCTTAAATGCCGCAGACGCCCACAGAATTATGGCTAGGTGCTGGTGCTGAGTGACTGCCTCGAGATTATGGTCTCGAAGATAACTATAGCCACTATAGCTAGCTCGGTTGGCAGTGAAATTCAAGTCACTGGTCTCCCACTGCCCCTGCTCCCCGGCATCCTGGTTAGTTACCTGCCACCTGGCCACCCCCTTTGGCTGTTGTCGCCGCTGACGTGTGTGTGTCATGCGGATGGCTGGCTGGCTGGCTGACTGGCTGGCCAGCAGAGACGTCAGCAGCAGCGTCGTCATTTGCTGCTTTTAGACAATGCTACAAGTTCCTACACCTACGACCTAGAATTTGCCGAATATGTCAACAGGTATATAGCCAGGCAGAGCGAATAAACGACTCACACCAGCGGCCGGCTATATCTCAGCTTAATATACGTATCTATCTATCTATAAGATTCTATATAGTCGTATATAAACAGCAACATGTTGGTATAAAGGGGAGATTCATTAAAATTTATGTTATTTATTTATTTTCTCCCCGAAATTCGTTTTCAATTGTATCTATAATCTTCAGTGGGACTATAAGATACATTAGAATTCGCGCCAACGGTTTGTAGCACCTGTTGCAAGGCCACTCTACAGCCATCCCTGTCGCTCCTGATTGCAGCATGCGCACTGGGCCACTCCCGGCCTGAAAAGGGAAATTGTCTGATGGCCAACACGGTGGTTCCATGGTGTAATGGTTAGCACTCTGGACTCTGAATCCAGCGATCCGAGTTCAAATCTCGGTGGAACCTGGCTTGCAGCTATTATTTTGAAGAAGTTGCATCGAAAAGATATATATTTTTAATCAAGTTATTATTAAAAGATACTATTATTATTAGTTTCATCTTTTCCACGCGTGTCTGGTGCTAATAGACGGATTTATTTGACGTCCACGCACACGCACCGCATCGAAGGCCATAAATTAGATCACAAAAATGCGAAAAAATGTGTAAGACATGAGGCTCTGTATGTGGCTAAGTGATTTGGCTCATTTGGGGGCTCAACTGTGCCCCAAAGAACCTCAAAACACAACCCACATGATACCACTTCCAGCCAAAGTTGGTCAGTCGAACAACAAGTTTTGAAGTTTGGAACTCACTTTGAGATTGGCCGCAAGTGCCAGTGCCAGTGCCAGTGCCGATGCCGATGCCGGTATTTGTATGTAAATTGTCGTGTCACTTGCCGGAGGGCTAATTTGGACAAAGCGCAGGCACTTTCCTCTGCCACATGTGGCAACAACAACAACTCGCGCATGAAATCAAGCCAAATTGTGTCAAGGGGCTGCCTGGCAACAATACAAATTAAATAAAATTAGCGACTATTTTGCACGGTGGGTTGGTGTGGAGGGGGTGGCGCTTCAGCTTCAGCTTCAGCAAACGCTTGAGTAACTTTGCCCCAAAACTTGCGCCCTCCCCCCTTCTCCATCTGCTAGCTGGCCCCGTCTCTGTCTTTCGCCAGGTTGCGTGTGTGGGCGATGGCATAATGAGGTTTTCGAACGACATTGAACTCGAAAAGTGTCGGGCGGGCGAGCAACCCAAGCTGCCTTTGACTTTGCCCTCGCCTTCGCCCCGCTTCCCAACGATCTACGAGTGTGTGCTTGGGTTTGTTTATATTTTCTATTTCGCCTTTGGCTTCTCTGCAAAAAAATATCAAAAAAACCAGACCAGATATTGAGTTCTGCCGACTGCTCGGTAACTGATCACCACAGCCCTTTGCTAACCAAGCCCTCTGTTTATTTGTGTTCCTGCAGACGCCCCAAGGAGCACCATCGCATTGGATTGCAATTTGTGCTGGCCCAGCAACCAACTGAAACAACAAGCCCCCCAATCAGAGATCACAGACTAGCTGCCCCACATCTGGACCATGGTGGACTACTACAAAGTTTTGGATGTGCCGCGCACAGCCACCGACAGTGAAGTGAAGAAAGCGTAAGTGGCTATTATGGGTTATATTATATTATTTATTTATTTGAAAACCCTTTCCTTTAGATATCGCAAACTAGCATTGAAATGGCATCCAGACAAAAACCCCGACAACCTGGACGAGGCCAACAAACGCTTCCGCGAACTATCCGAAGCCTACGAAGTCCTGTCCGACGGTAAGTTCTAGTGGCCATCCTGCCAGTATCCATTATCTCCCATCCCAGAAAAATGAGAAACATTCGGGGGTCATGTTTATATTGTGTACTTAGCCCGTAAGCGCAGGATCTACGACTCCCGGGCCACTCTCCACAAGTCCTCGGCAAGCAGCAGCAGCAACAGCAGCTCCTACTCCCGCTACCGCAGCGGAGGAACCACCGGCTATGGTCGGGACTACGATTACGACTACTACCCGGGCTCTGGATATGGGTCTGGGTCTGGGTCCGGACGACGGTCCGGCAACCGCTACCAAGCCTTCACCTTCCGTAACCTCTTCGAGGGGACACCGTTTCACAAGGTCTTCGGTAAAGCCAAAAGCTGACGCGTTGCATTGTTTGGTTACTTTGTTCTTGCTGACTGACCCCTAAGGCGCACGACGTTCTTGTTCTATTATTTGTGTCTGCAACTAAACGCCCTTCTTAGTGAAAGCTAATCCCGGCAGCTGTTCTATACTAACAGTAGACACAGTACCTAGTACTTCCCAACTAATCAAAGACTATCCTTTCCGATCCACAGAGAAGAAACGTCGTATCTACGATGAGTACGGCAAGGATGGACTGGGAGACCGTGGTCAGAGCCGCTCGCACACCCGCCACCACTACAACACCCACGACTTTGACGACTTCGACATAATGGGTGGCTTTCCGTTCGTCTTCCGACCCCCCGAGGAGGTCTTTCGTGAGTTCTTCGGCGTGAACTCGCCCTTTGCCGATTTCTTCAGGGGTAAGTTGATTGAGAGTTCCCCCCCTTTTGAAAACAACTAACCTGTGTGGAGTTCCAGATGCCAATGGATACTCGAACGGCAGCACGAGTGGATCGAGCAGCAGTCGACGCCATGGCGGCACCAGTGGCGGCATAGGAGCCTCCCGCCACCACCATCACCACCAGCACAAATTGGCCAATCCGTTTGGAGCACCCATGCTCAACTACTCGATGATGGACTTCTTCATGCCCACCAGCGGCTTCACCTCGTTCTCGTCCATGACCAGCAGCAATGGCAGCAGCGGCGTCACCCACATCTCTGGAGGGCCCAGTGCGGGCGTCAAGCGCACCTCCACCTCAACGGTGTTCGTCAATGGCAAGAAACTGATGACCAAAAAGTAGGCTATTCCTTCAACCAATAATAAGAAAAATGTCTCATGTTTGTTATTCTCCATACAGGGTCGTCGAAAATGGCAAGGAAACTGTCTTTTCATACGAAAATGATGTCCTTAAATCAAAGACTGTGAACGGAGTTTCCCAAAAGCTCTCTTCAATAGCTAATTAATCAAGAAAACTTACGCATAATATCGATATGAGCAACAGCAACAGTAACATCAACAAAAACCAACAAAGAAAAGTCATAAATGTAAAGGAAAACATTAACAAACCAATAGCAACTCGGATTTCTTGAAGAATGCTTCGATAAATGATACGTTAAACCCCTTGTTCTACATTAGAATCTAGTTACTTTTAATGGAAAGAGCGGTAGCAGTAGCGGTATCGAGGAGGAGTAGCACTAATGGAGCAGCAGCAGCAGAAGGAACCAGCAAGTAATGGACCAACAAAAGCTTAGAACCACCATCCAGAGCAAGCGCAGCGGCAGCAGGGAACGACATTAATAATGCACACCAAACCACATCAAAATTCCTTGTTATGGCAAATTATTTTAGAGCGATTTTATTCGAAAACAAAACAAGACGCCTAAAAATTATATAAATACTATAAATAGTTGCGGTGGAAATTAATAAAGACAGCGCCGACCACTAAGAAAAGCCACTAGGAAATCCAATCCAGAAAGGCTTGGGGCGGGGGCACGGTCGTGTTGGGAGCCAATCTTGAGAGCTGTTCATAGCCTGTTCGTGAATATCCTTGGGGGAGTAAATATGTATTTTTCATTGTATGTATGTAGTTATCTTTCTACCATTAGTCACTTAAGTTGCCACAATACTTACTAGGAAGCGATAAAGTTTAAATCATTTGTAATCATGCGAGTAGGGAATTGAGAACGGCGTGATTGTCACTTGCTTGAAATGTAAAAACTATCAAATAAAATATACAACATACTATATAATTCAAAACGACATTAAATGTTTATACATATTTGATAACCTAAACTTTTAATATTTTTAATGCCGTATCCTAGCGTTTAGTCGTTTTTTAAATGCTTAAGACTATTCTCACATAACCTGCAGCCGAATCGGAGAAGAAACATAAACAAATTATCTAACATAATCGCCCCTAATTTAATACCTTGTTTTAGTAGCGCCTGCATAATGAAAATAAATGAAAAACAAAACCAACAAAAATAAGAATATAAAATCCAATGCAAAAAAATAATATTCTTGTGTTTTAATCTCAAACAATTATTTTTAACATATGTATTATATCGGGAAATGGAAAATGCAAGGGAGGCACAATATGACCCACGCCGAAGAGCATATCTTTGTCAATTCTTATCCGATCCTTGAGCGGACTACCTTTATCGATTTGTGGATCGATTCTCCACAAATCTGCATCAAAATCTAGAAACAAATTATATTTTACATTTTTTGTCAAATTTTCTGGGGGACCCCCTGCGAAAGTTCGGAAATGCAGGGGACGCACAATATGAGCCACGCCGAAGAGCATATCTTTGTCAATTCTTATCCGATCCTTGAGCGGACTACCTTTATCGGTTTGTGGATCGATTCTCCACCAATCTGCATCAAAATCTAGAAACAAATTATTTTTTAGATTTTTTGTCAAATTTTCTGGGGGACCCCCTGCGAAAGTTCAGAAATGCAAGGGAGGCACAATGAGACCCACGCCGATGGCCATATCTTTGTCAATTGTTATCCGATCCTTGAGCGGAGTACCTTTATCGATTTGTGGATCGATTCTCCACCAATCTGCATCAAAATCTAGAAACAAATTATTTTTTAGATTTTTTGTCAAATTTTCTAGGGGTCTCCCTGCAAAAGTTGGAAAATGGATGGGAGGCACAATGAGACCCACGCCGATGGCCATATTTATGAATAGATTCTCCACCAATCCCCTATTAAAACAATGAACAATGCATAGAAGGGGCAATATGGACCTTGCCAATACTTGTTTTATTTTGACACATTCTTAAAAATTACAACTTTAAAATAAGTTGCAATTTAAAGTGAGTAATATATGTAAGTTATATACGTTGGCCATCCGTACCCGTTTTTCTCCCGGTTGCATCTATTTGATAGCGCTCGCTGACCTCCAGTATAGTTAGTGAAGTTTTTATAATTATAAAGTCTATATTTGTTTGCATATATAGTTAGGAACTATCTCCTTTAGCAAAGTTAGGAAGATTTCCGAGGCATATTCTGTTTGAAAGTTATATGCGTGGTGTTCTAGCAAATGTTTAATATGTTCGTTATCCTAATCCTCCTGCTACTGCTGTTTCCCAGAAACAGATCATGTTCCTCGACGTCTTCCTCTAGTAATTATAGCTCCCCCTGCTGCTCCTCGTTGGCGAACCAGATCTATTTTTTGCTGGACCCGGTCCATAACAACATAGCGTGGCAGTGGTGACTCTGGTGGGGATCGCAGTCGCTATCGCCGCCTCTACTTCATGCCCCGACGATGCTTAATGGTGCCATCGCATTTCGGGATATGGCGCTGGAGGAAGCCCTGGAACACGAACTGGCGGCCGCAGCGCTCGCAACTGAACCCAGGCTTCTTCTCTTCTTGCTCCTTGTTCTGACGCATTTCCTCCTCGTTGGAGAACTTTTCGCGGCAAGAGTCGCAGGCATAGCGGCGTCTAACCTGGCCAACGTCAAAAACGACGCTAAAGTTTTGGGAGCAGAACGAGCACTTGAACTCCTTGACGATCACCTTCTTGCCACCGTGCTTTGCTCGGAATGCGGCGGCCTCGGCCTCGAGCTTATCCTGGTGCTTGTGCGCCTCCATGTGAGCGGCGAATTTGGACTCCTCAACAAACTTGCTATAGCAACGGAAGCAAGTGTGTATCTGCACACCGGTATGCCGAAGCATGTGCTTTTTTAAGTATCCCTCCGTGCAGAAGACCTTGCCGCACACCTTGCACTGGCGGTTCTCTGCGGGGGCCTCATTACACTGACGCAGACAGGCGCGGTAGTGAAGCTTCAGCGAACCGACAGAATTGTACTTGTTGCTGCAGTTGGGGCAATGGAAGGTCTTTTTGCGAGCATCTCCTGCTTGGACCTTCTGCTCGGCGCCATGATCAACGGTTTCCTCGAAGAAAAGAAATTCAACATCGTCGTTTTCGTACTCAACTTCATGCTTCACGGCGACCATTTCGTCCTTCTTCTGATCCAGTTCCTCGCCGTCATCAACTTCCTTGCCCTTGAAGTCATTAACTTCCTTGTCCTCGACGTCCTTTTCGTGCTGATCATCGTGCATGCTGTTCGGAACGATGCGCAGAATCGTGTGCGTGCCGTCGCCCTGCTCTAAAGTTTCTACCTCCTCGACGGTACTGTTCTCCACTAGCTGTTCCAACGTAATGGGATGGCCGTTCTCGTCGATAACCAGCTCGTGGGCGGTGAGAGTTACCATAGCCGTTTCGGTACCATAGTCCTCGTTGGTAATGTAAGTATAGGTGTACTGAGCTTCACCACCATCTCCAGCGCCGCTTTCGCCATGTGCCGCCACCTTCTCGACCACTTCCGGTTCCTCTTGCAAGATGGCAGGCACAATCTCCTCACTGATCGCCGTCGAGTATTTTATACGATTGGGATTCATTACTATGCGACTCCGACAGACTTACGAGCGGTATAATAATTTAAACTTTAAATGTATCGGTTGTCTATCGATAATCACAAAAGTTAATACCGATAGAAAATATCAGTGTTGGTTAATCCACGGCTCACAGTGCTGCAAACTGCTGATCTTCAGATTTGGGAGCTAAAGGGATTTCTTAGTTTTCGGATTGGAACAAATGGCCTAGCAATGAGTCGCGACAACGAGTCCATGAAGTGGTTCCACGGCAACCTGTCGCGGGAGGCAGCAGACGATCTTCTCAAGCAAGGCGAGTTCAAGAGCCGAGGCTGTTTTCCTGCCCCTTGAAGAAACGAGGAATGTGGGCGTGGTGGACGGGCAATAATCAATTGTTCTTTTGGATCAACAGGTTACGAAGATGGAACATTCCTGGTGCGAGAGAGCAGCACAGCAGCCGGAGACTTTGTATTGAGTTTGCTTTGCCAGGAAGAGGTGTGCCATTACCAAGTCCGACGGCACGGGGGCGAGGACGCCTTTTTCTCCATTGACGACAAGGTGCAAACAAAGATCTTACACGGTCTGGACACCCTTGTGGACTACTACCAGCAGGCCGCCAATGGGCTGCCTACCAAGCTAACAGTGCCTCTGATACGCGATCCTCCGCCGCACAACACCCGAAGCCATGGAGTGACCAACCTGCTCCACCGTGCCACCAGCAAAAATGAGAGCAAGGTGGTCTTTGAACTGCTCAAATGCGGCTATCGTAACTTCGATGCTAAGAACCAGGATGGACAGACGGCCCTTCATTTAGCGGCTCTCCACTCTGACGAGGATATACTCAAACTTTTGTTGGACGCAAAGGTCCAGGTCAATAGTTCCGACTCCTTTGGCAACCAGCCTCTACATGTAAGCTGCCAGCACCCGTTGTTAGGATTCAAACTAATCCAATATCTGTTTCAGTACGCTGCTCGCTCTAAGCCGGCCAACTTTATTCGGACCCTTATCGCTGCACAGGCCAATGTCCAGGGAAGGAACAACGAGAACGGCTACGTGCCCCTTCACGAGGCAGCCAAGTATGGGAATCTAGAGGCAGTGCAGGAACTTTTGCTGGCGGAAGCTCCACCCCTGCCGAGGACCACCATGGGAGAGTTTCCCTTCGATCTTGCCAAGGAAGCGGGTCAGACCGCAGTGGAGGAGTTCCTTCTTAACTACAAGCTGCCCCCAGCCAATACCACAAGGGAACAGTGGTATCACGGCACGCAATCCAGGGAAGAGGCCGTGGCAAATCTCAAGAAGTATGCCAAGGAATTGGAGGCAAAGAATCCGCAAGTAGACACCTCAGGTTGTTTTCTGGTTCGCTATTCTGAGTCGGCAGCGGCCACGGGCTTGGTGCTTACCCTCTTCTGTGACCAAGTGGCTAAGAACTTTCGCATCTCGCAAGCTGATCTCTACCAGAACGGTGTAAAACTACAGTCCGGAGGGGTGAGTTTTCAGAGTTTATTTTTGTGGCAAGCTACTATATCGAAAGTTGTTGTTTCAGTCCAAGTTTCTGTACATCGATGACGGGCCCTACTGGCCCAGCCTGGAACACCTAATAGCCCACTTCATGCGCTTCTCGTATGGGCTCCCCGTAAGCCTAAAGTACCCTGTGCCGCCGCAACCCAAACCTGAAGTTCCCTCGTTTGCCACGATCCCCAGGGCTTTGGTTAAGTCGCGAACAACACCGCCAGCCACGCCTCCTACTCCAACTTCGGCGAATCCTCATCCTCACACCGCTCATCCCCATCCCCCAGTACCAACTATCGCCAAGAAAAAACAGAAAGAAAGTGGTGGCTCGGTGTTTAACACGCTGCGGCTAACCAGTCCCAAGAAGGGCCTTTTCGACATGAACAGTCTCCGGAAGAGCAAGGCCAAAAGCAAACGAAGTGAGTCCGAGAGCAGCGTAAGCGGGTCGGCAGCAAGGTCGGAGCAGGAACTTCAAGCAGCAGCGCCAATGCTGAAGAGTCTTTCGTTTTCCACCGAGTTCTCCGTCTTCAGTGCGGAGGGAGGAGGCGGAATCATTCCTGCTCCGGGAGGAGAACTGTACAACGTCCCCAGGAACAATACGCCCATCGACCTGCCTCCCATTGCCCAAAAGACTGAAGCCGAAGTTGAGTATTTCACCAAGAGTGATGTGGCGATTGAGCGGGAGCGTGCTGGTCAGTGGGCCGCCAACGGCTACCAGCCCACCGTTGAGGTCCTCTCATTGCTGGACCATCAGATCAGAAACCCCGCTCCGGGCCGCCTTCATTCAATCGTTTCTACAGCCTCCACGGAGACCGAAATGGCTAGCTACTTGCAGCGCAAGTGCAGCGGATCCGCCACCACTCCCCCGCCCAGCGCCATAGAGGCGGCTAAACTAAGATTCTTCATCGAGCCGGAGAACCTGGTACTGGAGTGCGAGATAGGAAATGGGGAATTCGGGTCTGTGCACAGCGGTTGGCTGGTGAAGAAGGGAAGTGGCCAGGCTGGTGAGTCTCGGCAGGAAGTGGCCATTAAGATGCTCAGCGACGAGCACAGCAATAAGCAGGAGTTTCTACGCGAGGCTTCGGTGATGATGCGGCTGGAACACAAGTGCATTGTGCGCCTGATTGGCATCTCGAAGGGGGACATGCTGATGATGGTTCAGGAGCTGGCTCCGCTGGGCTCCATGTTGCAGTATCTTCTGGACCACAGCGCTGATATTACGGTCAACACAGAGTTGAAAGTGTGGGCGTCCCAGATTGCTTGTGGTAGGCTTGAAATGAGATCCACCTCTAGCATTTTTCTAATTCTATTCCCTTCTTGAACAGGAATGCACTACCTAGAATCTCAGCACTTTGTTCATCGCGACCTGGCCGCCCGGAATATCCTCTTGACCAGCCGCCATCAGGCCAAGATAAGCGACTTTGGGATGTCGCGATCCCTGAGGCCCGGCAGCACGGAATACCAGTTCACCCAAGGCGGTCGCTGGCCCATCCGCTGGTATGCTCCGGAGAGCTTCAATTTGGGCATCTTCTCGCACGCCAGCGATGTGTGGTCGTTCGGGGTGACCATTTGGGAGATGTTCGCCCTGGGAGCACCGCCATACGGTGAAATTTCCAATGTGGATGCCATCAAGTTGGTGGACAGTGGCGAGCGATTGCAGCAACCCAGCCTCTGTCCCGCGTACATCTACGCCGTGATGCAAAGCTGTTGGAAGGAGCGGCCCAAGGACCGGCCCACTTTCGCCTACCTCATGGAGTTTTTTACCCGTGATCCTGACTACCAGAACCTGCCAGAGCTGGTGCAAACAGTCCACATCTGAGCCACTCCCTCGTCTCCATTAGAGTGCAATTTCCATAGTTATTTCTGGACTCGTTGACCGTATTTGTTATCCCTGTATCCTAGTATTTTGCGAGTTATATTTTTTGTAGAAGTAGTCCTTATCCTTAGAGTATTTTATATGTCTTCTTGTACTGAAGAAGTTTGTGTCAAAAAAGCAAATATGTGCCTTAAAACATTCAACGTAACCAATTCTATTTTAATTGTTATACGAATAAAAAATAAACTAAATATTTTTTATACATTTTTATAAAGTTTTATTGCAAATATTTTTATACAAAACAGTAGTAACAAAGGGATAGTGGTTTTTGTCTTAATACTAGGTTAGTGTAGTGGTTTCTTGGAAGGACTATAAACTATGTTATTGTGTTAGTAAAACTACATAAAATGATATCAGTTGATTAATATATATATATATTTTTTTTAATTTTTTTTTTGTTTGCTAACACAACAGCAACAACAATCATACAGAGCCATTCATGGCCTGTTTCACGTTGGAAGCGTTGACGAGCTTGAGAGCGCCAATGATGCCGTTGAGGTTCTCCTCGTTGTAGGGCTTGCCCTGGAGCGGAGTGACGACTGGCACCACCTGCTCGCTCTGAGGCAACTGAATGCCAATCTCCTTCATCAGTCCCTGAAACAAATAGACAGATTAGAAGTTGAATCTCCAAAGAACGAAGAGAAGCACTTACTCCATCCACTTCCACGCTTAGCTTCAGCTTCATGCCCTGCTCGTCGCCCTTGACATCGAGGTCCTTCTCAACGGTGAACTTTGGCGTCTTTCCAACAACCCAATCCCATGAGCTGTATTGGGCGCGCAGCTCCTCGATGCCCGGGAACCACTTCTCGGTGGGATTGATGAGCTGGAAGCCGCGCTGCTTCATCATCTGAGTCTTGCCGCCATCCTCCAGGGCAGTGGCCACCGTGCGCAGGTACTCGTAGCCCACGGCGGAGCGCAACTGGGCCACGTTCACCGTCCGATTGACGTCCACCAGATTGCGAATGGGGGAGGGCACTGATGCTGTGGCCCGGCTAATATAGTTCGCTGGCTCGCGGACCAAAGACTCGCCCAGATGCAGCTTGTTGGCGCTGGCCAAGATAGTGCAGTGGTGATAACAGTTCGGATGTCCCAGCTTGGCGGCTGTTCCAGAAATCTGTAATAGTTGTTGCTATTTAAACTGGCTCGATCATAAAACAGATGCGCAGCCCAGCTGACGTTGTTGCGGGGCTATCGCAAGGTCGCCGCCTGTGACTGATAAGCGCAAGTGACTCTCTCTCCTGATCCCACTTACCTTCTTGTTCCTCACCACGATGTCGTCGCGCTCATTGATGTCCGCCTTGATGGCCCACTCTCGGAACAAGGCCCTGGTCACTATGTTCAGGTTGTACTTGCGATCGTAGCGCTCCCGGGGCGAAAAAAAGGTGCAGTTCAGGTTGCCCAGATCGTGGTAGACAGCTCCGCCGCCGCTGTTCCTCCTGGCCAAGGTAATGCCGCGCTCCACCAGCCGCGATACGTTGGCCTCGGTGAAGGGGTTCTGGTGGCGTCCAATGACCACACACGGGTCGTTGGCCCACAGCAGCAGGACATGGTGGTGGCTGAAGTCAAAGTTCTTGTACAGCCAGTCCTCCAGCGCCAGATTGGTGAACACATCGCTAGACTGCGAGATGAACACAGACTTCTTAATGTCGGTATCGGGAACAACGGGTGGCGTCTTGGGCTTCTTCGGCTGGGTGGGCTTCGGCGCAGCTACGGGGGGCTCGGCGGTGGCTCCATCGCTGGAGGAGAGGCGCGTGACCTGGCCGCCGGAGGAGAGCAGCAGCCGCAGCTGGCTGGAATTGCGACGCAAGAGTACGCTCATGGCGCGACTGTCGGCTGTTCAGCTGTTTTCTTGCCGGAGCTCTCACAAGGAAGTAATGCGAATTCTGTTGCCAGGTGAACTGAGAGTGCGGCGCAATGCACTTGCAGACGAAACAAGGTCAACGCTGTGGGCAAAAGCTTTTGACGGTTTTTGCGCTTGATGTTACTGTTCTGCCAGCAATTTTCTGATCTCTGCGGTTAGGTTATGTTGTTTTAGGTTCGGGTGTCTTTATGTTCTACGGTAGTATTTGTATTTGCTATTGTATTCGTTTTGGTTTAGATGGCTTTGGTCTCTGCGCTGGACTTTAGACTGAGGCGTTTTTGTTTGCAGCTACGGAGCTGGCGGAGATCAGATACTCGTGAAGGGCGGGCGTTTGATGCAGCCACTTCCAGGTTTGGTGCAGGCCACAGACTCGTTTGCGAAGACCCAGGCAGTCCTTGTTGCCACAGCTCACTGGCATACTACGCTGCACACCCATCCAGTCCAGGTGGGGATTGATTAGATCCGATTCGGTGGGGGCCGCGGCGGGTTTTTGCTAGTCCCGGCCCGTATTCCTTGCTTTCACGGCACAGAAGGGGCAGAAGGGTTTTCTGCCGACTCGAAAATTTTCCACTCTTTGTTCGATACGAGCACGCGGTCGCGGGAGGTGCGGGGGACGATCGTTGATGGGAGGCGGCGGTGGAGCACAAACAAATAGGCAGCAGCAGAGACGAGACTCGTTCGCTAGGCAGTTTGCTTTGGAAAGCACGTCCGTGGGGCTTTCGCTTCAGGTGATTGGGGGGACAGTGTTGTGAGGTCTCCAGTGTTGAAAGGTGTAAGGTAGACGGAGCTTTTGTTGTTTCTTGGAGCCATTCACACCGGACGAGAAGCTGTTTTTGTTTATTTAACCTTCACATGGGTACCTTTTAAGGCGGTACTATTTTAAAATTTAGATAAACAATCATACATATGTAAATATTTAGAAATTTGGGAATAAATTAGGCTTTGCCGGAAACTTTTAATGCATAAAACTAGTCTTAGTTTAATTCTCCTTTTAATTTAAACAATTTACTAAACATATGAAGCTTGCTTGGTGACTCATGTGCTGCCAATGAAGCTTAAAATTTTCAAAACACATTTCAATTTTAAACCCTGGAACATTAATTCGGAGGTCCACCGTTGTTGATGTACGCAGCCTCCTCAGGAGAGATGGGCTTGCGAGCAAATCTAGCCGGAAGATCGTAGTCCTCGATAGCGGGGCCTCCCGCCGCCTAAAAATTATACAATTATATTAACTGTTCAAACCATGAAAGGATTTCGTAGTAAATGGGCTGAAAAGTTAACCTTTTTGCCTCCTGCTGGCTTGGAACTTGCCTGCTGGTTTCCTGCAGCTGGTGCAGAACCTGCACCTCCCTTACGGAAGTGGATGAGTGGCACACGCTTGGCCAGGTTTACGACTGCTGGGCGGACCATTTCGTTTGTGTACCAACTGCCTTTGATTGATTTATTTCTGATTCGAGAAAAATAAATGGAAAGTAAAAGTTACGTCAATAACAGCTGACAACAAACCCGGGCAGGGTTGTTTTGAGAAACCTATCGTTATCGAATCGTTGTGAGTGCTCAAAGGAAAGAAGAAGCATAACAAATATTTTCCGAAAACAAACTAAATTTTCTTTTACAATTTACTTATAATGGAAAAACAGAGTCTATTCCTTGTGAGTATAGGTTACCTTCTGTTTAAGGGTCTTTTTTAATATTGTACAAAGATGGTAGAGAATATAAACACAACGCTACGCTCCTTACCTTATAAAAACGCCGACAAATTTTGATTTTTATGGATATTTACTGGCACTAATCGCACAAAATGTATTTATTGTAGATTTTTCATGAACTAAAATAGTTTTTTGGAAGAAACCCCTTCCGCTAAGGATTGCGGAACATTATTGTTTAACTGGTGAGACGTTCAGGATTTTCCAAGTAATGAATTTGACTGGAGGCGGCGCAGGTCCCCAGGCGGGACCCAACAGCAGCTGCAACATCCCCAACAGCTCCCTCCTTGCTACTGCTCCAGCAGCTGCCACAATGCCGATTGCCCAACTGGCAGACGGCTGGCTAGAGCTAGAATCGGATCCTGGTCTCTTCACCCTTCTTCTAGAGGACTTTGGCTGTAAGTTATATGTCCTTGCCATAGTTTGGACATTTCTCAATCTGTTTCCTCTTTCAGGTCACGATGTACAGGTGGAGGAAGTATACGACCTCCAGAAACCCATCGAGAGTCCCTATGGCTTTATTTTCCTTTTTCGCTGGATCGAAGAGAGAAGGGCTCGACGGAAAATAGTAGAGACCACAGCGGAGATATTCGTCAAGGACGAGGAGGCCATTTCAAGCATCTTCTTCGCCCAGCAGGTGGTGCCCAACAGCTGCGCCACCCACGCTCTACTCTCTGTCCTCTTGAACTGCAACGAAAACAACCTTCAGTTAGGGGACACTCTTAGTCGTCTTAAGGCCCACACAAAGGGCATGAGCCCCGAAAACAAAGGGCTGGCTATTGGCAACACCCCGGAACTAGCCTGCGCCCATAACTCGCACGCCATGCCTCAAGCTAGACGCCGCTTAGAGCGAACAGGAGCTGGCGTCTCCAGTTGCCGTTTCACCGGCGAGGCATTTCACTTCGTAAGCTTTGTGCCCATCAACGGACAACTGTTTGAGCTGGATGGCTTGAAACCATATCCCATGAATCACGGCGGCTGGGAGGATCACGAGGACTGGACCGACAAGTTTCGACGAGTAATGACAGAGAGACTGGGCATCGCCACCGGGGAGCAAGATATCCGATTTAACCTGATGGCCGTTGTTCCCGACCGCCGTATCGCCATAACCCACAAGCTGAAGATGTTGCGCACCAACCAGGCTATCGTCTCTGGCACCCTCCAGAAGCTGCTAAAGGCGGATGAGCAGGGAGAAGGAAACGGAGATCCCCAGCGACCCGACACGCCCAGTACACTCCTCGAACCGAGTGCGTTCACGGCCCGCGATCTGCAGTCTCTGCTGAAGAACTTGGACACGGAGATTGCTATTAACGAGCAGCACCTGGCTGATGAGAACGACCGGCGGCACAAGTTCAAGGTGGACGCCAGCCGTCGCACGCATAACTACGATAAGTTCATTTGCACTTTCCTGTCCATGCTGGCGCACCAGGGAGTCCTGGGCGAGTTGGTCAGCCAGCACCTGCTGCCCTCCAAGAAGATCAGTGGCCAGAGCGCAGCCAACCGGTTAAATAAGCAGAGCAACGCCTCCGCCAGTGCAGGGGCCACTGCTGCAGGAGCAGCCGGGGCAGCGCCAAAGACCCAGCAGCAGCAGCAGGCAGCCGCCGCCAAGAATGGAAAGTCTCCCAGCAAAACTCCGGGCCGGAGGCGAAAGGGTCGCAACAAGTGCAAGAAAAGAAAGTAGACGGAAGAGTTATATATATTATATATATGTTTCAATAATAGATTTGCATTTACTATGCATTCCAGTATAGTTTTATTGATAATTCCCACCATTAACCATTTAGTTTGGATAAGTTTAGCTTAAGTGCCATCCCGAGAACACACATTGCCTGTAAAACAACACGAGATGAACCTGGCAGTTTTTATATCTTTATTTGATCGCTTGGTCGACCATTTTAATAATAAAAAACACTGTTCATATGATTAAATGATCTGCGATCCTTGGCGCAACAAGGACCCAAACTGTATGCGTAATATATATGTTCTGATATATATATATATATCTATATGATAGTTGTATAACAAAAACGTAATCTTTCAATATTCCTCAGGATTTCATTTCCAATCGGGCGCCCCGCAACGATGTCTAGGCCTACTCGTTGTGAAGTTGATTCAACAGAAAACAATGCATAAAATTATGTAGTATCGATTATAAACTATAAAAGGCATTTGACGTTTTGTGGCGAATGGCTAACAAAATTATTCGTGTGTATGAGCTAGGCGAACTAGGTGACTTTCCTTTTCAGAACACTTTCTTCTTAACTGATTTGGTGATTAAGTGTAGTTGTTGTAGTATATGTTTGGTAGGTTTTTGATAGTTGGCTTCACTAAGACTAAAAGTATATTATTGGCCCATATCCTGAATGGATAACGAGACCTCCTAGGCGTATTGAATTTATGTCGCGATGCATGTGAGCAGTGAAAAGAGCAGCCTTCGAAAAAGGCACTAACCCTTGTGCCTTCTCCCATCCTAGGTGTTGTGGGTAGGTGTGGTAGATGTTGGTGGTGGTGGTGTTTTTAAAACTTATTTAGTTTCCTCTAGTTTTCTCAGTCCCAAAATACGATTAACGATACAAAAAAGCAACAAACAGGCGGCCGTTTTGTGACTGGGTCTCATATTATTAACTTTGTATCTGGAGTGTTCAACTTGAAGCAACTGCAGTTTCTGCGTCTTTCTCCCCATTCGTAAGCTGCGTGCTGCCAGTGCCCAGATCCTTATTGTCCTTGGTGGCATCCGTCTCCGCGTCGACGTCTCCATTGTTGTTGGCGGCAGCCACAATAGATTTAATAGCATCGTTTACCTCATTTTCGGCGCTGTTGGCCTTGAAATGCTTCTCGATCTCACTGCGCACCTTCACAATGTCCTTTTGGCTACAAAAGACGAAGAGTTCCGTATATATTGGAGTGATTTCTGCATCACTTCTTACCTAATCTGTACAAACAGTATGCCGTTGATGGTGTTAAGCATGTCCAACACCGAGCCCATTGAAGGTGGCGTGATGTGGATGGGCGGCAGGTCGCTGGTGAGCTTGCCATTGGAATAGATGTCGTTCATCTTGCGCTGCAACAGAACCGCCTGTTGGGTCAGGAGGCGGAGGCACTCGGCAGAATCGCGGGTCTTCTCGTGCTTCTCGCCAACCTATAACAACAATAGATAGCTCCAGTAAATAGGCTATCGTTCCATCATCCTTTTCTACTAACCTGTGATTTGTAAATGGAGTACGTCTCCTTTTCGTTATTGAGCGCCGAGCGGAAGTCGCCCATGCAGGACTGGGTGCGGGCCATCAGGTGGTAACTGAACGCCACGTGCATGGCCTTGCTGCCAAAGTACTTGATGTTGAGCTTCAGGGCATGCTCGATGAACCGCAGCGACAACTCGTACTCTCCCAGTGCGTGCAGAATCAAACTAATGTTGCTCTGAAAAGGAGAAACCATCTTTAAAGCTTGCAAGGAGCTGGGCGATGGGCTAGCTTACGTCGATCAGTGCCACCTCCGGGTGGTCCTCGCCGCAGATCAACACTATTAGATAACGCGCCCTATACAACAATTTAAGGGACATTCCAACATGTCCATTGGCAAACGAATAGAGTGACAAGTGTGTCTGAAATGAAACAAGAGTTTAGTTTTCCAGAAGGTGGATATGTTCCCAGGAGTATACATACATATTCCAAAATAGTTGAAGGGTGGTCTATGCCGTTGACCCGTTCGCTCATGATCACCGCCCGCTGCTGGATGGCCAGGGCATCCTGGGCGTCGCCCAGCAGATAGCTCAGCCTGGCTAGCATCCGCAGGCAGGAGCCGTTCTCCTGGTGCATGGCTCCGAACACGTTGTTGAGCAAGTTGAGGGCTTCGCTGATTAGCTCGTAGCCCTCCTTGAACATTCCCTGTTGGATTTTGGCCTGACCCGTGGTGTAGAAGTTGTACGCGTCCGTGGCTCTAGGGCTGATGTGCTTCACAACCGGGAACACGTTCACGATATCCTCGTCCCCGAAGGTTGGCTTGTGCTTGGACTCGAAGTTGTACTCACGCAGCAGCACCTGGATGCCCACCTTGAGGCAGAAGGCGCGCAGCAGGCTGATTCGCAGGATGCCGTACTTGCTCACTGCGGTCTCAATCGAGTCGCAGTCGAGCTCCCAGTCCCAGTAGCTCTTGGCCTCGCGCCGGATCTGCTGCCACAGAGAGCGTGGCGTCACCAGCGTCCAGTCGGAGGAAGAAGACGAGCCGCCAGATGAGGAGCCTGAAGAGCTGCCGTTCTGGTTGCCGGATGCCTGCTGTTTGTTGCCCTTCGACTTGTGTTTGTTGTGCTTGCTGCCATTGCTGCGCTTCTTGTGGGCCTCCTCGCTGCTCACGGCCGGGTTGACAGGCCCAGTGGTCAGCAGGCAGTTCAGGAAGTGGCTGATGGCGGCCGACAAGTGCAGCGGCTCCGTGTTCTGCATGTAGGTGTAGTAGATGTGCTTGGTGGCTCGCACAATCAGCTCGAGCACGGCGATCCTGTGCAGGTAGTCCATGCGAGGCATCTGAGCCAGCAGCTTGATGACCTTGCCCAGGTAGCGAACGTTGATGCCGTGACTGTGCAGGGACTCCGTGAGGCTCTGGCCATCGATCGGGGCTGAGGAGTGGGCTAGGTGCTCCTTGATGAAGGCGGGTATCTGCTTGACCACCAGGAACTCGGCCGCATCCTGTACGAGGACCTTCTGCTTGGCCAACGAGCTGCATGTGCCCTCCTCGCCGTCCACATGCCGGATGCCGCTCGAAAACACATCGGGGTTGAATCGGAAGTCGAACTCCTTCTCCTTCAGAGAGCCGACGGCGGCACATGCCCGTTTAACCACCTCGGCGGCCTGCACCTCGTTTGAGGTGGCCACGTTGGACTGCGCCTCGCGGATGGCGTTCACCATGGCCTCGGCAGTCTTGGTCTCGTTCGAAGTGGGCTGCGGCTTCTCCTCTTCCTTCTTTTCGACAGGTTTCTCCGTTTCGGGTTCCTTGGTCTCGCTAGTTTCCTTCTCGGCTTCTTCCAGAGCAGGGAGCTGCTTCTCCTCTGGCTTCTCCGACTGCTTCTTGGAGTTGAGCTGCTGCAGGTGCACGGCTGCGATGCGGATGAAGCTCACGTAGCGGTCCTCGATGAAGGCCTCGAGCAGCTCTTGTCGCAGGCAGCACAGCTTGTGGCGATGTTCGATGGGGAAACCCATGTCCACCAGCTCCTTGCTGAGCTGAACCTCGGGCAGCTTCAGGAAGTTGACATCTGGCGGGAAGGTGCGCAACAGGTCGAGGATGTAGTGCCGGCCGTCGTTGCCGATGATGCCCTTGCACTCCACGGAGGAGCACAGCTCCACAGGCTCATCCCGCTCGTTGAGCACGGCGTGGGGCAGGATCTTCAGGTGCTTTCCTGCCTGTCGCAGTAGATCCAAGTACTTGGGGTGGCTGAGTACCGTTTTGCCAAAGTCGATCGAGCCGTAAACCACGCTCTGTTCCTGCTCCCGCTCCAAGATTCCGGGGATGATGGACTGGGCTGTGACGCGGTAGCCACGATAGTCGATCACCACAGTGCCCAGCGTGTACAGGCCCTCCACGTCCACGGCGTTGTAGACCCTCACGCCGTGGAGGTCGTAACGGGGCGCCACAAAAGCAGCTGCATCCCCACCCAGCTCCTTGTAGTGATCGCGAACGTCGAAGCCCAGGGAGAAGAAGATGTTGTTCCAGATGAACATCTGCATCTTGGCATCCTCGCCGGGGTTGATGGCCAGGACGTTGCCGTCGATGACAGCCATGGCGCCTCTCGTGGCAGCAGTCACAAAGTCGCCATGGACCTTGAAGATGGCCCGCTCGCGCAGCAAGCGCTCTGGCAGTGTCTTGCGCGGCAGCTCCCGCGTCGTCTGCAGCTCCTCGTTCCAGTCGCGCGTCTGTCCGGGGATGTGCTCCTCGTACCTGAGGGTGAGAATTAAAGGTTAGGGGTTTGTTCTCACAGTGGACCGCCCTTATGTTTCCCCTTAGCTTGAAATTTGGAAAAGGAACTCTGGACGTTAAAGACTCATTACTAAGCATCTGGTATCAGTTGCCAGGAAGTAAACAATCGCCCAGAAGACTCGTTCCTTCAACCAGAAATGAAACCCAGCTACAGACAAGTGTGTAAATAAATAAAATTGGCTTACGCTTACGTCTCGATACGCTTTGAAATAATAAACTGAAACCAATGACACCACTTCATAGGTACTATTCCTTCGGTTCGGGTTACTTAATTGAATCCCACAACCTGGGAATGGCGGTGATAATGTCTGTTGAGAACTCCCGAGATAGCGATTACTATACGTACCCCAGTTTGGAACTGAAGGCGTCCTCGGCTCGAATGGCGTCCACGGTGTGCTCCAGTATGGGCGAAGCCCACTGATAAACCTGGTATGGGGTGGCCACCCGCTCGAAGGCGTGGCGCGTGGTTCGCCGCTTCTGGATGGTTTGGAAGGCACGTCGGAACGAGGGCGATATGTGGGAGAGGAGGTCGATCAGCGAGTGGCTCAGGTGGCTGGGGTTGTCGGGCTTGGGGTTGAAGGTGTCGTCCGTTGACTGGTTGATGTAGAAGCCCTTGGAGCAGGCGGAGATGTGGAACCGCTTGTCCTCCATCGTGACCACATACAGATACATAAGATCGCCGTGCAGCTTGCGGGGACCGGGCGGCGGGTTCCAGGCGGATGTGGTGAGCACCTTGAGAGCCTGCGGTCCCTTGGAGTTCTTGATGTTCGGATGCAGCGGCAGAAGTGGCGGCTCCGACACGCCCGGAGTCACGTACTCCGGCGGCGTGCAGTCCACCGAATCGGGCCTGGTCTTCTTCTTGTCCAGCAAGTCGCCCTGGGTGATCGTGTTTAGGTAAGTCAACGATGTACAGTCAATGCCATTGTACGCGTCTGCCGGGTCCAAGTTCTTCAGAAGATCGCGTACGTGGCGCACATGGATGCGGGCCTCGCGCATCGTGTAGGGCTCCTCCACCACCTTGATGGTGGATCCCTGCTCCAGCTGTTCGATGGTCTTCAGCTCGGCGAAGTTGTCCAGCGTCACGTTATCCAGCTGCAGCGAAAAGCAGGTACGATGGCAGGTCTCCTCGCGGTCCATCAGCAGCTGGTGGATCTCCTGGACCAGCTCCATGCTGGACAGTTGAACGGAGAGGATATCCGCACCAGGACTGCTGATATTCACCGTGATTCCCACCTCGTGCAGGGCATCCAGATCAATGTCCTCCGTTTCCAGCTCGGAGCCGGGTGCTCCCCCATCCTCTGACTTCTCGCCCACGTTGGCGTTGGTGTCGGGAGCGGCGGTGTCACCGCCCTCCTCGGTTGATGTCTTCTCGGCATGTCCATTGCTTAGAGAAGCTTCCACGGGTTCTGCGGCGGGTTCAGTGGGGCTTTTGTTGCGGTTCTTCTTGCCTGTTAGGGATTTAGATCATAATTATTAGAGGTTACTATTTATGAATAGATAATGAAGCCATTCCAGCCCTTCTCACCCTTTGAGATGGGTAGTATCTGTATCTGGAATATTATCTAATTATGCATTTCAAATATTTATTCATTTACAAGTCCCAGAACTAGCATTGTTATGATAAGTATTCGGTTTACATAACCCCAGCAGACCAAGCAGGCCTAGAACCAGACTAGAATGGGGTTTATCTGCCCTAGATCACCATCTCAGAGGCCAGCTTAGCTACTCTTTGCTCTCGCAGCTTTACATAACAATCCAACCGCATGTTCGCTTGGTCGTGAGGGTACATAAAACCATATACATATGTACATGTATGTAGTAGAAAAACAAACAAAAAAAAAGAGGACGAGCAAAGCAGGCTGATAAGGCCAAGGGGCCGAGATTTTGAAAAACAGAGTCCGGCCGGTCGGTCAGTTAACGAACCGAATCTCCTTTGATCCCTCGGTAGGGGAATATTGAGTTTAACACAACAATGCTAATTTCAACAGCAGCCCACGATATTACACCGCAGAGAGCGCCGAGAGAGAGAGTGTGTGAGAGTGCAGGAGAAAGCAAAAGTGATAAGCAAAATGAGCGGTGGAGCAATGAGAGAAATGAGGAAGAAAGCAAGTGCTCTCGCGGCGGCGATGCGATGCGGCTGGCGGATAGAAAACATGATTTACATAATTGTCGAGCAATTTTTGTGTGTTGTGTGTACTGGCTGCTGCACTCAGTTCGGGCCAAGCACGTGTTAATTGTAGGTTAAACGCAACAAGAAATCCTCCCCGGGGGTTAATGAACACCGCATCGGGTGAACAACATGTGCGTTGCCATGCCAAGCAAGTACTCTCACACACGCACGCACATTTACATACAAACCGCTGCAATTGTAACGCACGCGGCGGGTCTGGCCCCAGGGGGATGGTGGGAGGTATGAAGGGGGCTGGGGGCGAGCAGGCAATAGACAGCGGGCGCCGCTTTAAAGCATTATAGGGAGAAAAAACACATTACGTAACGTTAAAATTGTTATGTGATTGGCTTTTGCGGCAATAATATCGGGGCAGTTCCCATGGAAGCGCTTGGGGGTGATGGGCTACGGGCTGTGGGCTGTGGGTGGAAGGGCTGTGGGGGTGGGCGGAGAGTTGAACGCACCTTTCTTCTTGGCAGCGGGGCCGTCGGCTGCATTGCCATTGCCATTGACCAAGTTTTGATTTTGATTCTGCTGCTGCTGCTTTTTGCCGGCCGAGCTGTTGTTCTCCTTGGCCTTGCCGCTGGCCGCCTTTGTTGTTGCCGCCACTGTCGCCGCATCTCCCGGGGCCACTGCATTCGAGTTTTTCGCATCCGTATCTAGCGCCATGCTACCTTTAGCTTTCACCTGCTGCTGCTGCTGCTGCTACTGCTACTGCTGTTGCTGCTACTGCTGCTGCTGCTGCTGCTGCTACTGCTAATGCTACTGCCACTGCACAACCACAACCAGATTAGATCCAAATGCACAACTGAACACAGCGAAGACACAGAGTTCTGTTCACGTTCTTCTGCTTCCTCGGGTCCGACCGTGTTACACAACTCGCCGCCTGACAGCCGAGTTAGAGATTTTGACTTAATTCAAAGTGGGTAGGCTGGTTGATACAGAAACAAGGACGTTGTATGACTGTATGAGACATACGCATCAGTGACAAGTGGGTCTTTGGTAGATATTCAGCACTTTTCTTTTCGTACGTTATGCCGATCCACTAGATGTTCACGTTTTGTTGTTTTTGCGGCACATTTTCCAGTGTTGGGCTTCGTGTTCTTGCTTCTCCTAGTCCAAAAATCCGATAAGTCCGATATCAAGTGAACTGGCTCCGATTGCATATAATCTGCAGTGTTGGATAACGTAGCAACTTTCGATATCGATTATCAGCAAAGCTTATCGAATTTTCGTCAGTCGGTTTCAATTTAAATTCATTTAAAATAAAAAAATTTAAAATAATTATTATGTATAATTATTTTTTTCCCCCGACAAATAAATATTAATAATTAAAGGATTTTTAAAACAAACGATTACCGATTGTCATCCACCCTGATAAGTAAGACCGTTTATCGCACAAAACAGCTGGCAACCTCCCCCTCCTCCACCAATACAGTATAACTAACCAACCTCCCGCCGAATTATTTTCATTTTATTCTCAGCTTGTGTAATATTCGGATGCGGTGTCAACTTGAAGACAGAATGCTGTTCCACCACAAAACCAATAAACTTTGATATCTCCCAATTCGGATGCGGTAAACGGCTTCGAGTAATTTCATCTGATGACCGAGACTTTGGTCAGTCATTAGAGCGGACACCGTCGGACTTGGCCGTAGCAGAAGCCAGAGAGCAGTCTCCCGCGCAATCAGTGGGAATGATTATCGCTCGCCAGGGCACCTTTTGAACTGCAAAACGCGCGTGCTCCGATCCCCCGGTGATAGAACCTCAGGAAACCCCGTCGAGGAGGCGAAACACAAGGAGTAGCGAGTAGACACTCATCGAGGAGTTGCTATTTCGCATCCATAACCTAAAAAGGCACGTGCTGTGCGTAGAAGAGTTTTTGTTGGTTGGTTCCGCACCGAACGAGCACTTGCAACCGAATCCTCTCAGATTCACGTCCCGAAGATGTCAACAGCAGCCGACCAGCTCGTGGCACCTGCCGCCCTCACAAACGGGCAACAGTCACTGGTTGTGGCAACAAGCAATGGCCAAAAGGAGCAGAGGGAGCCACAACAGCAGATTGAGAACAGCAAGTCCACCTCACCCAAGCCAGGAGCCATGCCCAGCCTCAAGCTGAACAAGATGCCATCGGCGTCCTCCAAGGAGAAGCGTGTCTACAAAATAGTCCTAACTGGCGGTAAGTTTTTTCCCTCGAAAAAAGTATCTGATAACCGCGCGTTTTGTGTATCTATTACAAGTGTCCTCGTATCTGTTGGCTGTGGCTCTGTTGGCCCGCCCCCCTCCGCATGGTTCTGATTCCGATTTGTTGACGATTTGTGTCAAGGTCGCGAGCTGAGAGCCGGAGGGGTAGAGACTTTGATTTAGTCCTGCGCGGAGATTCTCGTGGTTTTCCTCCATCTCTCATTTGTATTCATTGGCGATGCCCACCACCGCTACCACCCGCTACCGGCATTTTGATGTCGTCGTCATTCAAATGCGAAAACTTGGCCATAAAACAAGTTTTGCTCTGCCATCATATGAGCAGTGGTTGGACGCGTGGTCTAATCATTTAATTTGGCCCAAGTTATGACTGTGATTAGAAGCCCCACAAATAGCAGGCGTCATATCTCTAGAGAATACTATATACTCGGGTCCCGCGTATTATCGCATTGGGGCGGTGTGGGCCGAAAATCGAAAACAGTTCTGATGATGACGCGCTGCGGGAAGAGGCTGATAAATGACAGGCCCCATTCACACGTGGAGGGAGGGCTCAGCAGAAAATCCCCGCTAAGACCCATTCAAAGAACTGTCCACTTATCTGCTCTTAGCTGGGGCTCGTTTCCCATTCATTGTAGTTCCGAAGTGACGGGTCGGAATCGAAAACGATTTCCCCAGATCGCTGCACAGGCCATTGGCCATGCCAGTAATGGGCGTAATTGCAGTCAGGGTCAGGCCTGAGAACTAATCGAGTGATATGCACATCGAGGAGGAATTTCACTGCACTTGACTTTCTGGAATTCGGGGCCACCGGTTCTAATCGATATTTTCCTGTTTGAATGGCAGGTCTTAATTATTTTGGCATTTGTTTCTAGGTAGCCCCTCACTATCCCAACTTTGGCCAATCAATATAATGAATTATTTCTAGCCAGACAGAACTTTTGGCTTTACAAAGAGGGCTAGAGGGCTTAAATGTTTTATTTCCATAACCAGAACCATTAAAGGTTTAGTTTATTGAATATTCAATTCTGAAACTTTATTACTTCAGATTGTGGCACACGCATCCAACGAATGCAAAGTTTACACACTTTATTTCCATAAATAGAACCTTTATTTGATTTACAATTTAAATTAGCCGACCGGTGGTAATCCCTTCGAGCCATTTGCTAATTGTCAGGGTAAACCAGAAGCCTACCAGTTCCCATTCTGGCATACAACTTTATGATCTTGATGAGTAAACACATTTTCGCAATTTAGAATTAGAAATAAACAACCAAAAAATTAACGTCTCGGTCTCGTCTCATTTCAGGGCCCTGTGGCGGCAAGACGACTGGCCAGTCCCGCCTGTGCACCTTCTTCGAGAACCTTGGATGGAAGGTGAGTGTCGGGGGTGTTGCAAGGGGATGCTAGGATAGACTAAGGCTAAGGCGATTGCTTCGGGATGGGGGGCAGCTCCGTAAGTAGTGCCCCTGATGGGTGACGGCGGAGGAGTGGGAGCAAAAGCGGGTTCACTTTTTCTTACTTCTTATTGCCCCCGAAACTCGAAACAAAGCAATGAGCATGTTAAATATTTTCAGGTATTCCGCGTGCCTGAAACGGCCACTGTTTTACTCAGGTAAATGCTCTCTCCACACAATCTTACACTCAAAACTATAAAGTAATTGTTAAAGTAATAATTGAGCGTGGCATTCGAGGCGAACGGCGCCGTCCAGGGGGCTTCCACCTGAGCTCGGTCCTAGTAGCCTTGCCTGCCGCTCGTCCTCCACCTGAGACGAGAGTGCGATTGCTATTCTGAACAATATTTGATTCGATTCGAGTTTCCAATCTCGATGCTCTTGAACTCCGAAATACTCTATCTAGTGACTGCCCCTGGACTCTATCCACAGATGCTAATTGCCGCTTTTGTTCTTCTCTGTTTCTTCCCCATACACCCGAATATCTAGTGGCGGCGTCAAGTTCTCTGATCTGACCGAGAAAGAGGGTAAGTAGTGATGTTAATTATACCGAACGAGAGATAGTGAGGAGGATGAGGAGGAGTAGCAGATAGTGGAGGAGGAGGAGGAGTCTTACATTGCAAGCATTTTCCGAGATCCCGAGACCACCGCGACTTTCATTGTGTCTTTCATTTCCCGAGACCACTGTCAAGTTCTCGAAACAACGAAAATAAATCAAAATATTTACTTTCCTTGGGACCAACACAAAGATATGCCCTATACTAGATACTATATGCTGAATGTATTTATAAAATCAGGCAAGATGCCGCCACAGCCATACTATAGATAGTACGAGTATATCTAGTCGCTTATATCTAGGTATATAGCCGGACGGCCCCCACAAAAGTCACGTCTTCTTCAATGAAACTTACGTAATTCTGTGGGACACGAATTCCTATTCGAATTCATATTCTTTCGATATCCTGATTGCGTGACTTTGGGCCATTTCACTTGCAGTTCTCCTTCCAGCCTTTGCCAGCAATTTGTCAATTATGGTTATTAATGGATTTGTCGAAAGGGGGAAGTTGCCGGGCAGGGGGGTATCCGATAAGATATAGGCAAGTGCTTGCCGGTCTGATCACATGTTTGTTAATTTGTAGCAATTCCTTTTGTGGCTAGTTGAGCTATTTGAGCCTTTATGAGTAATGCCTTCCATCGGAAGTAGGACGATATCCCCCCCCTTAAGTCGCTATGAGTAATCTATGACTAGGCTAACCTTATACTCACAAAACAACAAAAACAAAAAAACAAAAAACCAACCATATGCCACCCACACGCACAGACCCGCCCACGCCAACCACGTTCGTTTACAAAGATCTGCCCTTCGCCGCTCCGGAGCACAGTCTCATCGATCTAACCGCATCCTGTCCGCGCTGCTTGGCCAAGGCTGCATCCCGGCCCAATGGCAGCGAAGGTGAGTGACAGCCCGGAGCCCGGATCTGAGATACGTTATCGTTGTTTTGCATCTGCTAGCGCTAACCCGACCCACCGACCCACCGACCCAGACGGATCCTGTCCACCTGAGCGTCCACCTATGTTGCTTCAATATCCACCGTGTTCTTATACCTACCATCCAAGGCATCTCGTCAACGTCTTGAACAGACCACCCGGATGCCTGTCTTTGTCCCTGTCACGTATCTTTGCTTTGTGTCCCGTGTCCCCGTCATAGAAATAACCAAACAGACACTGAGTTTGGCCACTGAGAGGGCAAACAGAGCCCTCTTTATAAAGTCCTATATATTTTACGTACTTATTTCATTTGTTTGTTCTGGCTTCGTTTCTATGATTTATGAATGCCTCCATATGTGTGCTCGCTTAACACTTGTGTCCACTAACACCCCCTAATCTCACCACGTACTTGTTTATATATATATATATCTATATATGTATCTAACAGAATGTATATCTGCACATTTCAATAACAATATTTCGTGCCAGGCCTCTGCAAAATACGCCGGTTAGTCGCACAAAATTCACAAAATTTTAAATGGGCCATTTAATTTTAGCCAAAAGCACATGACAGACAGCCATCAGATACTATACATGCTGCTGTATCTCAGAGATACACGTGTACGAGTCTGTGGTCCGAAACCACGCCTCCGGGAATTATGAAAAATGGAAAATTTTTTGGCAAACGTTGCAGAATGTGAGGCTTTTTTTTTTAATATTTATGTAATATTTCCTTTCAAATGTTTACTCAAATTTATTCAAAAGGTAATCAAAATATTACCCTTTCTTATGCAAATGCTTGTATTCAAGTTATTACTCGAGTTATTACTCGAAAAGATAATTTAAATTGAAATTTATTTCTACAGGAGTAAATATTTTTAGGTTTTTATTTAAGAAAAAGTACTTAAACTTAGCAGGTAATTAAGATGTTTTTTCCTCTAAAGGGCTAGTTAGTTTAAAGATTAGAGAGAATCTTAGTTTGATATATTTTTTATTTTTTTAGGAAACAAATTCTAGTTGAGATTATAAATCTGCTCCACCCACACACTATTTAGCCAAAATTCAATTTCGACGATTGTTTTGGCCAGGCAGTCAGGCGTGCCCACATGCCATTTTCCCAGCAGAGAGCCATTTTCATGTACATCGTATATTTATTGTATATTCTAGAACATATATTATAGAGATGGTGATGTGGACCACGTCTCCTGGTCACTCTGATTGGCTAATTAAATACCGACTATGTTAGGGCCGAAGAATGCAAAAATGCTTCATCGAATCACGTGCCTGCTGACGCGAGTTCGACATCCGCTTCCCACCCCCTCCACTGTGATCGCCTGCCTGCCAGTCGGAACCCCCACGACTGTTGTTTACAGTCGCTTCGCAGTTGGGCGCTAAACGAAAGCTCCATTCAATTATTTGTTGTTGTTGTTGTTGTTGTATCAGATTTGGCACAGATGCGGTGGAAATGATAGCTTTTCTAAAAACAATCTCTGATTAACGAAATTTTGTTGCGGGAAATGGGGTAAAGGTCAAAGACAGATCAAGAAAACTTAGGCATGTTTTTAAATAAAAATTTAAAAATATATTATAGAAAAGAAGGCTATATTTTAAGGATTTTGTGCAGACTAGTATGAAAGATTATAACAAGGTTAATATGCGGTTAATATATTAAATAAAGTTCCCTATATATGTAGATTTCTTGAAGCCAATAGAATATTAACCCGAACTGTACTCGATTATTGGCACATATGTGATAGTGGCACATTGAGTTGAATTTTTTAGATAATGTCGGGGAATGAAATGATTCGATGGGGTGGTGGGGTGTGTGCTGCCGCAAGGCTTGCCAAAGAATTCTTGTTAGAACTCGTTATCGTAGCTTGTGATATGTCTGTCGATATGTAGCTTTTTGTTGGTGGTCCTTCTGGCTCGATTGATATACCGAGAAATTGATTGCTAAACGATTTTGTTTTTTTTTTTTAGCGGCGGGCCGCCCTTCATTTCGCTTCTGAATGTTACCTATCCTACCACCCATCCGACTTCTTCATTAAGCAAATCGTTCTCGGCTCATTATGTAAATGAACTTGGCTGGGAGATCTACATATCTACATACATATATCTATCTGGCGGGTCCATTAAAGGTTGGCTGGCCACTCACACACGCACTCCCATGTTGTAGATCAGGACAGGAAGAGAGTTCCATGCCATTGAACCTGTTTTCTTTTTTTTTTTTGTTTTAAAATAGAGCTCTACGCCATACGCCGCCCATTGATGTTATCGGCTTCCGAAAATTTAGATTTCTTCCCTCCGTATGTAGATTTCTATTGTCTGATGCGCAATACATGGCTGGTGAAATTGCAAATAGCCTCCAAAAGCCTACACACATCTTGAGGTTTTTTGTTTTTTTTTTTGTCATTATTCTCTCTTGCATCATCGTTGCTAATTGAATTAGAATTCGTAGGGGAAGAAGACCGTTCAGAAACTAAAATAAAAACAGAAACGAGCAAAAACAAAAGCTGAATTATAGTTAACAGGAAAACAAATCGATCCATTCCACCTGAGTCAAGTTCAATGCAATTGCATCAGTAATGCGTTCGACAAAAAAAAAAAACAAAAATAAAACAAAAACACATCCATATTTGCGCAAATGCACGCGACCGAGCAACAAGTGCCTCTAATTCGTCACACAATGAGCCCCATTAGGCCCCACTTTCTCAATGAATCTGCCAGTGCACACTATATGAAATTAATTAATCAATTTTTGTATATTTTGGGCATTTATGAGAATGAGATTAGGATTGTAGGATTATATTTCCTTAGAAAGTGATTCATGTATTATGAATCTTAAACTGTAGAACTATTCAGACTCAATATTTATGTTTAGACATTATTCTTGCATATTTCTCATTTAATTTAATCAACTAAGCAGGGCAAGATTGTTATAAAGTGGGGATTAAATAATACAACCTTATCGGAGTGCTGGGTACTTGGTGACTCTCAGTCTCTGGGGAAAAAACCCCATCAATCCCCATCAGTCTTAAAAAAACAGCTGTTTTTGTGACGCAACCTGTAGTTTCTAGTTATAATTTGTTTAATCGGTATTACTCTAGCTAGAGGCTCGATTATGAGAATAAAATATATACAATATGTTGCCCAGGAAAGCACTTATAAAGCCACTTCTGAAACCAAAAATTTGGACAATAATTTTTATTTATTTTACTGTTTTTATGGCTTTATATTTAGACTGGCTTACGCTTTACATTTTTAGCTCTAATTAGCTCATAAACCAGAATTAAAACCCCCACTAACTGCTAAAAACTGCTTCATAAATTAGAGTCCCACCAAAAAAAAAAAAGATTAAATTGAAATCTGAAACTTATGCTTAGTGTACTTGGTGTAACATCTGTCGCAGACAGTCAGAGTTCTAAGCCCTCTAACCTCTGGCTGATTAGAAACTGTTTACTTGGAAAAACAAAAAAAAATAGAAATATTAAATCAGACTCGACTACAAGTTGATTGAACTTTCGTGTGAGCTTGGCATTTCATCGACTCGAATTCAGATTAGGTCTCATCGCTTTTCAACCCGACATCGCTGACATCTCAGAAAGCAATACTGGATACCGGCCATCGACCATCGACCATCGACCATCGTCGTCCATCAAGCACTGTCATCCCACTTGAATCAGAGCCCAGTCAATTAATTCTCTCTTACAATTCGATGCCCACAGTGTGTTATATTTCCTTCGATTCGAATTTGCTTGCAATTGTATTTCGATTTCTATTTGTTTCGATTGTAATGAATCGTCGCGAGTCCAAAGACTAAACTCTGGTGTCTTCCATTCTTCCCTGCAGCGTACAAGTTCCAGGAGAACCTGATCCGCACCATGGTGCAAATTGAGAACACCTACTTCGAGCTCGGCAACTCGAGCACCCGCAACTGTCTGATAATCTGCGATCGCGGCGTCATGGACGCCAGTGCATGTGAGTATCAGAGTCAGACTATCAACCCACTTTCGATGAGATAATAACAACCAACTTTTCCCACCAAAACAGATATCTCCAAGGACAAGTGGGAGAAAATGATGGCCGGCAACAAGTGGAATCCCGTGGAGATGCGCGACAATCGTTACAACCAGATTCTGCACTTGGTGTCGGCGGCCAACGGAGCCGAGGATTTCTACTCCACAGAGGTGAGTGGTCTGTCCATGGTCGATGCTTGGATTGTACTTGACCAATTCTTTTGTTTGGGCCAATTAAGAACAGAAAGCGCCACTACCAGGTACCAATGGCTGGTTTCTCCTTCGAACGCGGTTGCTTCTCTTAAGCTTATACATATTTCTAGAATCTAAATTATCTTTTGTTTGAAATGCCCATAAGATAAGATTTAATTTCACAATTATATGCGTACTATGCGTAATTAGATACAGTTCACATCCTCATAGCAACTGCAGTGTCATGATTTATTATAGTTTCAGACATGACTGGTTCCAATTTCGAAGTATCATCTTTCTCCTCGTTCTCATCGAATCTTCCCACATCTCTAGGGTATTGTTTGTTTTCATAAATCAATCTTTGTTTATATATCCCAACCGCGTTCCAAACTATGGCTTGAGGCTTTATAGACGGGGCTATGAGCTTAAAATTCAAAGCAAATATTTACTTATCTCCCCTTGATTGGTTTCCAGGACCATGCCTGCCGCTCGGAGGGCGTCGATCTGGCCAGGGAACTCGACTACAAGTCGGCAGCCGCCTGGGTGGGCCATCCCTACTTCGATGTGATTGACAACTCCACCAACTTCGAGACCAAGATGAACCGAATGATCGAGTCTGTGTGCCAAAAACTGGGCATCGATATTGGCGACCGTTTGCAAGCCACATCCCGCAAACTGAAATACTTGAGTAGGTTTCTATTTTAACCAAAAAAATTATGGATTTTATTAAAAAATGAATTTCCCGTCCAGTTGCCGTCCTGCCCCCAGACAACGCGTTCCCGCCCTTCCAGGACTTTGATGTGGTGCATCACTACCTGCAATCGGCCGGGCCCAAGGTGCAGGCTCGCCTGCGGAAGCGCGGCCAGAAGAACCACTGGAGCTATATCCACACGCAGCGACGTCCCAATGTCCATGGCCAGGCCCGCATCGAGGTGAAGACCCAACTGACGCATCGCGACTACATGAACCTGCTGGCCCAGCGCGACGATGCCCACTTCACCATCTACAAGAAGCGTCGTTGCTTCCTCATCAACAACCAATATTTCCAGCTGGACATCTACAAGGAGCCAGGACATCCTCGGTGAGTTTGGGGACTCCTTTCCATTTCCAACTTCAATGCTGACATTTGTCCTATTTTCGGTAAAGCTGCAAGGGACTGGTGTTGCTGGAGACCTACTCCTCACTCACCGGCGATGCCCTGAAGAACTGCATGCCCAAGTTCCTGAACATCGTGAAGGAGGTGACCGGCGACCCGGACTATTCAATGTTTAATCTCTCGCTGAAAGAGGACTGGAGCACCACCAAAAAGTTCTGCCGCACGGCGACGCATGGTAAGCAGGATCTGAACGAACCGCCGCCACAACCGCCGCAGCAGTACAATCCCTACTACGAGAACAGCGACTAGGCCCCGGGGCCAGGAGCCAGTCATAATGCTTAGCCAAAGATTGTAGAACCAAAAGCTCCAACTTTCGCAGCTGTATATACCATAAGCCTTTGTCTATCGTAGCCTCCACCTACCTACATGCATGTTACTTCATTTCACTCCCTATCCCTTCTTTTTGGAACTCATAGATGATATCTTTATTTTGATTTCGGCCTGACTGTATTTCCGTTTTTGATTTTGTAGTTACGGACGCCACTAATGGAGTCTCGAGCACGCCGTTGGCCTGTCCCTGGCTCAACTGCCCCTGAATCTCTTTTTGCACACGCATATAACACGGCAGATGCAATTAAATAAGCAACATCCATGACCTGGCAACAAAATGTACAAAATCCAAAATCAAGAATTGTTAACACCAACCGGTCTGTCCCTGAACCACTACTTACACCCGAATATTGTTACTTATTTGTGCGTACTTAGCACCCGGAAGGGGAAGATGAAACCCGTAAACGAGAGGCCCATGCGTCGAGTCTTTAGTTAATAGTAAGCCAATACCCGTACTTATCACCCGGAAGCTGAAGATGAAAGTAATGGAACTCGAGTCTATAGTGAATAGTAAACCAACACCCGAACCGGAGGTCAAGAGCCCCACCCGTACTTAATTTTATTGTCATGTTTTGCTCGTGTTAATTTTGTAAGCCATACTAAATCAAGGGACACCAAAAACACGATGTATGTCCATCCGTAGATCCGCGATAAGCATTGTATCGTTTTTGTGTCTTTGTGAGAAATTGTGAACCCCCCTTCTTTTGAACTCTAAAACTGGGGCTAATTTTAACTCTAACTCTAAGCTTAAAGTAAATAAGAATAAACTAAAAGACCACCAACGCAATTGTGTTTAAATTCTTTATTAAGGCCTAAATAAATAGTTGCTTTTGGGCTGAGACTAGAGGACCTTGGTCTTGTTGATGCGCTTTATGAGGGTGTCCACTGCACGGTGGATACGCAGCAGCAGGAGGTAGCCCAGGATCAGGGATGGCAGGCTGACGAACGTGGTCAGGGCCTCGTAGATGAAGCGCGGGGCAAAGATTTTCCAGACCATCAAGTGGCGGCAGTGGATCGTGCAGGCCATCATGGCACAAAATACCTTGAAATATTCAAAAATTATAAATAATTCGGATTATAAGAGATCTGTTCCTACCTTGAGTCCTTGGAGCATAAAGAACTGAGTGGCCAGCTTGAAACCCGTTCCTAGAAAGATGTCCTCGTACTCGTAAAGGGTCAGCTCGCCTCGCGTCATATCGAAGCCAACCGCCTCGTTGGCCAGGTCTGTCATGGATGTGGTGGCGTCTACCTTTCCGCCAGCACTGCTGCTCCTGCAGCTTCGGATCAGGTTGGGGAACAAGGCAAACAGCGAGTACGTTTCCGTACTGAGCAGGGAGTACATGGAGAAGAAGAAAATCGGTCCGCAAAACGTGTTCAGGATCACCAATATGCCGGATATGAAGTTGGACTGTCCAATGCCAGTGGTGCGACCCACAAAGGCGGCCCGCCACTCGATCTGCGACAAGGTGGTCTGGTGCGAGGTGGCGAAGAAGCAGAAGTGGGCGAGCAGGAACCAGCCCACCAGGGCCGTGAATGTGGGCTGCACGCAGGATTCTGAAAGGCAAATAATAGTACTTAGATAATCCTTTAAAGATAAGTTCCTCCAATTACTAACCAAAGCTATTAGCCGTCCTGTATCGCAGAATACCATGAATACTCAGCAGGATGGCTGCCACTGCTATGCACACTACCAATCCAATGGAAGCTCGCGGCTCCAGGAGCACAATCATGACCAGAGCCAGGAACACACCGAAAGTGATTACGATCGAAGAGTATACGGTGGCCAGGCCGTAGACCACGGGTATGGCATCCCTTCGTTCTCCATCGTTGCCCTCGTACATGCGCTTCATCTTCCTGAAAATCTCCGGCACAATGCTCTCGCTTCCGTTGACGATAACGGTATTGGCGTTCCTCGGTGGCAGAACGAAGATCATGAGCGGAGCCCAGGACACCACAATGATTTGGAGCAGGAGCAGAGCATAGATAACAAGTGCCAGGGCATCAATGTGGGATCTCTGAATGTTCTTAATGGAGCTGTTGGCGAGCAGGACATGTCCACCAGCACAAATGGACGCCACCGTGGGTCCGTATCGAGCCAACAGCACGTTTGCAGAGTTTCCAGTAAGATTTCCGCAGGAGCGCAGATACAATCGGGTCAGAGTGGTGTAAACCACAATCACAACCACGGCCAAGATGTAGGTTTTGCCTGAGCCAGGCTTCTTCAGGGAGAATCCTGCTCCACCGCTGTTGGTAAAGTCTGAGCAGTTGCCCTGCTCCTCGCGGCAACGGAAGAGGGTGTAGGCGAAGCGTATTAGGCAAATGGCCAAGAAGCTGGCCAGGATCAGCCTCAAGGCAGTGGAGCGCAGAAACTGGGAGGCTTTGAACTTGGTCCTGAAGTCAAGCCGGGCACTCAAGCGCAGGAGCTCGTGCGAAAGCAGTAGGATAGTTCCAGCCAGGAGATACGACAGGATTTTTGCCTCCTGGATCACAAAGCTGTTTGAGAAAAAGACAGCCATGGCGGCGAAAAGGAGCAGCCTAGTGGGCATGTGGGCGAACCTCCGGACTGCTGCCCAGTTGCTGGCAATGTTGGTCCAGTGGCGCAAAACATGGAAAGACAACACCGCCGCACTTGTCAAAGCCGTGAAGAATATAACGCCATGCTCCTCGGTCTTGAAGGAAAAGTTCTTGTAGTACCGATAGCCGAACACTCCGGCGGCCAGGTTGATCAAGTACGCGTAGAACGTCTCCTTGGCTTTGAAGATCTTCTCATAGTCCACCGGACGCGAGTTGTTCACCAGCAGGAATATGAAGAACAGAGGCAGGAAGCTGAAGAGCAAGCCATGGGACATCAGGGTGGGATCGAACCTCACCCAAATCTCCCGGCACGTCTTTAGAATATCCCGCAGATTAATATTCAAGTCCCTGACAAAGTTCTTAAAAGCAGCCTCATTGTAAATGGTCTGCACTCGGTGGGAGAGGAGTATATACTCTGTTTCCAGGCGATCCATCTCCTCCACGTTGAAGGTGCGCTTGTTTTCGAATGCATACTGGAAGAAGTACCGGTAGATCTGCTGGGCATTCTGCCAGGAGTGCAGCAGCAGAGTCTGGAACTTATTCAAGTACGGAACCGGAATTTCTGGCACGATGTTGAAGTTGATTAGACCCAGGTTGGAGTAGGGTATCGGAACGCCGAGGATGGTCGCCAGTGTGGGCACCAGATCAATCTAGAAAGCAAACAACGCCATGGTTATCATTGTGACGTGATGAGATTGCCACGCTTGTCTTATCTCCTACCTGCTGCAGCATTTCGGTATCAGAACCGGAATCGTTGCCAAAGAACCTGTGCTGTTTGGAGTAGGCAAACAGCAGGGCATTAGTTTCGTCTTCGGTATCACCGCCATGATCTCCTGACGCAGTCATTCCATGGTCACCCATTACCAGCAGAGTGGTATCATTGTCCATGGCCTCCACCACGGACCTGGAGGTGAACGGGGGTGTTGATTCAAATAAGAACGTACGAAATCGGTAAGCGGTTAACCTCACCTGATCACATCATTCATTTCGGTGAGTTTTCGCGCCATTTCCTCATGCATGGGTCCATGCTTGTGGCCGCAGTGATCCACTCCCAGAAAGTGGGCCACCAGCACTTCCCAGTCATTGCTGGACAGCTCTTTCGGTAAATGCTTCAAAATCTGTTTGTCCACGCTGTCCAGATCGAAGATATCAAAACTAGGGTACGAGTAGGCACGTTTAAAGCGACGCGGATACAAATCCGTCCAGGTGCTGTCGCCCAGAAAGACCATCGGCAGCTTGCTACTCGCTATCTGATCAATGACGTTGTCCTCATTGATCTCAGGCGAGGCAAAGTTGGATCCGATGTCTATAAAGGTGGGTAGGCTACCGGTGGTGAGTCCTTTGAGGCGCTGCATAGTGGTGGTGGGAGGATCCGCCTTGAATCTCATTAGCCTGGCATGATCCGGATTCCGCTCCAGCAGCTCATTCAAGAAGCCCAGTTTGTTTTCGTACGGAAGTGGTTCACTAACATTGTCCCGGTACACGCCAAACTCGTACTTGAGGGCATCCACAACCAGGATAATGACCCTCGACTTTTGCGGAAGACACAGATTAGCGGAGGCGTTGACATCCTTGAAGATCTCGTTCACAACCTCGGGTGATAGGACATATTCCTGAAATACCATTAAATATCTTTTGTTATCCATCCCTCATATGGTAATCAAGCTCTGACTCACATCATTAGGATTCGTGGACAAACGGCGGCAGGTGCTCGTTTCTGTCTTGGAGACCCGGGCCAGCAGAAAGCCCCGCGAGAATAGCAGCACTCCGCTGCTAATGAGGAAGGCCAGCCAAATGAGCACGAACAAGTACGTGAAGTTCATCTTCCGGCGTTAATTGATCAACTAGACAGGCACAGAATGTGAATTAATGAGTAATACTGTGTGCGACTCGCACTGGCTGTAATTCTCTGCTCCTGCTGTATAAAACTATATTCTTTAATTGCACTTTGTTGTGTGGTTGTGTATTATGCCTCCTGCATATCGCAGCTTTATCTTTGGACGTTATTTTCATTTAAAATTTTCATTTTTCCGAAATTCGCTGGGAATCAAAGAAAAATTTAGGAAAATGAATGGTGTGGCGTTGCCACACTGCTCTACTATTAACAGCTGTGGTAATCGCGCAGCCCTGGTTTTCGGCCGATTGGTTTCAAGACAAAGCTTTTTGGCGGACTTTTTGAATTTGAATATTTTATCTGTTTATGTTTTTTATATATATTCAACCCAAAAATAAAAACTCTTTTTGGTAAATTGTATTTCATAGGGCAAAAAATTTTGCATTTATTTAAAGATTTTATACACATATAGCAAATCTTAAACCAGCATTAGCAACAAACGGTGTATGTGGGATTTTCTCTTAAACTAACCAATGGATTTTCATTATTTTGCACGCAAGCTCTGGCTCTGATTGCATTTTGAAATCAAATTTGAAAATAATTTTCGGAATTTGCAAAACTTGCACTTATCGGGACCCGTTTCGCCATCTAATCACGTAACTCAAAGCCTAAGAAGAGACAAAAGTGTAAAACAAATTTAAAATGTAAAAACTCAGTACTCAGCTATACTTAATGTTTTTTTTAAATGTATTCTGAAAATTGGAAATAATTCTTTGCTTGGTTTTTTTTTTTTGGGAATGAAAACTAACTTCGTTCTTCGTTGCAGACACCCAAGGTTGTTGTTACAAGTCTTTAGACATAAACTTAGATCGAATGGTATTATAAGTTATTAAAGCAAGCTATGATAGGCCTGCCCTCGCCAGAAGATTAACACAATCATGCAGTTCCATAGTGTGCTCCCCTTTAGCCAGAAATGCAGCACAGGTTTAGTGGATTTCAGTTACATAGGTGTATATATATATATCGTACAGTTACACACGCACATATGATCTTTAGCTAATAATTAAATTCTGATCCTGGTGTTAGTGCGCAGACACGACAGTTCGCATTAGTTAAATAAGTTATTAGAGTGTTTTGTGTGGATTTGGGTGTTGTTGTGTGTTCTTGTGTGTAGCATAAATTGTATCCTCATTATTATTATGATTTTGATTCGCCGAGCGCTGCCTCCGATCTACTCGATATATCTACTTGGTGAGTGAGTCTGTGGGTGAGTTCAGGCCCGAGGATGTGTTGTTCTCGTCGAGGGCGTCTGGGAAACTGGATACCGAACCCGATCGGGACGTCACCTTGGTCTACAATGGAACAGAAAACCGAACAATTGGTATAGTAGAAACGTGCAGCAGCCATCTCAGCCAGAGTCTGTTTTTTTATTGTGTAAGCAAGCAGAAACAATCGAAATACTCCCAATATTCTTAAAAAAATTTGCACAATTATTGAGTTAATGGGTGTCGTTCAAGTGTGGAAAGGTGGATTAGTGTTATGGGGGCTTAGAAACAAATCGCAACAGTATGGTAGATGTGTAGAGACAGAAAGATATATAATAAAATAGTAGTTACCGCATGAGATTGGCACATAAAATTGTTGTGTTCATAGCTTACTTTAACGTTCTCGTAGGCCGAGCCCACAGAAGCCTCAATAGAACGCATCGACTCGGAGTTTTTCATTTGCGACAGTTTCGAGGAAATGCCGCTGGTGATGCTGCCAAAGACCGAGGCGGTCTTCTCGCCCGTGGACTTCAGCACCGACTCGGTTCGTTGGTATCTGCGAAGGGAAATAAAACCAATCAGTACTTGACCTTATTAGGGATAATCTAATCAAACAAACAAGTAATGAGAGTAGGGGGCAGACACCAAGTGCATTTTAGTTACAAAACAGGCTAGAGATGTTATGGTGTTAGGAGGAGGAAGCACAAAACACAGACAGCATTAGTCCGGGATACCCTGAGGATCCGTCACCACAATTACTTACAGGGGTGCTTCGTGCACGGCCTTAGAAAAATTGCCCACGCTCTGCTCCACCGATTGGAAACTAAATAGATACATGTTTTGGCGTTCAACATGAGTTTTAACAAAACAAAAGCATGGTTAGAAATCAAGAGATCGGCTAGTCGGATTAATAGCTTCCCCACTTGAAGAATGCCATCCTGATCAGCAGACTTACACAGTGCTCTCTTTGATGTTCCTCAGGCCCTGGTTGACGTCGTCCGTGACCTCCTTCCAGACGGTGATGCCCAGCTTGCGCTTAAGGTCGGAGGCGTGTCGCGTCTTGGATGCGAGTACAGTGCGCAGCGTATTGATCTCCTCCTCCACGCGGGCCAGTTCCTAAAATGAGTGAATGGATTTATAGAAGCTAGTGGTGTATGGGTTAACCCAACTCACCTGACTCCACTCGGCGCGACGCTGCTCCTTCTCCTCGACGGTGAGGGCAGCAAACTCGGCGGCAATTTCTGCAGATGCCACAGAAGCTGCTGGAGATGCTGGCTCCGACAGGTTGGCTGTATTATCTGGTCACCAACGAGAGGATTCAATTAGTTCATAGCTCAGTAATAAGGGATTTAAGTAAGAGTGTGCTTGGGTGGGGGGACTGTAGCATAATTCGAATGATGTCTGGCGTGGTTTTGGTATGTACCTCCTTTGAAAGCAACTTCCTCAAAGGCTTTGTCATAGGCTGAGTTTGTTTTTTGTGCAATTTGCAAAGACATGAGTTGGTTAGTTTGTTAGTTAAGAGCTACGGTTTATACTCACAAACTGTCGAGTCGAAAGGCAGGCAGAATGAGGAAAAAAGCAGAGAAGTTAGTCGGGTTAGTCATGGTTTTAAAAACGGTTTTCATTTTTTTGTTGTTTGGAAAGAACAATGCCCTGACCCTACTCTTCTTTAGTTGCCCAAATTTGTTACCTCTACCGCTATGACCGATGTTGAGAAATCTCTTGTAGTTGTCGCTGTTCGATATCTTGGCCAGATACGGCTTGGAGAAGTCTATGAACGTGACCTTAACGTCGCGCATCGTTCTCTTGGTTAAGAACTTCAAGCGGAAGCGCTTCGCCAGGGAAGAGGAGGGTGCCTGGTTGGCCAATTTGGCTCCAATGAACTCGGCCTCCACCGCCTGCAGCTCCAGGGTGTTGGCATAGTCCGAGTCCACATCGTAGAAGATCTGATCGAGAGTCAGATTACGCAGATACAGCTCCGCCTCGCTCTCCTGGATACCATCTCCGTACCAATCGAGGGCAGGATCGATGGCCTCCAGATCCAGCGACGGCGTGCTAGTGAGATCATCGATGCCCGGTAGGTATGGGTCCTCTATGAACTCCAGGCTATTGGGTTCCGATTCGCTCATTCTGCTACTTTGGTGGCTTTGGGGCGGCGGTTTGTTTCATCTTACAGCACTTTCTATTTTGAACGTGGCAGCTGGCTGGAGGAGGCGGAGGAGCATGTGGTCTGTATCACGTTTCCAGGGCCATTCCTGGGCACATTTTCTTTTTGGTTCTTTGCTGAGCTTTCAGTTTTTTCGCCTCCCCTGGCCACGCCTCCCTCTTCCCCATGCGATTAACTTGTTGCTTGGCTTTTGACTTTCGGTTTCGGGTTTTTTGGTTGTTTTCTGGTTTCTGTTTCGGTTTTGGCCCTGCTTCCACGCTCCGCCACAGCTCGACGCCAACTAAACCGATCTCCCGAGAGCTTGGCTTAGAAACTGGTGGATGTGGCCAAGAGACCACTAGCTGGCTCCGCTTGCTGATGATTCGTGTCAGCACGAAAGACGAGAAACGGAACGGCACGAAAAGAGCGTAAAAAGTGGCAACAGCAACAACAGTGGAAAGTACAGTGGCACTCATTCAAGTTCAACAATTTACAAACAAGTCTGTTTGATTTTTGTAATAATTTATTATCAATGTATTAATTAATGGCTATGAAGATACCAAAATAATAACAAATAATCAAGGGGGAGCGCTCTAGTGACTTTATCTACATCAACCTGATAACCCATGACGTTCGAATGAATCAGACTTTGAAATCGGTGATAAAGTGCATAAGGAACCAAAGCTTCGAATAGGTAATAGATAAACACTTAACTTTTATTATATATTTTGAGATTAGCAGTTGGAAATGGGAGTTATTTAATATTCTATCTTTTAGACTTGGAGATTCATCTCTTCCAGTATCCACTGTGGATAACAGGGATTTTTACCTCATAACTCTCTTTTCCTACTTGCTAAACCCCAATTATAGCTTGTTACAATTTTTACCAGACTTTCCATGTTTCCCGCACCCATTTTTTACTGTAGTACCTCATACCAACAAAGCTCAAACTGTGCCACATTGAAAGACCTTTCGGTGGATCTGGTTTTCTGGAAGTTGTTGCTCTGTTGGGCTGCTGCAGACTTTATTGCTGTTGCGGCAGGGCCAATCGAAGACTCAACAAGTGGAAGCAATGACCAATTATCGAGAGCTCTGGAGTTCGGCTCAATTAACAAAGGGGGGCTATGTCTATGGGGGCCACGATAAAACCGCACCAGAAGAGGCGTTCTGGGCGCTATCGCAGCCCCCTATTTTCCTCCCCAAAATAGAGAACGCAAAAGAATCAGCGATACTGCAGCAGCCACGTATACAACGAGCTGTCAGAACAAACTGCAATGTTTACAACAGCGCCAATATTCTTCGCTCTTCTTCTTGAACGCGTCATGTCGAGCGACTCCCACGGGTTCCGCTGGACATAAAGAAAGCCTTTCACCCTACACACAAATCAGAAACATGAGTCATCTGCTCGGCCTTCACAATGCCAATATTGGCCCCAACAGGCCAGGCCCAAGTGGGCCCATTCTCAGCCACAAGTGAAGCCGCTGAATCAGCTTCTGGCTAGCAGACACCGAAACCCCAATTAGCGGTGCCCTAAACAAAGGTACATAGGTGTACCTATCCGACCAGAAGCGCTGGTCAAGAACCCACGAAAACATGTGCAGCGGCTTGAAATTTTCAATGATTGCACTTGCTGCGAGTGGCCAACACTTACGATCCTCCATTGTGACGATTTTTCCGGTTGTCTGCTGCAATTTTGTGAATTTGACCGGCGCGAAACGTATGCACTTGTCGCTAAAATTTGTAGAAAAATAATTTTGTTTCTCGAGCTGCTAAGCTATTGATGTTAGCTTCAACCAATCGAACTATCGAAATAAGCTTTGGAGCGGAGCTGTCATCACTAGTCGGAAAACATCGATAGTTTATTGCCCCCATGGAGTTGCCAGACTGATAAACATTTTAAGCTTTGGTTTAGTTCAAAACTTTTTATATTTCAAAAGAAATAATACATTCGGATGTATTTGGTATATCTCGTTTTTAAAATAAAATAAAAGAACAGAATGGATTATAGGTGTGAAATTTCTTGCTCGGCATCCAGAAAACGACGTTTCATACATTTGATTTTGTCCGTTAATATAGGAAAATATATACATTTTATATCATTGTATTTTCTACGTTCTTAGACTTACTAATGCAGTTGTTGTAAATATGTATGTATATTTTTAAAAATTTACAATATCAGGTCTGTTATTCTTGGTGTTATATATCCTTATCAAAACGGAAGCAATCAAAATTCGGAACCAAAATCAAACAAAACTGGAAGAAAAACTAAAGAAATGGAAAAAAAGATACAATTTGTTTACGTTTTTTATTGGTTTTATGTTTTTTGTTGTTTTTGAATAGTAATAGTAAAAAAATGAAAATTTTTTCTCATACTTTGTGTTTCAACTGTCAGATATATTGCGCGGTGCAGAGTCTGGAAAACTGAAGAGCCGACACCCGATACTCGTACAAAGTACAGGACGAGGGGATTTTTTAAATATATTATTTTTTTTTGTTTGAAAGACATTCCACACCGCGTCGCATACGAAGATAGTTAAGTGGAAAACATAAGTCGAAAACAATTTAATATAAATCAAGAGGATTGCACAAAATTAAAATGTTGGTACTCATTTTGAAATGTGTATAGGATTCGTATGTTTTTTGTTTTTTTAGTTCTTGTTGTTGTGTTTTGTTTTTTTGTGTGTATCATGGTGTGGATTTCGGGAGCAGGAGCAGACGTGCGGTAAATAGAGTAAATTAATGTGTAAATTGTATAATTGCTGGTTAAATTGGTCGCCATCTCCACTTCCACTGATGCCCCGGGCAACGCAAGAAACGTTTTTACAATACAATCAACATTTACTTTCGCATAAATCATAATAATCACAACTCTTGGGGCTGCGTTGGGACAATCGGGATGATGAGCAGGAGCAGGAAAGGGAAATGGAAGTGGATCCGAAAAAAAAAAAACCATATAATATGCATATAGAGACGATTAGATTTAGAGTGTGGCGAGGGTAAATGTAAATAATTAACATTTTATGCTTTAGGCTTAGAATTACTTTCGTTCTTGACTTTCGTGCTTCTCTAGTCAGTTTCAATTCAATTAACAAACCATTTCTGAACTTTCTGCTTATGCTTAGGGAGCTTCAACTAATTAGAATATTATGTGTTGCAATGGAGAATGGTTATATAAAAAGAAATTGGCAATTAAGTTTTGTATGTATAAAGTGGCCGGGGTTTGGATTGGGGAACTGGGGAACACTGAACCGGGGGGCTGTAAGTCGGTTGTCTGTTTTGTTTCGTTACTTTTTTTTTTTTCCATTTTTTGTTTTTGTTTTTTGTTGTATAAATGCAATTTCATGTCAGTGAGCGTGTTGTGAGTGTCATTGTGGTGTGTGTGTGTACTTGATTCTCTATCAAATCATACAAAAATAGTTTGTTTAGTTTTAGTTTTCGATTAACCTGCACAAATTGCGTTGTAGAAAAGCTCCTGGGAGAGACAACCTATACCGTTTTGACACTAGTTTTCGACTAAGGAGACGCCCGCACGCTGCCCCGATGCTCACTGCCCGCCAATCCAGCTCCTGGTCATGCTCCAGCTCCAGCTCCAGCTCCAACTCCGATCCCCGGCGCACCCCAACGTCTAGTATTGCTGCTACTGCTACTGCTTCTGTTTACTGCTTGTGGTGGACCACTTAGTTCTTGGGGCCCCACACGGAAGTGATGGGAGCGGTGGCCACCGGAGCCCCGCCAGCAGCAAAGTGCGGGAAGTCCTCCTGCGACTGAGTGTTCGGAGCAGTCAGGTTCTTGGCCTGCTGCTTCTTCTCCCACGGCGCATCCTTGATGACAAAGCCGTTCTCGCTGGCTCCGCCAGCCCCGGATCCCGAACCGGATCCAGTAAGGAAGGCACCCACCGTCTGCGGCTGCGGCGATGGCGGCAAGTTCTCCAAATAGTCACGCTCGTAGTCCTCTGCCATGCTGAGCAGGTACTCCTTGGCGTTCTCCACATCCTCCTCCTTGCCGATGATAGTCACAGCGTTGGGATTGGTTTTAGCTTCATCGTTAGTGGGGAACTTGATATCCACCTGTACATCCAAGAATATTAAATAGTATACACATTTATAAACAGTATTCTCCCAGTTATCTTACACTATACTCCTCAATGATCTTGCGAATGCTGCGTCCACGATGGCCAATGATGTGCGAGTGGATACGGGTGTCGATCTCAATCACCTCCTTGTGGAGGGTCTGGAGGTCCCCGACGATCTCCAAAATGGCATCGCGCGCCGCCTCAGCCTTGGCCTGGTAGCCGGTGATGGAGATGATGCGCTGGTTGGGGTCGTCCCGCTTGGGAAGCGAAATGTTGACATCGTGGGCGGCACGCAGCTCGTTGATCACGGCGCCGTGGCGACCGATGAGCTTTGAGTGGTACTCGGTGTCCACATCCACCTCCAGGACAAAGGAGCGAAGCTCACGGTCGGCCCGATCGGCTTCGTACTCCTCGATCATCTTCTCCAGAGCTTCGCGAGCCTCGGCCACATGGGCGGGAGTTCCGGATACCTTGATGGTGTCGGACTTGAGCTCGCTGGGTGGCAGCTCAACGTGCACATCGTACTTGGACATGAATTGGCGCACGTTGGCACCGCGACGCCCAATGATGTTGCGGTGAAGGTCGAAGGGAACCGTCAGCTCCTCCTCGATGGGGATCAAGTCCAGCAGAGCCTGCTTGGCGGCCTCGCACTTCTCGATACGGCCCGTAATGCGGATGACATCACACTGGCGTACCGGCTCGGCAGCCTCCGACTCCTGACTGCCATCCTGGGAGTCGCCACCGCCGTTGACGTCGCTGCCGCCATTGGTCAGACCCTCGACAGGATCGGTGGCATCGCGATCGGGGAACTTGATCTGCACATCGAACTCCGAGGTGACCTGCTGGACCTTGAAGCCGCGAGCGCCCATGATGGTGCGGTGCTGCCGTTGTGGAATCACCACCTCAATGGTGGTCTGCGCCTCCAAGTCGGCCACGATCTCCTCGATGCGCTGGCGGGCCGCCTCGATGCAGTCCTTGGCGCCCTTGATCGTCACCTTGTCGGAGTTGGTGCCGGCTCGGGGGAACGAAATCATCACTCCGCCGCACTCCTCGGCGATGCGGTGGAGGATGAAGCCGCGCTTGGCCACAAAGTGCTTGTGGTGCTTGGGGTCGACGGCCACCTCGCCCTCCGTCACCTCGTCGCACTCCTTGATGATGGCCTCCAACTGCTCGCGGGCCTTCTTCACGCTCTCTTCCTTGCCAATGATGGTGATGACCTCCTTGTCGGTGTCCTCGTTCGAGGGGAAGATGATGCGGGCGCCGGTGGCATCGCGAATCTTACGGATGGAGGCGCCGTTCTTGCCGATGAGGAACTTGTGGTGCTGCTGCTTAGCGCGCACCTCGGCCGTGAACGAAGCCAGCTGGCGTTCGTTGGCCAGCTCCAGAAGCTGGCCCTTGGCCTTCTCCACATCGTCCTTGGGACCGCGAATGGTGACCTGCAGCGAAGGTTAGGATGTGGTGGTTAGGATGTACTAGGGGGATGGCATTTTATGAAGCTTACCTTGTCGCTCTTGGAATCGCTGTTCGGGAACTTGATGGACACTCCGCCGCACTCCTCCATGATCGAGGAGATGAGCTTGCCGCCAGTGCCGATGATGGAGTTGTAGTACTTGGGCGAGATCTGCACCTCCTCGGTAACGATGTCGGAGAGCTCGTTCTGGATCTTCTGGATGCGCTCCTTGGCCTCCAGGACGTTCTCCTTTTTGCCGGTGATGACGATAACCTCGTTGGTGTCGCCCTCGGCGGGAAGATCGATCTTGGTCTGGGTCTCGTCGCGAATCTTCTTGATGTTGGCGCCGCCCTTGCCGATGACGAACTTGTGGAACTGCTTGAAAATGGGCACCTCAATGATGTGCGATGACTCCTGGATCTCCTTGACCAGCTTCAGCAGATCCTTGTGGCACTTGTCGACATCCTCCTTGGGTCCACGCAGCTTCACAATGTCCGTGTTCTCCTGGGGGGTGGGTATCGTGATGGTCACCTGGCGGTAGCGGTCCTTCACCTCGCGAATCTTCTCGCCCTTGGCTCCGATGATTGAGCGATGGAGCCGCCGGTCGATGATCACATCCTTCGATTTTTCGTTTTCCAGTTTGTCGATTTTTTCTTGTAATTCAAGCAGCGCCTGCCGCACACCCTCCTTCGGTCCCTCGATGCGAATGTTGTTCTGGCCCTCGCGCTCCTCGATGTTGATGTTCACCTTCAGCTCGTCCTTCAGCCGGTTGACGTTGGCGCCAGCCTTGCCGATGATGTGCTTGTAGTACGATGGGTTCACGGTCATCACCTCGAAGGTGAAGTTGTCCTCGTAGTTGCGAATGATGTCGGTCAGATAGAGGACGGCCTTGTCCACATTTTCGGGATCGCCCTCGAGCTTGATCTTGTCCTCCAGGCAGTTGACGTTGACGTTGGGGCACTCCTCCTCCAGCTGCTTCATGTTAGCGCCCTTGCGTCCGATCACGTACTTGTGGATCCAGTGCGGGGCATTGATCTCCATAGACTTGACCGAGTTGGCCTTCTGGTAGACGACCGTGAGGGCGTTTCCGAGGGCCACCTGGGGTCCGCGCAGGGTGATCGTCTCCGAGGTGGAGTCGTTGGGGGGCATCTCAACGGAAACACCGGTCAGCTGCAGGATCTCGGCAATGGTGGAGCCCTTGGGACCGATGACGTAGCGGTGCTGGGCCTTCGCCACCTCCACACTGACGGTGGAGCACTTCTTTTCCATCTCCTTGTAGATGGCCTCCACCTTGGCCTTGGCAGCGGCGACGGCATCCTTCTCGCCAGAAATGATGATTTCGTCCTTCTGCACCTGCTGCGGCGGCACGTTGATCTTGGCACCGGTCTCCTCCTGCAGCTTGTTGAGGTTCTCGCTGTAGGGGCCGACAATGAACGGATGGTAGATCTTGGGCACCGTGGTACGGTCCGAGGACTTCTTGTACTGCTCGGCGGACAGCTGGCGGATCTCCTGCTCGGCCTTCTCGATGCCCTCCTTGGTGCCGGCAATGGTGATGAACTCGCTCTCATCGTTCTGGTTGGGGATGTTGATGCGTGTCGATGTCGAGCGCTCGAGGTCGCGCAGGCGCTGGCCACCCTTGCCGAGGATCACGCGGTAGTGCTCCCGGGGAATGGTCACCTGGCGGCTGGCCTGGGTCGAGAAGCTCATCAGAATCTTGCGGCGGGCATCGAGCAGCTCGCTCTGCTTGCCCTTGATCAGGAACGTCAGCGACTGGTTCTTTCCGCTCACGATCTCGATCTGGGCGCCAGTTTCCTTGGTGATCTGCTGGCAGATCCTCTTCGACTCGCCCTCACCGAACTTTTCCGACTCGGTGGACTTGCGCTCCTCGCAAGGAACATGCAAGACCTACAAAATGGTTATAGTTTAGAAGCCATTACTGATGACAAGCCTTGATTTTCTTACCTGAGTCTTCTGGGAGCTGGTTACCCGGGCGATTGTCAGGCTGGAAGCTCCGGACTGCGACGGCGCCGAGTTGTTGGCCGGCAGGGCCGGGAACAGGTCGTCGTAGCTGAAGGCGGGCGTGGCATTGCCAGTGCCACCGCTGGTGGTGCTAGTGGGCGTGGCCACAGAAGTGGGCGAAGATGGTTGCTGCTCGTTGGACACCTGCTCTTGGCCATTAATGAGGGCGATGGGCTGCTGCTCGATGGTAGTTGCTGTTCCATACAATTCTTTATTAATTATTTTTAATTTTTTTAATTAATTTTGTTTTTATTTACCGTTAGATTCCTCCATCACGGCTGCTGCTTGCATTACTTAAAAAAAGAGAAGAGTCCTTTTTCGTTCCAAGTCGTTTACAGTACACTGGAATGAAGATAAGGAGAGTTACTTGTGGTCTATATGGTTTATAGCTCAGGTCCCTAGTAGGACTCCCTACACAGGCACTCCTTGGCCTGGATCATGCATAATTCATAGCCAGTCCATGGTGAAACCAGAAATTCAACTCTCGGCCATGAAATCTCGGCCTTTTCTGGTCAATTTCTAGACTTTTTCAAGAGCACATCAGAACAATTTCAATTTTACGGACCGCCACTGTTAACAGTGCGTGTCCAAACAGTAGGGAAGTAGTTTCTCCGCCCAACTGTCGGTGGCGCTGATAAACCAAAATAGATTTTGTTCCACCAAAGCCGAAACTAAAGCCACGTAGTGCTTGCCGCTTGGAGCGGCGATGGGCGATGGGCGAGATGAGTGCCAGTGGCCGGCTCCGTTTTCGCTGGCGATAAGTGGACGAAAACGGGCCACGCAGGCAGATTCCGTGGCGGAGTGATAGCTATCGGTTGCGGTTACTCTACTGCCACTGATAAGCAGCCCCCACCCGATCGCCCCCAAGATATCGACCACCACTCGCTCACACACACACATCCACAACCACATCCACTCTGGCAATTAGTGCAGGTCCAGAAATAAGCTCCTATCAGTCGGATTCCGTCTGGGTGAAAGGTTGGGGACAAAAGGGAGAAGCATCAGTGGAGAGAGAGCAAGAGCGGGAGAGATAGAAAGATCGAAAGAAGCAGAGACGGAGACCATGCACTTGCTCGACCAAAGCTGTTTTCTAAATCAATGCCCAACGAGTTTCGTAGCCTACATTTTCCTCCCCTCCCCACGGAAGAACAACAAGATGTGGCAGCCACTATCGCCAGTTATGTGTTGGTGTGTGTGTGTGAGTGAATGCCCGAACGGGAAAGAAAGTTTGTTTTTGTAAGCACAACTGCAAATACCCTTTTATATAAATTTAACTGGAAAAACTAATAATATCTATTATCAAAATCATCTGATTTGAAATTCCATCCAACAGATACAGTATCTATGTATCTATCAGATATGTCAAGAGTAACAGTACACTCTCCCCCCCCCACAAAGTGTAGAAAAATGTGTCAAAAGAAGAGACAAGAGCAGGCGAGAGGGAGACCGACCAAGAGAGAGCTTGACGAAGTAACTTAACGGAGCAGGGGAGCCAGCTCCATATAAAACCGGATGATAGCCGGCAACAACTACAACAACAAAACGATCGCTAGAGTATGTATGTGTGTGAGAGTGTGCCTGCACATTTTTGTGTCGCTCTCGCTGGCATGGTATTGGTGCCTTGGCACCTTTCGAGGCACAGCAAGAAGGCACAGGTAAAAAACGAAAACAACTGACATACCTAAAAAAGCAGAAAATACAAATGTACACAGGGGGGAAAAATAACCAAAATTGGTCATCGATTTGGGGTTTATTTTTTTTATTTTTTTGTAGAAACCAGAACAGATAATTCTACTTTTTAAACAGACCCATCCTACAGATAGAAGACTCCCACTGATTCTAGGATCTTTTTTGTTGCAGTGTATAACCATACGGCCGTATGCGACGCTGACGTCGACAAATGAAGACAAAGCACAATGCGCTGCTAAAGTTCAGCTCCAACAGAAAATTGGTATGCACATATCGGGCTGGATTCGAACCAAAGTTTTCGAGATAGTCGAGGAAAAAAGCTATTAAAAAAATGCTTGACGTAGTCAGTTTTATGCATAAAATCGTTAACTTCTTGGTTTTCGACTAAAAACACCTAGTCCACAGTGTAAAAATGGTAAACTATGCAAATTAACACACAATTCGAAGCGATGATGATGGGGATGGGGAGTGGAGAAGGTTGTTCAACTTACGGTACTGTAAAATCCAAAAAATCCGGCCTAGTTTACTCTCCTTTGACCAAATCCAGTTTGATAACTTGGCGTGTCTGCTGCAAGAGCCAAAACAATTGGAAAATTAATGCAATTAGCGTATGAATTTTCGCGATGCAGATCACCGCCAGGATGCACTCTACACCACTGCGGTTCGTGCGGTCGGCCATGCTGCCGCATTTTCCCCCTAGAAAGTCTGTTGCATCTGGAGCAGAGTGCACTGATATTGGAGCGGAGAGGCGGAGACCGACAGTGGCGACAGCATATGCGGGCGGGCCACTTATTGGACAATTGGAGCAGCGTGGGCGTGTGTGCCAGCGTGTTAGTGGCTGTGCAACAGTGTGTGTGCGTGCATGCGGAAACAGTGGCGTATGCCACCGAAAATCAGGTGAAAGGTTGGCCGGATATGGAATCGGATCTGCCACATAGAGCAAGAGGGCGGGGCTCCTTCTGGTGGAGGGGCACTTTGATCCCCGTGAAAGTTCAGAACGTTCGAAAAGAACCAGCACGCGCGCCTTCCAATCTGACAAATATGCTTATATATGCGCACAGACACACGTACACGTTGGAGGTTTATGGTCTGCGTGGACTGCGGGTCTACGCCTTTGTGTGCGTGAGCGCGAGTGCGCCACCCGTGTATTATCAGCCATTGAAAAACACGTTGTTTTCCGCTTCCACTGAATTTTTCTTGTGGCGGATTTCGCCGAGAGCCCAATTCAAATCCAATTGCAGGTCCAAGGAAAAAGGTGTTGCACTGTCGGCCTGAATTTTCTCTGCCGCTGTCGCTGCCTCGGCCGCAGTCGCCGCCCTGCCGCCTCCTCCACAATCCGGCCCTTCATAACTGTAAATCGGTGCACTCTCTCGCCGTCACTTATGCAATTTAGGGCGCCCAATCGCGCCGGACGGATCACTGGCGGGCTCCGGACCCTCTTCGCACCGGAATCTCTCTAATTCACACCCAGACTTTCTAAGGAAAGGCAGCACGCACGGACGCGGAACTCTTCTTTACCGACTCCAAGTAAAATGTGAATGAACATGAACGTGGCAAATAGAGATGAGCGATAGGCTCGCCGGTGCAGGGATGTCACCGTCTTCGAACCATGGCGAGCTGTCAAACAAGAAATCGGAAGATTTTAAAGCCGACTTTTGGGCGTTTCATTATTAAAAAACATGATTATTAAAATAAAAGTGTTTTATTGTAGGTTTTTAACCTTATGATCAGTAAATAAGTGGATGATAAACTTTTAAATCAATGGATAATTCGCGTTTTTTTTTTAAACTATCGACAAGTGCTTAGGACTATCGATAGTCAGGCCATCTTTGGCTGCCCACCACCAAATCACAAAGAATCACAAAAAGACGGGAAAACTCCCCAATCTGTGGAATTTCCGGAGACGAGAGCTCATTCATCAGCCAGATAAAGTAGCGGTCAGCATGCCCAAGCTCAAGAATCTTTTGCCCACAATCTTTGGCAGTAAGGAGGGCCAGAACGCTGAAGAAGGACGACTGGAAAAGGATGCAGCTCCCGTGGACGACAGCGAGGGAGATAACAATAACAGTGGGGCGCTATCGCTGCCTTCCAGCACCACTCCAACAGCGTCAGCAGATCTCACAGAGTCCGTGATTCGGGAGCTCAGCGACCCCAACTATAACTCCATGGACGTGGTGCAGTCGGCCAATATTCCCGGGCCATTGAGCGCAGCCCAAACGAACAACACGATGAACGTGCACAGTGCCCAGCAACAGGTGGTTATGAACTTTTCGAATGCCAGCAACCTGCACTTTGGCTCTGTTTACAACTTTAACCAGAATCTGAGTGCCTCCAGCTCTCGAAAGAGCAGTGTAAGTGCCACAGAGGAGGGGGCTGCCACACCAGACTGCAAGCGGTCAGCCGCGACCCGAAAAACGGTAACCATCGTTACCATGATGCAGTCGCAGGAGGAGCCGGATGTACGCTTGTTAGACGCGGTGGCCACGCACTTAGGTGAGGGATGGAAGCAGGTCATGCGCGATCTAGGCCAGTCCGAGGGGCAGATCGACCAGGCGATAATCGACCATCAGATGCACGGAAATATCCGCGAGGTAAGTCAACTAATTTGAGCTAACAAAATTTTGTAATCGTAATATTCATGTATTTTCAGGTGATTTACCAGCTCTTGCTTCAGTGGGTGCGCAGCTCTGAGAATGGGGTAGCCACCGTCGGACGACTCACCACGCTGCTGTGGGAGTCCCAGCATCGGGATTGCGTGCAGCGCATGAAGCTGGTTTGGAAGGCACTGGAAAAGCGCAAGACAAACAGCTAGATCATTTGTGGCATTTGTCTAAAATGATTCCAATCGAAAACGAAAATTTGGGAGCAGCCTCCAGATGCCGAAGTATGTCGGAGACTTCTGAAATGGCTGCCACCACCGATGATTGAGATGTGAAGCGGCCTTCGTTTGCCGCCAGTGGATGAAAGAGGAGACATCATCAGGCAATACATGTGCAATATTTGTTTTATTAATCCAAACCTTCGAATAAGTGCCTTGATGTTTGCAATAACTATTCTTAAACCTTTTTTATCTATAAGATGTGATATTTGTGTCGAAAAAGCAGCCAGCACCTGGAGCTGGCATTTCGTAGCATTTTATAAAGAGTATACAAATAGAAGATTTATTATATAACCAGAGGTAATCTTGTTTTCAACCTCTAAGCTACAAGTACAAAGTCACACAATCTTCGTGATCTTAGAAGTCAACATGTCAATCAGCATCTGAGCGCCGTTGCCGTTGAGCGACTGGTAATTGGGCTGCTTTGCCATCCTGTCCAGCCAGCCGCTGAGTTTGGGATACCGCTTGGGATCGACACTGGCCAGGCCAACCAGGCTTGACACGGAGGAGACCATACTGAAGTCCGCGATGGTTACGCCCGATCCACACAGATATGGCTGGTTGCCAATGAAGGTTTCCAGGAAGTCGTAGGCCTCGTAAATGGCATCGATCTTGGAGCGCGGTACCTCAGTCTCATTTTTGTAGAACAACGGGGCGGCGATGTTTCGAATGCAGCCCTGGAACAAGACTCCCGACTCAAAGTGCAGGCGCTGATCAACCAGAGCCCGCTTGAAGTAATCCCTCGGATAAAGGGAATCATCCTTGGCATATCGCCTCACGAGATAGGCACAAATGGCGTGGCTCTCCCAAATCCATTTGCCGTCGTCCTCCAGCATGGGCACCGTGTGCTGTGGGTTCTTAAGGGTGTACTCCTTGGTCTTGTGCTCGCCGGCCAGAAGGTTAACCAGCTTGTACTCATACTGTAGACCCAGAGCATCCAGGGTCAGTTTGCAGGCCCGCACCGGCGGACTCGCCTCTACGCCGTAAAGTACAAGTTTACCCATAGTCCGATCGCGTCGAGTGTTGTTTCGAAACTAAACACAATCGGGCAGCGAGCATTCCAATTGATTCCATATATTATTCAACCTCACTTAGCAAGTCAAAGCTTTTAACAAAACATGCTACGTATTTAATTCTATTAGCTAATAAAAACTTAATTGGTATGTAATGCTTGTAATTGTTTATATTTTTAGAATATAAACACCTGCTGGTGTTTGCTGCTTCCAATAGAAATAGATAAAGTCTTTTGAGTAGTTTTCTTATCACCTCCATAGTATTTAGTTATGAGATTTGGAAAATTCCATAACCCTTGGGATGGTAGTATTACTTTATATTATTTTTGTATTTATTAGCTTATGATTTTTATCAATAATACATTTTAAAAAATTAATATTAAGTGGCAAAGGTATAATTAATCTTTTGAAAGAATGCTGCAAACTTTCGGGCTCCAATGCCATTGGCCTCCTCGTAGTAGGGAAGCGCTTCCAGTCTCTTAATCCAGGCAGTGATCTTGGAGTACTTCACTGGATTCACCTTTACAAAGACCTCCAGAGTGGTGATGGATGAGATGAGACTGAAATCTGCAATTGTCAATTGATTTCCGGCCACGTAGTCCTGCCCGCTGAGAAAGCCCTCCAAGAAATCATAAACCTCGATAATGGCATCATAGCGTTCCCTGGGAATTACAAGGTTTCCAGCCACAACTGGCCTGACCAGGCTCCTAATCCCACTGGCGAACACCACACCCGATTCGAAGTGCAGGCGCTGATCCACGACAGCTCGTTGGAGCAGATCCTTGGGATACAGGCTGTCGTTCTTGCCGTACTTGGACACCAGGTAGGTGATGATGGCGTGCGAGTCCCAAATGTAGTGGCCATCGTCCTCTAGGGTGGGAACCGTGTGCTGGGGGTTCTTCTTCAGGTATTCAGGTGTAAAATGCTCCTTGTTCCTGGTGTTGACCTCTACGAGTTCATAGGGAACTTCGAGGGCGGCTAACGTAAGCTTTACTGCCCTAAAAGGAGGACTATCGTCAAAACCATATAGTACTAATTTCCCCATGTTAGCTCTCCTAGTTTCCCGTTAGAACTGAACGATCGGTTCAAAACCCCAAACCTTTTATGGGAGAAGGTTCAAAGAAATTCGCTAAGAGAGAGGGTGCTCTTATCACCACTAGACCTTATCAAGTTTCTCTTTGAATTTAGGTGAAAACTTTCTTCGGGTTTCAATAAATAGATTTAATAATACATAGTAATATTAAGTTTCAAAGGTAAAGTTAAACTTCCGAATAAAGTCAGAGAATTCCCGGGCACCACTGCCGTTGGTCTCCTCATAGTAGGGTAGTTGCTCCAGTCTCTTGAACCAGGCAGAAACCTTCGGGTACTTGGCCGGATCCACGTCCACAAATATTCTCATGGTGGAGATGGATGAGATCAGGCTGAAGTCGGCAATGGTCAGTTGCTTTCCGGCAATATAGTCGTCATCCTTCAAAAGAGTCTCCAGAAGGTCGTAGGTCTCGATAACAGCATCGTAACGCTCCTTGGGAATTACAGTCTTTCCATTAGTGACTGGTCTCACCATGCTCCTCAACCTCGCCTCAAAGATTACTCCAGATTCTAGGTGCAGCCGTTGATCCACCACAGCTCGCTGGAGAAGATCCTTCGGATACAGGCTGTCGGTCCGGCCGTATTTGGAGACCAGATAGGCGATGATAGCATGGGAGTCCCAAATGTAGTGCCCATCGTCCTCCAAGGTGGGCACCGTATGCTGGGGATTCTTTTTCAGGAACTCAGGGGTACGAAGCTCCTTGGCCATGGTGTTGACCACGACGAACTCGTAGGACAGCCCGAGGGCGGCCAGGGTCAGTCTTACGGCCCGGACTGGTGGGCTGGCCGTCAAACCGTACAAAGTAAGTTTTCCCATGTTTAAGTAAAGAGTTTCTTTCAACAACTGAATAAATCGAACGAAAGAGTCGACCAATTTATACGTTTTCGGAAAGAGAAAAAGTTTAATGGAAGAGCACGATCCGAAAAAGCTCAGAGAAACAAGTTTTTACTCTCTTTGCAATGGTTTCTTTGGCTTAAATTATTTCACCATATTTTTTCTGGAAAATTCTTGTTTAATAAACAATATTACAAAGTGCACAATCATTGGAAGATTTAATTAAATAGTTTTTCAAAGAAGCTTGTTCTTAACTGATCGGATGAAATAAAAAAGACAATTGCATTTAAGGAGCCTGATCCTTGAAAGAGAAAGTTATAATTCTTTTAACCTTAAGAAAATTTATGTTTTGGTTTATTTTAAAGGTGGTATATTAAAGTAATACGGCATTAATTAGCAAATTTTGAATAATCCTTGAATCCAAAAAGGTGCTTCTTAAAGAAACTTTATTCGTTTGTTTCGTGAAACTCTATCATATAAAAATTAAACCTTTTAAATTCATCTTATCATTCATACTATCTTATCAAAATAAATACAAAACTGGCATATGTTTGCCGGCCGGCAACAAATATTGGTTTTTCTTTTGAATTTAACATGACAGATTATTCTTTTTCAAAGGTGAAATTCTTTGCCTGGAACGTCTCAATATATATCTTGACTCCCTTGCCGTTGGCCTCCTCGTAGTAGGGCAGCTTCTCCAACCTCTTGATCCAGGCATCGGTCTTGGGATACTTGGCAGGATCAAAGGCCACGAAAGCCGCCAGGGAGGTCACCGAAGAGACGATACTAAAGTCCGCGATGGTCAGCTGATTGCCAGCAATGTAGTCGTGACCCTCGAGGAAGGTCTCCACGAAGTCATAGGCCTCAATGATCGCGTCGTAACGTTCCTTGGGAAGCGGTTTCTGACTCTGGAAGACTGCCGTGCCGGTGCGACGGAGGACTCCGGCAAAGAGTACTCCGGACTCGAAATACAATCGCTGATCCACCACAGCTCGCTGGAGCAGATCCTTGGGGTAGAGGGCGTCGGTCTTTCCGTACTTGGACACCAGATAGGCGATGATGGCGTGCGAGTCCCAGAGGAAGTGGCCATCGTCATCCAACGTGGGCACCGTGTGCTGGGGATTCTTCTTCAGAAACTCCGGGGAGAGTTGATCCTTGCCAAAGACGTTGACGTTGACAAACTCGTAGGGCAGGTCGAGGGCCGCCAGGGTCAGCTTCACGGCCCGAACGGGGATACTGGGATCGAAGCCGTACAATGTTAGTTTACCCATCTTGTCACGGTGAAAGCACCTGATGAACTAACCATTCCGCCTCCAAAACAGTCTATTTTTAAGGGTTTGTAGGATGGTAAGAGAAATGATAGGAACTGATATTTTAAGAGTACATATTTTCGATTTTATATCGGTCAGGAAGACTTATTATTTATTATATAATGTTGGCTCTACCTAAACTTATTTCCCCACATTTATCTGGAAACTTGTTTTTAAAGTCATTTCCTAAAGTCATCTTATAGTCCCTTCATAAACATCCTTCCTATCATTTCTCGAAGCTAAACTTGGTCTTTTTTATACTAGCCGCGAATATACGAGCACCCTTGCCGTTGGCCTCCTCGTAGTATGGCAGTTTCTCCATTCTCCTGATCCAGGCATCCACCTTGGGATATTTGACAGGATCAAAGTCCACGAAGGCGGGCAGGGAACTTACAGAAGATATGAGGCTGAAGTCAGCAATGGTCACGTGACTTCCAGCCATGAATTCCTCCCCCTGGAGGAAGGTCTCCATGAAATCGTAAATCTCAAAAATGGCCTCGTATCGTTCCTGGGGCACAGTCTTCTGGCCAAGAAAGAGCACTGGCTGGATAATACTCCTGATCCCGTTGGCAAAAACAACTCCGGAATCGAAGTGCAACCGCTGATCCACCAGGGCTCTTTGGCGGAGATCCCTTGGGTAGAGGGAGTCGGTTTTCCCGTACTTGGCCACCAGATATGCATTGATGGCGTGCGAGTCCCACATGTAGTGACCATCCTCCTCCAAAGTCGGCACTGTGTGCTGGGGATTCTTCTTCAAATAATCTCCGGAAAGTTGATCCCTGTCCAAGACACTGATGTTCACGTATTTGTAGGCCAGGTTGAGGGCTGCCAAAGTCAGTTTTACGGCTCGAACTGGCGGACTGGGGTCCAGGCCGTAGAGTGTTAGGCCTGCCATCTTATTGCTGGGGGGTCTCTTTATCAACTGATTGCTTGGAACCCAAAATACACTTGTATTTTAGGGGTCTAGATCTTTGAAAGAGACATTTTAAGAGATATGTGCTCTTAACATTAATGAAATTTTGTATATTTTTTTAAAAATATATACAATATATAACTTGTGAATATTATACTTTTCTATGAATTTGTTAGTGTAATTTAAAATAATCCTTGAAAGAAAAAAGAAACCTTTTTAAGGAACTTTATTTTGTTTGTTTCAGGACAGTCTTCCATATGAAAATAAAACTTGAAACCCACCTTATGAAACATACTATCTTATCAAAATAAATAAATATGGCATATGCTTTTGCCGGCCGGCAACAAATATTATTTTTTCTATTTATTAAGAATTTAACATGACAGATAATCATTTCTCAAATGTGAAACTCTTCGACTTAACCGTCTCTGCAAAGAGCTTGACTCCCTTGCCATTGGCCTCCTCATAGTAGGGCAGCTTCTCCAGCCTCTTGATCCAGGCATCTGTCTTGGGATACTTCGAAGGATCGAAGGCCACGAAAGGCCCCAGGGAGGTCACCGACGAGACGAGACTAAAGTCCGCGATGGTCAACTGATTGCCAGCAATGTAGTCGTGACCCTCGAGGAAGGTCTCCACGAAGTCATAGGCCTCCACGATGGCGTCGTAACGCTCCTTGGGAACCGATTTCTGATCCAGGAAAATGACTGCCTTGGCGATGCTGCGCAGTGCGTTGGCAAACAGTACTCCGGACTCGAAGTGCAATCGCTGATCCACCACAGCCCGCTGGAGCAGATCCTTGGGGTAGAGGGCGTCGGACTTTCCGTACTTGGAGACCAGATAGGCGATGATGGCGTGCGAGTCCCAGAGGAAGTGACCATCGTCATCCAACGTGGGCACCGTGTGCTGGGGGTTCTTCTTCACAAACTCCGGGGAGAGGTGTTCCCTGCCCAGGATGTTGATATTAACATACTCGTAGGGCAGGTCGAGGGCCGCCAGAGTCAGCTTTACGGCGCGAACTGGGGGACTGGGATCCAAGCCGTACAAAGTTAGTTTACCCATCTTGTCACTCTGGAAGCACCTAATGAACTGATCGTTCCTCCTCCAAAGCAGTCTATTTATAGGGGTTTGTGAGATGGTAAGAGAACTGATAGTTAATATTTTAAGAGCAAATACTTTCGATTGCATTTATCTCCGTTTGCATTTCAACGGAATATTTATTTTTCCCTATATTATTTCAGCTATTTTCTTATAAATATCACACTTTATTATCACTCGTTGAATACAAAGTTTTGTATATTCTTACAAGTATATTAAATATTAGTATAAAATTGTTTGTGTTTCTCTTATATGAATAGTTTCATCCAACTCTAAGCTCTTTATTTTTAACCTATCCCAACAGGTGGCTTTTTGTTGTTATTTTAAAAATTAAGAGAGTTTAGTAAATGATTAATTTCTATACTGTTTTTGCTTTTCTTATCGAAAATGACTTGTTTACAAAAATAATATATACAAGCATAAAAGCTTGGAGACCATCGGATGGACAATAATAGCACAAGTCATGATGACTTGAATGATGATAATGAAAATGTTTGATAATCGTATGGGCTTTATTGAAAGGGCCTGACATTGTATTGCTTTCAGGTTTCATAGGTTTCCAGAGAACGCTAATAACTGTAACTTTTCCAGAAATATGTATAGTACTTATGTACTATAACAAGCATAATTTAAAAAACCATAAAGCTCTAGCCGCATATTGGTCAAAGCCAATGAAGTTTGGGGTTCCACCCAAGGGAGTCCCCTAGAAAATTTGACAAAAAATTGAAAAAATAATTTGTTTCTAGATTTTGATGCAGATCGATTTAGAATCGATCCACAAACCGATAAAGGTACTCCGCTTACGGATCGGATAAGAATTGACAGAGATATAGCTATCGGACTGGGCCATATTGACCCTCCCATGCATTTTCCAACATTTGCAGGGGATCCTCTAGAAAAATTGACAAAAAATTGAAAAAATAATTTGTTTCTAGATTTTGATGCAGATCGATGGACAATCGATCCACAAACCGATAAAGGTACTCCGCTTAAGGATCGGATAAGAATTGACAGAGATATGGCCATCGGCCTGGGCCGATTGACCCTCCCATGCATTTTCCAACATTTGCAGGGGATCCTCTAGAAAAATTGACAAAAAATTGAAAAAATAATTTGTTTCTAGATTTTGATGCAGATCGATGGAGAATCGATCCACAAACCGATAAAGGTACTCCGCTTAAGGATCGGATAAGAATTGACAGAGATATGGGCATCGGCCTGGGCCATATTGACCTTCCCATGCATTTTCCAACTTTTGCAGGGGATCCCCTAGAAAAATTGACAAAAAATTCAAAAAATAATTTGTTTCTAGATTTTGATGCAGATCGATGGAGAATCGATCCACAAACCGATAGAGGTACTCCGCTTAAGGATCGGATAAGAATTGACAGAGATATGGCCATCGGCCTGGGCCGATTGACCCTCCCATGCATTTTCCAACATTTGCAGGGGATCCTCTAGAAAAATTGACAAAAAATTGAAAAAATAATTTGTTTCTAGATTTTGATGCAGATCGATGGAGAATCGATCCACAAACCGATAAAGGTACTCCGCTTAAGGATCGGATAAGAATTGACAGAGATATGGGCATCGGCCTGGACCATATTGACCCGCCCATGCATTTTCCAACTTTTGCAGGGGATCCCCTAGAAAAATTGACAAAAAATTCAAAAAATAATTTGTTTCTAGATTTTGATGCAGATCGATGGAGAATCGATCCACAAACCGATAGAGGTACTCCGCTTAAGGATCGGATAAGAATTGACAGAGATATGGCCATCGGCCTGGGCCGGGGCCGATTGACCCTCCCATGCATTTTCCAACATTTGCAGGGGATCCTCTAGAAAAATTGACAAAAAATTGAAAAAATAATTTGTTTCTAGATTTTGATGCAGATCGATGGAGAATCGATCCACAAACCGATAAAGGTACTCCGCTTAAGGATCGGATAAGAATTGACAGAGATATGGGCATCGGCCTGGACCATATTGACCCTCCCATGCATTTTCCAACTTTTGCAGGGGATCCCCTAGAAAAATTGACAAAAAATTCAAAAAATAATTTGTTTCTAGATTTTGATGCAGATCGATGGAGAATCGATCCACAAACCGATAGAGGTACTCCGCTTAAGGATCGGATAAGAATTGACAGAGATATGGCCATCGGCCTGGGCCGGGGCCGATTGACCCTCCCATGCATTTTTCAACTTTTGCAGGGGATCCTCTAGAAAAATTGAAAAAAAAATTCAAAAAATAATTTGTTTCTAGATTTTGATGCAGATCGATGGAGAATCGATCCACAAACCGATAAAGGTACTCCGCTTAAGGATCGGATAAGAATTGACAGAGATATGGCCATCGGCCTGGGCCGATTGACCCTCCCATGCATTTTCCAACTTTTGCAGGGGATCCTCTAGAAAAATTGACAAAAAATTCAAAAAATAATTTGTTTCTAGATTTTGGTGCAGATCGATGGAGAATCGATCCACAAACCGATAAAGGTACTCCGCTTAAGGATCGGATAAGAATTGACAGAGATATGGCCATCGGCCTGGGCCGATTGACCCTCCCATGCATTTTCCAACTTTTGCAGAAAATTTGAAAAAAAATTGAAAAAATAATTTGTTTCTAGATTTTGATGCAGATCGATGGAGAATCGATCCACAAACCGATAAAGGTACTCCGCTTAAGGATCGGATAAGAATTGACAGAGATATGGCCATCGGCCTGGGCCGATTGACCCTCCCATGCATTTTCCAACATTTGCAGGGGATCCTCTAGAAAAATTGACAAAAAATTGAAAAAATAATTTGTTTCTAGATTTTGATGCAGATCGATGGAGAATCGATCCACAAACCGATAAAGGTACTCCGCTTAAGGATCGGATAAGAATTGACAGAGATATGGGCATCGGCCTGGACCATATTGACCCGCCCATGCATTTTCCAACTTTTGCAGGGGATCCCCTAGAAAAATTGACAAAAAATTCAAAAAATAATTTGTTTCTAGATTTTGGTGCAGATCGATGGAGAATCGATCCACAAACCGATAAAGGTACTCCGCTTAAGGATCGGATAAGAATTGACAGAGATATGGGCGGGTGAAGCGGGTAATATTTGACGTAGGTCAAATTGTCTTTAAATGCATTATCCAATTTAGTATAGAAATAACAATTATGTAGTTGTGGGTGCTCAACCAATTTATTTTTAAATAAGGGACAGATAGTAGATAATTGATAGGTCTTAAAACAGAACATTAATAGTTACAGTAGATAAATTTATAACGATGAAATTCACAGTGTCTATAAAGGACAAATTATTTTAAAAGAATGAAAATATATTTTGGGACTAAGTATTTTTTCTTGGGGCTAGAATCTAGGGCACAACCGTAAAGTTCTTGGACCTCAAGAGATCCACAAACTGGGCGGCTCCACTGCCGTTGGCCTCCTCGTAGTAGGGCAACTCCTTCAGCCTCTCCAGCCAGGCTTCAATCTTTGGGTACTTGGCCACGTCCATTTCCAGGAACACCCCAATAGAGGTTATGGTGGACACCAAACTGAAGTCGGCAATGGTCACATGGTCGCCAGCCAGATAGTCGTGCTCCAAGAAGGACTCCACAAAATCGTAAATCTGGGTGACGTGATCCACCTGTTTCTGGGGCAGGGTGGGCTCTCCGTTGAAGAGGACCGGACGGGTGAGCCGGCGGAGGGCACCCTCGAACACCACTCCCGACTCGAAGTGCATCAGCTGGTCCACCTTGGCCCGCTGAAGCAGATCCTTGGGGTAAAGCTCATCGCTGGCGGCGTACTTCTCCACCAGGTAGGCCATGATGGCGTGCGAGTCCCAGATGTAGGCCTCATCGTCCTGCAGGAGGGGAACCGTGTGCTGGGGGTTCTTCTTCGAGTACTCATCGCCGTAGTTCTCCTTCTCGAACAGATTCACGAATATGTACTCGTAGGGCAGGTCCAGGGCCTTCAGGGTGAGCAGACAAGCCCGAGTGGGTGGACTGGCGTCCAGGCCGTAAAGCGAGATCTTACCCATGCTCCTGTCGATTCACTAATGTGCGGAAAGTGTCGATTTTGGAAGGATTTATAGTGAAAAGGGTCCTGGGAACTGACAGCTTGTTTATGGTTTTTTAATTGGGTTCCGCCCACATGCCCGCTCCACTGGAACTACGAGAACCCCCCTGGAAAGGGCATACAGCTGTGGGTTTAATTGTATACACTGTTATAATCGGGGAATATATTATTCAGATTTTTAAATATAAGCAACAAATTATTTTTAAAATGTTCCACAATCAATTTTATTTGATTTTCTCTTTTTTTGTTACAAACAGCTTAGATTCCAAAAAAGTACTTGTCAGAAATGTACTCTAAGCTTCTGTGAATTTTTTCTCTCAGTGCGAGCAATGCTAATCGTCAACAACTTTCTTTAATTAGTTGGACTGAAAAATAAATGTCCCAGGACACTCGGTAATTGTGGGAACGACCTGCTTACAGGAGAGTCAGCTTGTCCTTCAACAAGTCCACGTACTTCCTGGCCCCCGCCCCGTTGGCCTCCTCGTAGAAGGGCAGCTCCTGGAGGCGCTCCAGCCAGGCGGTGATCTTCGGATACTTCTCAGCGTCCAGCTCCACGAAGGCCGGAAGCGAGGACACGGTGGCCGCACAGCAGAAATCCGCCACCGTCAGGGTCTCTCCATTCACAAAGGAATTCTCGCCGAGGAAGGTCTCGAGATGGCCGTAACCATCCCGGATGTTGTTGGCCTTCTCCTTGGATATCTCGGTGACATTCTCGTAGAAATACGGAGCACAGACATTCCGCAGAGCCATGAACAGGGCACTGGCATCGAAGTACAGGCGCTGGTTAACCTGGGCCCGCTTCACCAGATCCTTGGGATACAGCTCATCCGAATTGGCATACTTGTCCACCAAGTAGCAGACAATGGCATGGGAGTCCCAGATCAGGGTTCCATTGTCATCCAGCAGGGGAATGGTGTGCTGGGGATTCTTCTGGAGGAACTCCTCCTTCTTGTGATCGCCAGCCAGCAGATCCACCTCCTTGAACTCGTAGTCCAGCTCCAGGGCCCGCAGGGTCAGCTGGCAGGACCTCACCGGTGGGCTGATGTCCAATCCGTAAAGCACAATTCCCGACATGATGCAAGTTCTATCAGTGGTGTTACCGAAATGATACTGCTCTCTGGATTTTCTGGGCTATTTATACGATTCTTTCCACCTTTGGAGACGTCTCCGAAGGGTCCGAGGGTTCGTATTTTCCCGGCAACTCGGAAAACGATCTTGGGTGGGGCTCCAGACGGAGTACTGCGAATTTCTATTCTCTCGAAGGGCTGCATACTCCATCCATTTCCTTTGAATCACCCACAAGGGGTGGGAGTAACTTCGGAGTAAGTATCAGTATATCCATTCGAAGGCGATATCTCATGTTCATCAAGGTGATTCATTAGAACTGAAAGATATGTCCGGGACCTGTAATATGAAGGTGAAGGTGTAGATATGTAATAAAGGTGTTTTTGGATGTATTGCTTTATGTATTGCTGTGCCCTTATATTTATGCCCTTGTTAAGTATTTATTTGGAAACATACGTATTTCTTTAATCTTATAGCATTTCTGATTGAAATCCAGGATCAAAGTTGCTATGTCTAAAACGACTTTGTAAAGTAAATTATAAAAAACCATTTTAAAATTCTGTTTTAATAAAATGCATTTAATATTTATTTATGAGCTTAGATATACAAAATTGATAGGATGTGTTAGGATCAAAGTCAAATTATTCCAATAATACGGTGTTATCTATAAACCCCATTTAAAGTTTGTTGTTTTTAACTCTCACAACTTTTCTTTATTTAAAACACGAATTAAAAGAGATAATAGTTACTTTTGCCTGCTACTCTTAGCCACAAGTTACTAGATAGTTCCTATAACTAGCTAGTATTAGTTTCCACTTACTAGACAGTTCCTAGCAAACATTTTAGACAGATTCTAGGACAATGGCACAATAGATTCAAATAAAATAGTAAACAAAAGTTATATGTTCACATTCTTTATTAACATATCATGGGTTTTATATTTTTATACAATGTCATACTTCTTATTTTTAATAAACCCCACCACCTGCACTATCCTGGAACCATTGGCCTCCTCGTAGAAGGGCAGCTTAATTACACGATTCACCCAATCGGCCAACTTGGGGTACTTGGTGGCGTTCACATCGCGGAAGGGAATCGTGGTGGACAAAACAGCAATCGTGTGAAAGTCGGCGATGGTCAGGTCACTTCCAGCCACGAAGTCGCCTTGCTCCAGGAACAGGTTCAAGTTCTTGTACACCTCCTCCAGGGCATCGAACTTGGCCTTTGGTATTTCGGTTTTGCCTTCCTTCAAGGGAATGAACAGGCCCTTTCCAGTGGCCACCATTACACTAGAATCGTAGTGCAGGCGCTGGTCCACAATAGCTCTTTTCTGCAGGTCCTTGGGATACATGGAATCGTCCTTCCCATACTTGCCCACTAGGTAGGCATTGATGGCATGGCTGTCGTGGATGAAGAAACCATCGTCCTCCAAAGTGGGCACCGTGTGCAGTGGATTAACCTTGAGGTACTCTGGTTTCAGGTGCTCTCCGGTCATGAGGTTAACAATCTTGTAGTCGTATTTCAGGCCCAGGGCATGGAGGGTCAGGTGTACGGAGCGAACTGGAGGACTTCCATCGATTCCATATAGAGTGAGTTTTCCCATTCTCTAGCTTTGGCTTCAACGCTGTGATTGATGACTGGCACCAGCATTATAAAGCTTTTATAGACTCTAGTTTTTATTTATTTGGTTTGGAATACTTTACATAAATAAACATTTCATTGGAAATATATGCAAGATGACTCACAAAGAAACTTGTAGATTCTTATAATTGAAAATCAATCAAAAGTACTGATTGGTCAAAAAGACAAAAACATTTTAATTATTTGATATGATTCCTATGATTACTAGAAATAGCATATCGATTTTTAATATCCAGGGCCTGAGGAGCTAGGCAACCATATTGTTATGACACTCGCCAGGTTTCCTTAAAGCGATTGGATTTTAAGAATAAAGGGATATAGAAAAGTTCTTTAAAGAGAAATAAAAGATTAGAGAATTCATTGAAACTCATTTATTTGAGGAATAAGTTTAAAAAATTTCTAAACAATTGCAAAGTTCTTGCTTTGAATGAACTCATGGAGCTTCACCACCCGAGACCCGTTGGCCTCCTCATAGTATGGCAACTGCTTGATTCTCTCCACCCAAGCCGCCAGTTTGGGGTATTTGGTGGCATCCACCTCCAGGAACGCCACAATCCCCGACAGGCCAGCAATGACTGAGAAATCGGCAATGGTCAGAGCCTCTCCCGCCAAGTAATCCGAACTTTCCAGCAATATGTTCAGATTCTTGTAGACGCCTTCGAGAGCATCGATTCGAGCCTTGGGTATCTGGGAGTTGTTCTCCCAGAAGAGGGGGAAGGTGATGGCCCGGTTGGTGGTGACCACCACACTGGAGTCGTAGTGCAGGCGCTGGTCCACTATCGCCCGCTTCTGGAGATCCTTGGGGTAGAGGGAGTCCTCCTTGCCGTACTTGCTCACCAGGTAGGCGTTGATGGCGTGGCTGTCGTACAGGTAGAAGCCATCGTCATCCAAAGTGGGCACAGTGTGCAGTGGGTTCATCTTGAGGAACGCCGGCTGCAGGTGCTCCTTCTCCAAGAGGTTAACCACCTTGAACTCGAATTCCAGACCCAGGGCCTTCAAGGTGAGCAGCACGGCGCGAACCGGGGGACTTCGATCCACTCCATATAGCGTCAGTTTTCCCATAATGTTTGCCGGTAACTGTATTTAAATTCTCCAGAACAAGAGCTTATGTATCTGTCGTGATTTGCTTAACCGAAGAGAGTTCTTTCTCTTAACTGTAGCGCTTAAGTAATTGTTTACCTTTGGAGTATTCCAAAATACAGGTAAGAGATCTTCAATGACGTGGCCTGACCAAAACTCTTTAAGAACCAGTTATTCCTTAAGTTGCATTTGAGGTAAGAGAGTTAATAATTTTGGTTTTTTTTTAATGAAATATGTATAAAATTAAAAAATAACATGTCTTTTGAGAGTGTTTTGTCATACATCCTAATTAGCTTTAGTAATAAGACAAAATTAATAAATAATTTAACACGAAATGCTGACATAAGAGAGCTTTTGATGATATCATATAAGCTCTTACGTGTCGCTATTTATTTTCGTTCCTGGTAGAGAATCAATAATATATATAGTCATTGTATTAAAAAAAATCAACAATTGAGAAAACTATATCTAAACAATGGTCAAGTTCTTGCTTTTAACAAACTCCACCACCTGGGCTATCCGGGAACCATTGGCCTCCTCGTAGTAAGGCAATAGCTTCATTCGTTTCAACCAACTGGCCAAGTTGGGGAATTTGTTGGCATCCACCTCGAGGAAGACAACCATCCCAGTTATCCAAGCGATGACATGGAAATCGGCTATGGTCAGATTACTTCCAGCCAAGTACTCGTGGTCTGTCAGAAATAAGTTCAGGTTTTTATAAACCCCCTCCAAGGCATCGATTTTGGCTTTCGGAATTTGGAACTCATTCTTGTAGAGGATGGGAAAGGTAATGGCCTTGCCAGTGGGCGTGTTCACACTGGAGTTGTAGTGCAGACGCTGATCCACGATCGCCCTCTGCTGGAGGTCCTTGGGGTAGAGAGAGTCCTCCTTGCCGTACTTGCTCACCAGGTAGGCGTTGATGGCGTGGCTGTCGTACAGGTAGAAGCCATCGTCATCCAACGTGGGGACCGTGTGCAGGGGATTCATCTTGAGGAACTCCGGCCTCAGCTGCTCCTTGGCGGAGAGATCCACGATCTTGTACTCAAAGTCCAGCTCCAGAGCTCGAAGGGTCAAGAGCACCGATCGAACGGGGGGGCTGCGGTCTATTCCGTAAAGCGTAATCTTTCCCATGGTGTGTCTCTTTCGAAGAGTTTTGAAGAACTGAGAATACATTTCTACAAAGAGAGTGTTATATAGCTTTCACCGAAGAGAGCTTTCGAAAAAGGTATAAGTATCTTAAAGATAAGGACTTGGAAGTGTTTGTTCAACAAAAGCATCGAAAATGTGAAGTTATCAGTAAAATAATGTCCCACGTCATAAAGTTGAAAGCCAATGACCTAGATACGACCTATAATATATTATTTATAATAGAAATTAAACAATAAACATTTATATTTAAATTTTACTTTATTTCTTGTATTACTATCTTTGTACTCTTGTGGGGTCAAGGACCAAACATTCTTGGGGTACGAACCCCATTCAAAACTTGACTGAAACAAAATGTTTCGCAGTACTCCATAATATCTACCAAATACAAGGCAATCCTTTGAAGCTTCTGATGGAAATCAATCCTTCGTTGGAACTTCCAACCATGTCCTAGACAATCTTAAAGTCTTTGGCCTTGATGAGTTGGATAATCTGCTCCAGCCTGGCTCCATTGGCCTCCTCGTAGTAGGGCAGCCGCTTCATCCTCTGCAGCCAGCCAGCCAGCCTGGGGTATTTGGAGGATTCGATCTCCAGGAAGTAGACCAAGCCAGTGAGCACGGCCAGGACATGGAAATCGGCAATGGTGAGGTTATCTCCCGCCACAAAGTCGCTGGTCTTGAGGAACAAGTTCAGGTTCTTGTACACCTCCGCCAAGGTATCGATCTTGGCCTTTGGAATCTCCGGGTTGTCCTGCCAAAAGACCTGGTAGGTGATGGCCACACCAGCGGGCGCCACTGTGCCGGATTCGTAGAACAATCGCTGGTCGACGAGCGCCCTCTTCTGGAGGTCCCGCGGATACAGGGAGTCGTCCTTGCTGAACTTGCTGACGAGGTAGGAGTTGATGGCGTGGCTGTCGCACAGGATGAATCCATCGTCGTCCAGCACGGGAACGGTGTGCAGGGGATTGAGCTTGAGGAACTCCGGCTGCAGGTGCTCTCCGGTCAGCAGGTTGACCACCTTGTACTCGAAATCCAGGCCCAAGGCCCTCAGGGTGAGAATGACCGACCGAACCGGGGGACTTCCATCGATGCCGTATAGCGTTAGCTTTCCCATTGCGATGTTTTTCGTTGCGATTTCTACTACCAACTGGTTGGAACTTGGCCAACACCCTGGCCTTTTATACTTATCAGCCGGGCGTTTAGTTTGATTATCAGACCTTTGCACTGGCCAGTGACTTGGCTATAACATACCCGTCTCCCTCGATTCCATAGCGTAGATGTCACATCGTTGGGCTGTAGTTGTGTGTTCCACCTGTTCCCTGATAAGAATCTCCGGAGTGCCCAGACCCGCTCTTGACTGTAGCACTATCAGCTAGTGATTACCTCTGGATGATAGTGAATCTATTACCAAAACCGGCAAACATTTTGATTAGAGTCGCCCGAGGCTTTGGTCGAATGAGTCACAATAACAATTATGCTATAAAATGTAGAATTTAAATTCTTTTAGGATCACGATGACTTTTAAGATTGTAAGAGGTCTTATCACCATTACTCCAAACCTCTCTAGACATCTTATAAATATTTTCGTTATAATATTTATAACGATAATTATATCTATAATTTATAATATTAATTAAACAATAAACATTTATATTTAAATTTCATTTATTTATTTCTCTGTTTGGATCCTTGTGGTTGCAAGGACCAAACCTTCTCGGGATACGAAACCCATACAAAACTTGACTGAAACGAAATGTTTCTCAGTACTCCATAATATCTACCAAATAGAAGGTAATCCTATGAAGCTTTTGATGAAAATCAATCCTTCTTTGGATGGATATGGTTGGCAGCATATCCTAGACAATCTTAAAGTTTTTGGCTTTAATGAGCTGGAGAATCAGCTCCAGCCTGGCTCCGTTGGCCTCCTCATAGTAGGGCAATCGCTTCATTCTCTGAATCCAGCCAGCCAGCCTGGGATATTTGGAGGGTTCAATCTCCAGGAAGTAGACCCAGCCAGTGAGCACGGCCAGGACATGGAAATCGGCAATGGTTAGGTTATCTCCCGCCAAAAAATCACTGTCCTTGAGGAACAAGTTGAGGTTCTTGTACGCCTCCGCCAAGGCATCGATCTTGGCCTGTGGAACCTCCGGGTTGTCCTGCCTAAGGACCGTGTACATGACTTCCACCCCAGCGGGCGCCACTGTGCCGGATTCGTAGAACAATCGCTGGTCGACGAGTGCCCTCTTCTGGAGGTCCCGCGGATACAGTGAGTCGTCCTTGCTAAACTTGCCCACGAGGTAGGAGTTGATGGCGTGGCTATCGTACAGGATGAATCCATCGTCGTCCAGCACGGGAACGGTGTGCAGGGGATTGAGCTTGAGGAACTCCGGCTTCAGTTGCTCTCCGGCCTGCAGGTTGACCACCTTGTACTCGAAATCCAGGCCCAAGGCCCTCAGGGTGAGGATGACCGACCGAACCGGGGGACTTCCGTCGATGCCGTACAGTGTAAGCTTTCCCATTGCGACGTTTGCGTTTGGATTTGTACTACCAACTGGTTGCAACTTGGCCAACACAGTGCCCTTTTATATCTATCACTCGGGCAATGACTCTGCTATAACATACCTGTCTCCTTCAATTCCGTAGCGTAGATATATGTCTATATTCCATATACAGCCCTGCCCTGCTCCCTGATAAGAATCTCTGTAGTTTCTAGAAACTCCATTCATTGTAGCACTATCAGCTAGTGATTAGCTATGAATGATAGTGCATATATTCCCAAAACCGGCAAACAATTTGGCTTTAGTCGAATGAATCACAAAAATTATAATGCTAAATATAAATTTTAGACTGTCATTTTATTAGGATCACGATGACTTGGGTTAGGGTAGTTTCTTATAACTATTAATTGTGATATGTTTTTGTTTTTGCAAAATTGTTTTCTTTTCTTATCTTAGGTTGTAAGAGGTCTTATGACCATTATTCCAAACAATTCTTATAAATATTACCGTTAAAATATATTATGTACAATTCGAGCTGATTGCTCAACATTGTTGCTAGCCCATAATTTTCATTATCTGTTAGCCCTTTATAAATGAATAAATAAATTATCGTTGTAATAAAATATGGGAATGTGGGATTGGGACAATTGTTAAGAAAGCTGAACCCATATCCATTTAAAATTGGTTTCCTAAATGAATCGCTTTGCTTTCTTCATTACTTATTGTTAAATCTAACATTATTTTTTATTTATATTTAAAAATATTATTGTCAGTCGCCAATTATCAGAGCAACTGCCTTTCTCTCTTCAACAAGAACTTCTTCGAAGAATCGCCTATAATTCTGTTGGAAGAAGTCTAATTCGACGCCCCAAGAAACCAAATTCTTTAAATATTCTATTAACATTTCTTTCAATAATTTATTATCTTTTTATATAAAAAATAATTAACAAAAATTTAAACAATAGTAAACTTCTTGCTGGAAACAATAGCAATCAACTGCTTAGCCGGAATGCCATTGGCCTTCTCGTAGTAGGGCAGAGCCTTGATCCTCTGGATCCAGGCGGCCAGCTTGGGGTACTTGGTGGCATCCACCTCGAGGAACAGCACCATTCCAGTGAGGACGGCCATCACTGAGAAGTCGGCAATGGTCAGTTGGTCGCCGGCCAGGTAGTCGCCACTCTCCAGGAACAGGTTAAGGGTCTTGTACACGGCCTCCAGGGCGTCGATCTTGGCCTTGGGGATCTCCAGTTTGTTCTCCCAAAACAAGGGAGCCGTGATGGCCTTTGCCGCGCCTGTGACCACGCTGGAGTCGTAGTGCAGACGCTGGTCCACGATGGCCTTCTTCTGCAGATCCTTGGGGTAGAGGGAGTCGTCCTTGCCGTACTTGCTGACCAGGTAGGAGTTGATGGCGTGGCTGTCGGCCAGGTAGAAGCCGTTGTCGTCCAGAGCGGGCACCGTGTGCAGGGGATTGATCTTCAGGAAGTCCGGCTTCAGGTGCTCCTTCTCCAGCAGATTCACGATCTTGTACTCAAAGTCCAGGCCCAAGGCATTGAGGGTGAGGAGTACTGATCGGACTGGGGGACTTCCATCGATTCCGTAAAGCGTAATTTTTCCCATTTTGTTGTATGTTTCGTGGTTTGACAAAAACTGATGGGTTTTATGGAAGAATTGAAGGTTTATATAGCCGGGTTGTCTCTTAACTTAAGAGAGCTTTGCCATGTCGTGATGACTAGGCACTTTTTTGAGACCTATCATGTCGCTACATCTTATATATTTAAATACTCTCTGGGGTTAAGAGCGCCGTTCGAAAACGACTCTCTTAGTCATCAATGTCGAAAGTTTAATAATTTTCAGGTTTATGGGAATTATAAAAGAGCTTCCAAAAGCAATTTATTTGTTTGCCTAGTTATTACTTAACTTACTTAACTAGTATTATTTGCTAATGATTCAGCAATAAAAACTGTGCTTCCAAGAGCGAATTTAATTCAAACAAAAAGCTAAAGGTTTTATTTATTTTTCATGTCTAGTATACAAAGCTTATTTGTGTGTTATCTAACCTGGAGCTTCTGTTTTTTTTTCCAATTTCCATAAACAAACGAATATTTGTTGAAATTACTACTATAGTGAAAAAAAAACAAATAGAAACCCCCACAATTGAATAATTTGTGTGGGAAACAGCTCGACTTTTTAATTACAATTTTTAAATTTAAATACTTTCCTAAACAAAGTAGTTTCTTAATGGGAAAACCTGGTCCGTTTTAAAATAAAAATACTAAAAATACTCTCAAATATATATTTCATTTATTGTCTTTTTAAATTCGGATTTAATTCTCCAAGGTCAGCCCGGGCCTGAGCATGCCGATGTACTCATTCAAGCCCTCCTCTCCGTAGTCGGGCAGCTTGGAGAGGCGTTTCAGCCAGGCAGCCACCTTGGGATACTGGGCCACGTCCAGCTCCAGAATGGCGCCCAACGAGGAGGCAGTTGCTCCACAGCACAGATCCGCCACGGTCAGGGTGGACCCAGTGATATAGGGATTGTCGCCCAAAAAGGCCTCCAGGAAGGCGTAACCCGACTTGATGTTGTCCACCTTCTCCTTGGGCACTAGACTCACATTGTGGTAGAAATAGGGGATACTGAAGTTCCGCAAGGACATGAACAGGACACTGGCATCGAAGTAGAGGCGCTGATTCACCAGGGCACGAGCCAGCAGATCCTTGGGGTAGAGCTCATCCGACTTGGCGTACCTGTCCACCAAATAGCAGACTATGGCGTGGGAGTCCCAGATGGGCGAGCCGTTGTCTTCCAGCAGGGGCACCGTGTTCTGGGGATTCTTCCTCTTAAACTCCTCCGTTAAGTGCTCCCCAGCCAGTAGGTTGACGTCCTTGTACTGGTACTCCAAGCCCAGAGCTCGCAGGACCAACTTGCAGGCCCTGACTGGGGGACTTATGTCCATTCCGTAAAGCACCAAGCCCGACATGATCCGACCGCTGTGAAGAGCTCAATTATACTAAAGTGCCAGTGCTGGCGGAGGTGGCATCAAATAAGCTCCTCTCAGGGGAAATCAGAACTAGATTATACAAACAAATGTTCAAATGGTGGCGTTTTAAGAGCCACACCCGTGTAATAGGTAGATGGGAACTGTTCTCGCAGGTTCATTGAAACCCAACACGATAGCAGTTATCACATTTCCAATTATGGAATAATTTTTTCATTAAAAAGGAAGATTACATATCAAACTTTTATTCTCTAACCATACACTTTAAGATATTACAAAAAGATCATTAAAAATATTAACAATCTTTTGTATTTTAATCTCCCAACTTGGTCCACTGGCTGCGCAGGAAGGAGCAGTAGTTCTTGGCCGGTTCCTCATTGATGTCCTTGAAGAAGGGTATCTGGTTGAGACGATCCAGCCAGGCAGTAATATTGGGATAGACTTCCGGTTTGATGTCCACGGCGGCGGGCAGACTGGAGACAGTGGTGCCAGTGGAAATGTCAGCCAGGGTGAGGGAGTCACCCACCAGATAGGCACTGCCAGTCAGGAAGGTCTCCAACAGCTTCAGTCCCCGATGAATGGTGTCCAGCTTTTCTTGGGGCACCACAGTCACTCCACTGACCCAGAACGGGCCACTGACATTGCCCAGGGAGGGGAATATGACACTGGCATCGAAGAAGAGGCGTTGGTTGATGGCCGCCCTCTTGGCCAGGTCCTTGGGGTATAGTTCGTCCGACTTGCCGTACTTGTCCACCAAATATGTGACAATGGCATGCGAGTCCCAGATCACAGTTCCATTGTCGTCCAGCACTGGCACCGTGTGCTGTGGGTTCTTCTTCAGATAGGCCTCGCTAAGGTGCTCCCCCGCCTGCAGGTTCACCTCCTTGTATTCATAGTCCAGGTCCAAGGCCTTGAGGGTAATTTTCGCAGTCCTCGCACAAGGACTCAGGTCCACTCCGTACAGTACTATTCCCGACTTGGACATATTTCTGATTTCACTGCAGCACTTCCAACGATTTGATTCCTACTGATCTTCTCATTGGCTTTTTATAATGTTTGTCTCGAAAGCTTTCGGCTATAAGTGTATATTTGCCGGCATTTGTAGATAAAAGCTCTTTAATGTTTGTTTTCCAGCTGACATGCCCCCTTGAATCTATATATATATATATATAGAATCTATACCCACACATATGTATCTTTCTGTGGCTTCCTTCCATTTCATCATTTATTAACTTTTTACCGAATCGGTACGATTCTGGAACTATTGAGTCTTACTTTAGCTGATAAGAAAATACGGTATGTCAGCATGAAGATGGTTTTATTTACTAATTTCATAAGAAAGCATAACTATACCCGATACTTGTCAAATTTAAGCAAATGTGAGAATTCTGGCCAGAACCATTGTGAGAACCAGAATAGACTCTTAAGGTAGAGTTTTAAGGTCTTGGGTTTCAGGATATCCTCATGTAGAATTTCCTGATGTAGATCAGTATTTTCAGTATGTATTTCAGAAGAAAAACCTGGCTTATAGAGAACTGATTTATACAGTCTTTTTATTAGAGTTTATAGAACGTCTTAACTATTTTATATTATTTTTCTTTATTATTTTTCTATTCATAGGTTTGGAAATAGGACTTGACTTTCCGAAAGTAGAAAGCCTAAAAAATATATTTTGAATAAATTGAAAGTCCCATTATTTGTTTATTAATTTATTATTGTTTATTAGGCATTTTCCATGAAGAGTTCTTTATAGAAAATATCCTAACTATAATATACATACATATATCATCTAACATAAAATACATGAAAAAATCTATAAGATCTTAAAAAACTTTTTGATTTTAAAGACTTTTCTCTAAGAATGAAGAAATTTAAGACCAAAAATATATATAATTTGTAAATGTTTATTTTAAAATTTAAATCATTAATAAAAATACATAATAATTTAATTTAGTCTCCCAGTTTGGTCCATTTGCTGCGCATGAAGGCGCAGTAGTTTCGGGCTGGTGCTTCATTGATCTCCTTGAAATAGGGAATCTGGTTGAGGCGCTCCAGCCAGGCGGTAGTCTTGGGATACACTGAGGCATCGATGTCCACGGCCACGGGCAGGCAGGACACTGTGGGTCCAGTGCAGAGGTCGGCCAGGGTCAGGGAGTCGCCCGCCAGATACTTGCTGCTGGCCAGGAAGGTCTCCAGCAGCTTCAGTCCCCGATGAATGGTGTCCAGCTTCTCCTGGGCCACCACAGTCTCGCCTCTTAACCAGAACGGAGCCGACACACTCGCAATGGAGGCGTAGATGACACTGGCATCGAAGTAGAGGCGTTGGTTGATGGCCGCCCTCTTGGCCAGGTCCTTGGGGTACAGTTCGTCCGACTTGCCGTACTTGTCCACCAGATAGGTGACAATGGCGTGCGAGTCCCAGATGTAGGTGCCATTGTCATCCAGAACCGGGACCGTGTGCTGGGGATTCATTTTGAGGTATTCCTCGGTGAGGTGCTCGCCCTTCTGCATGTTGACCTCCTTGAACTCGAAGTCCAGATCCAGGGCCTTGAAGGTCAGTTTCACAGCCCTGACACAGGGGCTTAGATCCGCTCCGTAGAGTACTATTCCTGACTTGGACATTGTGGGTGTTTATGGTTCAACTAATTGTTTAAGACTGATCTGATTTCTGAACTTTAATAGGTTTTTCAAGAAGCTTTTGCCCAAAAGAGAGAGCTTAAGGGAGAGTAAAAGAACAAGCCGGCATGATGGGGAAAAAGCTTTTCTTTTGTTTGTTTGCAAGTCAACATAGCCAAGCCAAAAAATGACAAGACTAGGCACGACGGTGTGTTTATTTCACTCAACACTTGAGCGAACCTGAAACTTGCAAGCTTTCTAAAGCTCAAACAAAGCTTTATTAGCTTTTATAAACATTTAAGTTTATTTTTTTACCGTTTTGTTTATTTGAGCCTCTATTAAACTTTCAGTGGCTTATCAGCTTCTATTTAATAACAATATTAGTTTCTTTATTTTAAATATTCTCTAAAAAACCATATTTTATAATATTTTCAAGTTTAACAATACGGTTGTATTAAATATTCCCTTAAATTCCAGCCTTAATTAAGATTGATTTCAGTACAAGCTGGCCAAGGTGTTCCCCCAACTAAACCCTCAATTATTCACAAGTCAAATAATCCTCTAAGTGGCCTTAAGCCCTTTCCACCCACAATGAATACCCAAATTATGAAAGCCAGTTTCAAAGCAAATATTGACGCAGCCACAGATAGGGATATGGGTGGGGAGGAGGACGACTTATCTCCGGAATTAATAAACAATCAGGCAACTTAAACTTGCAGCATTATGACGTCTTTGTGATAACTATCTAGATTTTACATTCTAGATTCTAAAAAAAATAAGTTTAGTATCTAATCTTATCGGAGTGGTGTTTAAAATCCGTTTCGCCACCACCGATGGTGGTGCCAGAGATGTGCCTTCAGTCGTCCAGTGTCTGTGCTTCAAATCTCAACCCGAAACCCTGCCAGCTCCAGATGGTGAACCTCATTCTGTATGGTACCGAGAGTAGTCCTCCCGTGAGGGCTGTACTCCTTACCCTCCGGTCCCTGAAGCTGGAGCACCAGTTCCGGCAACTGGACATGCAAGCCGGCGAGCACTTGGAGCCGGAAATGTTGCGCAAGAATCCCCAGCACACGGTGCCCATGTTAGAGGATGAGGGCGAAGTGTATATCTGGGATTCCCATGCCATTATTGGCTATCTGGTGAACAAGTACGCCCAGTCGGATGAACTGTATCCCCGGGATCCCTTCCAGCGGGCCGTGGTCGATCAGAGGCTGCACTTCGAGACGGGAGTCCTGTTCCACGGCATCTTCAAGCAACTTCAGAAGGCACTCTTCAAGGAGAATGCCACCGAGGTGCCAAAGGATCGTCTAGCTGAGCTGCAGGATGCCTATGGCCTGCTGGAGCAGTTTCTGGACCAGAATCCCTATGTGGCTGGATCGCAGCTGACCATTGCGGACTTTAGCATCGTGTCCACGATGAGCACTCTGCACTTGAGCTATTGTCCTGTGGACGGTGCCAAGTACCCGAAACTTTCCGCCTGGCTGGCTCGCCTGTCCACCCTGCCCTTCTACGAGGAGGACAACCTGCGCGGCGCCCGCATCCTGGCCGAGCGCATCCGTGCCAAGCTGCCCAAGCAGTTCGACAAGCTCTGGCAGAAGGCCTTCGAGGATATCCGCAGCGGAGCGATTATCAACTGAACTGGAAGGTCCTTTTTTTTTGCTCCTTTTATTGAAAGCCATCAGTAATAAACACATAAATGATTCTTTATTTATTGTACACTCAAAAAAAAATTAACCCTAAGATTTAGAAATTCGCCCTATTTTTGTCTTCAACGGCACCGCACCATAAAATTTAGGGTAAATTTTTCTAAAATTAATGGCATTTCCTTTCTAAAATATAAGGAAAATTGCCCTAAAAATAAGAAAAAAATTTCTAAAAAATAGAAAAAAATTTCTTAAATTTAGGGTAAATTTTTCTAAAATTAATGGCGTTTCCTTTCTAAAATCTAAGGCCAATTTCCCTAAAAATAAGAAAAAAATTTCTAAAAAATAGAAAAAAAATTTCTTAAATTTAGGGTTTGTTTTTCTAGGTTTTAGAAAGTACTTTTCTAAAACTAAGGAAAAAATGTCTTGATTTTATGGCGATTTTTTCTAAGCCCCAGGGCAAGGCGCCCTAAAATTAAGATAACCCTTTCTACAATATATACAAATATTTCTTAAATTAAAGGTGACCTTTTCTAAATTCTAGAAATTTTATTTCTACATTTTACATTACATATTACATCATACATTTACATGTTTTTACATTATTTTTACATTTACATTTGTTTTCTTTGATAGCTCTCTTCAGTTCTTACTTTCACAGAACATTTTATTTATGGTATATAATAAATTTGACCCTCGAATCTTGAATTGTATACTTGACTTTTAAAATTCCAGTAGCACCATGTTTTCCCCTTTTGGTGGGGACTAGAATAGCGTGAATCATGTGCGTCCTTTTTATCTGTGGAAAATAGCGTCAATTAATATTGCGATATAAATATATTAATATACTATTTAATTGTGAATGTTTTAAAACATCTTTTAAGGTAGTGTAATTATTGCCTTTTTACCTTCGCTTTGTTGAGGGAATGTTTTTAGTACGATAAAACTCTGGACTTCCTTTTAACGAAATGAGAGAAAAAATTGCCACAATCTAAGAATTTATTCAATAAATGCATTAAATAAAACAAAATTAATGTATAAAAAATATTACCAATTTGTCTTCACAACTCTGCTTAAGAATGGGCAATTCCTCCTAAGCTAAGTGTAGCTACACTTGTATCGTCCTAGAAAAAGAAACTTTTGCGCCACTCAAAAGTAAGATCAAATTTTGCGTTTGCAAGGCTAAGCTTCACCTCTTCACTATTGAACATCAGCCATATTACCTAAAAATGTATTTGGGAAATTATTTTTAACCTTCGAAGTGGGGCGTAATTTACCAGTTGATAACTTTTTCTCCTTAGCCTTCAAATGATAAATTTTGCCATATGCAGCAGACCTTCTGGCTTTTTTCCGATGTTAAGATCTATCATGTCTTTCCACAATTAGCTCTATATTAATTTAATTAGTAATTAAATTAAATTACTTATGAAATTAGTAACGTTTTTAGTAACTTACCAGCGAAAAAAAAGAAAAGGCTTCTCAGTTTATCTTTTTCAGCAAGGAATCAATTAGCACTTTTTAAATAAACTTTTTAATAAACTTGTAATGTCAACATCTTAGAGATAGTTTAAATATCGTTACATTATTTCTTAACATGATTTTTTGTATTTAACATGTTAAAACTTTATACATAAAATATAATATAGATCAGTCTGCATTTATCTGCCCGTGCTCTGCCACACACACAGTATAAGTGTGTGAAACGTCATGACGCGTCATGCTTAGAGCCTACTTTCTGCTTTCTGCTATACTAATACTAATGCGTTAAAATCATATCAATGTATTGGGTGCCGACCACGGACAGAGATAAAATATAAAAAAAATTCTATATTAAACAAAATATTTCTATTTTCTAGGGTTACTTAAATTAAAGGGTAACACCGTGCATTTTTAGAAAGGGATTTCTATATTGTAGAAACAGTTTTCTATTTTTTAGGGTTAGTATCTTTTTAAGAAAAGAATTTCTATATTGTAGAAACAGTTTTTTATTTTTTAGGGTTAGTAACTTTTTTAGAAAGAAATTTCTATATTGTAGAAACAGTTTTCTATTTGTTAGGGTTAGTATCTTTTTAAGAAAAGGATTTCTATATTGTAGAAACAGTTTTCTATTTTTTAGGGTTAGTAAATTTTATGGTGAGCCTTTCTATTATTAAGAAAATATTTCCTGAAAATAAGTCATAATTTGCCTTAATTATAGAAAAGTTTTCTTGATTTTAGGGCGATTTTAGTTTATGGCGACTATTTCTATATTTGAGAAAAACTTCTTTGATTTAAGAAATTTTTCTTGTTTTCAGAAAATTTTTTCTAGAAACTAGAAATTTTTTCTTGTATTTAGAAACAATTAAGTTTTATGGCGAATTTCTAAATTTAAGGGTAAATTTTATTTTGAGTGTATCTTTGTTCCCAATTTAAGAATAGCCCCAACAGATTGCTCTCCAGTCTTGAGGTCCTTTGACTGGGACACTTTCTGTGCTCTATTTACCCCAGAATTGGCCTATCTGGCTGTTTGTGTTTGTGCCTATCTGCGAAAAGTGAGTGAAGTGGCGCCCCTTGGCGTGGAATGAATGAATGCGCCTCACCAATGGCAACCGCCCCCCCCAAAAAGTTTACAACTTTTCTGCGCTCATTAAAATTATAAAATTTTTCCTCTCCACAAAGCGACACAAAATAGAACAAGTTTGTGGGTGGGTTGGGTCCTGCGTCCTGAGTCCTGCTGGGAGCTCCTGCGTTTGGAGGGCAAAATGAAAAGCGCAAAGTTTTTCCTGTGCCGTGTCGTGCATGCTAAAGTTGTTAAATCATAATTAATTTATGACGGCGCCATCCGCCGAAGCAGCCATTCCCTTCACGATTTTCCTCTTATCTACACTCCGGCCTCGAGCTTCTAGAGCTCCTCAAGCTCCGTTTCCCCTCCGTCCCTTACCCAAAAAAATAAAGAAAACACCGACGTCGTTTAAAATACTCTTAAAAAGGAGCCCGGACCTGGTCTAAATACCTGCCGGGAGTAGTCCGTTCACAAGGCGCACCAATTTTCGTGCTAGAGATGGTAGCGTGAGTAGAAGTTTGAGGACTTTGGAGACAGGTGGGATAAGGTAAATAATAGTTTACATTTTTATAAGCTATGGATTAATATAAACAGAAACAGATTTTATTCATATATATTGCAATATATGTAGGTTTCTAAATTTAAATAAAAACAGATAAAGATAAGATATAGTAGTTTGGGTTTATATATAAATTTATATAGATATCTATGGAAACAACCCCTTTTTTATATAATCCTTCGTGACTCCTTCGTCCATCTCTAGCTTACCTGATGACTTGGGTCCTGCGCTGCTAGTTTTTTTTTTTTATGCGCCTCATTGCAGCGACGACGACGACGACGACGACGGCGTCGAGCACGGTGGCAGCCAAACTAATTGGTTTAATTTCAACTTTTACTTTGGGCCACCCCTGCCTTGCCACGCCCTGTCGCAGCCCTAGTCCTGGCCACCACCACCCCCACGCCCCCCGCCCCGCCCCGTGTCAGTGGCATTTGAGAAGTTTGCTTTGCTTTACGCTTCGCCTGCCACTTCACTTGCCTTGGTGGCGTCGGACGGCGGGACGTTTTTACTTTTTCCTCTTCCGCTTTTACTGCCATCCACTTTGCTGGTTTATTTCCTGTCTCCCAGCATCCTTGCCTGGCCATCCACGAGAATCCTTCCAGCAGGAGGCATATCAATTTATCGTAGCATTCTTTTAGGGGCAGCAAAGGATGTTCCGTTGGACTAGAAGAATTAAGCTATCGAAGTAGTGCTGCCAAAAATCGGCTTAACTCGGAATCTTAGTGAGTCTTGTGGTTTTCGGATCAGAGTCACCATTAAAAGGACTGGATTCCCCTTTCTGGGACTTAAAAGGTTTCTATCTTTTGAAAAGCTTTATTGAAAAATAGGGACATGTATTAGTTCCTACAACCTGAACTTAATGCTTCGCAGAATGGGATATTTTTCGCCAGCGCACTGACCACGAAAATCATCCAAGGATATGTCATGGAAAGCCACTCCCCCCAATCCCTGGGACTGTACGTATCCGGCCTTGATGGCCGCCGTCGTGGGATCCTCGTAGCCAATCCACAAGCCATTCTCGCCCTTGTCGTCGGCTGCCCGATAGGCGTAGATTCCGAATCGCTTGGTAGGATCTCCCACCTTCCTTAGACGCGGCGTGTCCTTACTCTGGGGCTGATGTTGGAGGAGGTCACAAGTCTCGGGCCAGCTGAGAATCCCAGGAATACCCGTCTGCCTGCCCGCGGGAGCGGCCCCATCCGTTTCGGGAATCGGCGGGTATCCGGTGATGCCAGAGTTGCGGGACATGGTCCAGGCACGTCCATAGCTGGTCACTCCAATGTTCAGCTTCTGGGAATAGCTCGGAGATGTCTGATTCAGCCAGTACTCTACCTGGTACTGGACGTTGTGGCTGGGCTCCCGATCGTACATGGCATACAGGGGAGCGGGTAGGTCTCCCACCTTGGGGTCACGTTCCGGGGTCTGGAAATCGTAGGTGCCCAGGTTCACGAAACTCACATCGGCCAGCACAGAGGGCAATTGGATGAAGACTGGGAATAGGAAGTTGAATACCAGAAACCTCTAAGAATCGGGGGCTGCTCACCTTCAGCTGGAACATGGGGCAGCATGGTGAGGGACAGAAGCTTGCCACCTCGTACCAGATCCACTGCAAGATCGTGAACCAAGCTGGCAAACTGCTCCTTGTGCTCCTCGGCCTTCTCGTCAATGGATTTGCTGCCAAAGAGCCCACGGAACGAGCTCCAGGTCCTCTTAAGGAATCCCTGCTGCTTCTTTGGCCTGGTCTTGGGAAACTGCCAGGCCAGATCGATGCCATCGAACCCGTACTTGTTCAGTTCATCCAAAACACTAGCCTTGAAGTTCCGACGATGCTCGGGCTGTTCCAGTAAACTCAAATACTTGCCAGTATCTGCCACGCCCTCGCCGTCCAAGTCCCGATCACCGCCCACCGACAGCAAAAATCGAACATGCGGATACTTCTGCCTTAAAGCGGTTATCTGGCGATAGTGCTGGCGGTCATAGGTCACAGTAGGATCTAGACTTTTGATCTTGAAGGACTCGGGATCGATGCCAGCATAGCCGTAAATCAAAAAGTTGCAGAAACTTAAAGCAGGTTCCAATTCCGCCAACGACAATTGCCCGGGGCCTTTGCAAAAAGTATAAAATATAGAATAGAGATAACCCCTGATCCGATTTCCGATTTCAATAATCCACTCTCACCTTCGCGTACAAAACTCTTGGCATCGTAGAAGCACACCAGCTTGCCCACTTCTCCGGATATATTCGATATTAGGGAAACCAAACTAATAAATAGGAAGGCCCCAACGGGGTTTACGAAAGATGACATTATTTTCAATACAACTGCTTAGCTTTAGGTTTGATTAAGAACTGATTGGGGACAGCAGATTGTTTTTAATAAAAAAATCAAAAGCAAAAAAGCTTTTCTTAAAACAAAGTCACTGATAAGATTGAAAATACTTTGGATTCATTAAAATAAAAGTAATTATTTTAGGTCATATATTTAAAAGATTATTTAGAGATTTTGGAGGAATATTAAGCTAGACTATGCTATAATGAACTCCTATAAATGCTTCTTATAGTATGATATTATTTAGATCTCCAAATGCGGCTAGAAACCTTTTACTATTTTAAGTTTCTAGAACAAAAATGTTTAAAAAACATAAATAACTTCCTTAAACTAACCTCCCAAAAAGTTTATAAAAATATAAAGCGTTCTACTTGATACTTTCAATTCCAAACCCAAACTTTGGCAAGAAATCTCTTAGGAAATCGACAGAAACGTCCTTTGAGAGATTTCTATTTCACGCACATATCCTGCCCACACACACACATCCCCCCCCCCACACATCACACCCTCTCGAGCATAACCTCAACGCAAAGCCATTAGTGACCATCAAAATGAGAGGATGGGGGTGGAGTATTCGGAGGAGGATTCGGAAATTGTAAAAGGGGGAATAAAAGTGTCACTTCCACAACTTGAATGGAAAACTCAAACCCTACTCTCAGCCTCAATTTAGCAATTCCCCCGAGACAATAATAATGTTTGTTCAAGCTCGTAACGCTTAAATACATTAAAGCCCAACCCGACGTACGGAATGATGAGTTGTCACTCCTACCCGGGAATGACTAGGGGTCGCCACTCAAACACGAAGGACGACCATGTCCTTCAGCGCCCTTCATCCCCCATTTGATTAGCAATTTTGCTCACGTGGCTGGGAAAGTGTTGTTGACTGCTTTTGCTCTTTGATTGAAACGGTAGAGTCCCGGGGTAGGGGGGGTCAATTTTTACAAGGGGTTGGGGTGGTGTGTCAGTGGTGTGTCGATGGTCAACTGGTCACAAAACTTTCACCAGATAATACCAAAAACATTTGCCGAGTTACTCACTGAACATGGTTTGGGTATTTATCAGAAATTAGTTCCGTGTAGTTGAACATAAGGAATGTTTTCCCAGTGGATTAAAGGTGAGAATAAAATAAATTCATATTAAATGAAATAATATAAGCATTTTAAACTAATTTTTTATTAAAATCATTTTCTTTCAATTTTTAAACCTCCATTTTCAAGTCTCCCTTTTCAATTAAATTTCCTCCCAAATGTAGGCAACAAAAAACAGAAGCTTGTGCTGCCATACAAAAATAAAAGATGGCGGTGGAAATCCATCCGGCTGCCACCTTAACTTTATGGATAAGGCCATTTAACAAGTGCGTCATAAAACCAAATGGCGAGAGCCATAAAACTAGCCACAACACCCAGAACACAAAAGCAACATAAAATAGGGTCACACCAAGGATGTGGCGAAGGGAAAGGACAACAGAAATCAACAGAATGTAACCACAAACACGGACGCTTAGGCAATCAACTAACAGAATGCACACATGTTCGGGAAGACCGCCTTCTGCTAACTAACCATCCTCCAGCCCCCTCTGCCGACGCCCCAACGCTCCCCCCCCACTCGCTCCACAGGTTGACAGTTAACTAATAGAGGCGCAGCCGCTGAGGAAGCCATTATTCTGCAAAGGAGAGCAAAAAAATTACCCAAGTCATAAACTTGCAAATACCCAGAAGAAATATTTAAAGTTCAGAGAATGCATACTGGGTTGAAGTCCAGAGGAGAGCTGCCATGTTGGCTTTTTTGGGCAGGGATCTGGCTCTTTTTGAGGCTTATAATAGGAAAATTAAATTATTTTTTATTTTAATAAATTTAAATCGTAAAATTGGTACTGAAGTTTAGTAGCAACGTCCACAAATGACAGATGGTGAGTAAAACCGTTAATTAAACATTCGTATGTAAGAAAAATGTTTGCTTTACAACACTGGATGATAAAACAATAACAGTCCTAAGAAAAATGTTTGCTTTACAACACTGGAAGACAAAACATAAACAATCCTAGGAAATGTCAACGACCTCGTTCTTTTCTTAAAATATTTTTCGTAAATATTAAGTATACGCATGTAAATATTATTTTAGCTATAAATATTACGTATACGCATATACCAATATTCTCTCTATAACCTCTTTTCTCTTTTCCTTCCAATTTATAGAGCATAACCATAATAAAGACTCGACCTTTGACCTGATACTCCTCCACTCTTGAGCTCCACCCCCACCTGTGTCAATTGAAACAGTTACTGGCCGAGTGTTTAGGCTTTAATCGTGCCACAAAGGCCTCCTTGGCGGCCTGTTGTATACTCCTGAATCCCTCAATGCCCTCTTGACTGGATGATTAACTTTTTGAAGAGACATGTGGCAGCTGTCGCGGCAAATACCGAACCGCACCGCTGCGTAATTAAATTGTTAACGCACACGTGTCGACTGCCCGTCTATTCGTGCTCGAATTTATCCGTTAGTACGTCCGTACAAGCACTCATCTGTGTAGAGTTCATTTAACCGTAATGCTTCTCTACGTTGACAAATGTGTGGAAAAAAAACAACAACAACAAGCAATGGGGAAGGAGGTGTACCAACAACAACAGCATTTAGCACTCACACACCAGCACAAGCACACGCACACCAGCTTGCTAATCCAGCGAGAGTGGAAGCTGGATGACTGAGTTAAACCCTTTCTCTTCTCAGCCCATCCTGCCCGCCTCCTCCCTCCGCCAAAAAAGCGCCGACAATCGCCTGAAGCTCTCTCTCTCTCATCGCAGGCCCCCCTGAGCACCCAAAATCCCATTTTGCATGGGAGCTCGGATGGTGTTTTTAATGCTTCATTGGCTTAATTGCCCAACATGTGCGCCATTTCGTACACTGCAAAAAGTTTAGACATCTTTATAGGGAAATGTGATTTTATAAAATTAAGGAATTAATAGGCTCGTCTACAGGATACCAGGGACTTGTTGGATGCTACTTGAATACTTATGATTTTTTGTGATTTTTTATTATTATCCCTTCCATCTTATGAAGTCTTGGATCTACAAGGCAGATTTAAGAAAGAAGGGACTGGTTTAAAGTTAATTTAATTTTAAAAAACTTTCTCTTTCTCGCAGTGCCTAGCGAAATACCCTTACTTATAAACAAAAACAAACAGACATCCAGACATCCAGACAGCAACTTTTGCGTGGCAAAGTTAATTCGACCACAAACACGTTCATTTACCTTTTGCGGCCACATAGACACACCTGCCGAAAAAACACTCACACACGCGCACTCACACAGCCGAACTTAAATTCCGGCTTTAGAAAATGTTCCATCAATGTTGTAAAAGTTTCCCTCTAAACAAAACTTGTACAAATAATACTTAAATAAATATTTAAGTTGTACGAAGTTACTATTCATTTGTTTTTTTAAATAATTAATAATAAAAAACATTCCTTTCACTTATTAAAATTTTTAATTATTGGATGCATTTGGAACCGAAGGGTTTCCAGTTTTAACTTTAAAGAGTCCTTTCTTAGATAACCCTAGCATATGATCATAACCTTATCCTTACGATGGTAATATTAAAATATTTGTGGCTACGAGATAGAATCTGCAGATAGCTTCTAATAATCTTTAAATGGATGTTTTATTCTTTCAAGACTCGAAAAACTCCTTTAAAAACTGAAAAGTTCTATATGTTTATGAATCTATTCCAATATAAGCCTTCAAAAACCCAATTATTAAGGTTTTAAAACTCTGTCTGCTGGCCATTAAATGATTCTTTTGTTCCTGATTTGCATTAGAAATAACATCTCTGGAAGTGATCTAAAAAACCAGCAAAAAGCCAAGATCAAGTTATGACGCATTCCTTTATATTCGAAATCGAAATGGCATTAACTAATCGAATCGGTGCGCAATTCGCCGGCTATATAAACGACCTGTTCGCACTGGCTGTCATATTAGTCGCTAACTAAACTCAAATCAATATGAAGCTGCTCTCGATCACCTTCCTGCTGGGTCTCTTGGCTCTGGCCAGTGGTAAATATTAAAAAATTAAATAAATTCCAAGGATTGTGCATCAAAGTCAACTATTTTTCTTGTGTCTAGCAACTCCTCTGAATCCCGGCAATGTGATCATCAACGGCGATTGCAGGGTTTGCAATGTTCGAGGCGATTAATTATACAAATACCTTCAATAAACATCAGCAGAAGCCGAAAAACAAACTAAATAATAAACTAATTAAATGTGTAAATCCCGAAAATGTGAAATAAAAAACTGTTTTGAATTTTGTTACCTAATTAAATGGAGTGTGATTTTTTTTAGCTTTGGGTTTAGGGTGTGGTGTTTTTTCGGACGCTTTTCAAGTGTTTTTGAGGGAACTTCCCTTTTGAATAATATTACAGTACATTATGGAAAAAATAGTTAAACAAAAATATTTATTTGCTCAAAATTTATTATAGGTTTAGCAACATTTCTTGTAAATAAATGTTTCAGAAGGAGAAGTAACGCATTTTATCCTCCATGGACATTGCAATTGCGGCAGTCTCCATTTATTACAACATTTCCAGGAGCTAAGGGAGAAGCTAGTTTTTTTTAAATAAAAAGTGTAATATGAGGATCAGTTTTTAAAGGATTTAATCTATATAATTTATACTCACCACTGGCAACAGCCATAAGGGAGCCCAGAATGCAAATAATTGAAAACCACTTCATTTCGACACTTCAAGTCACAGAGCACTCGTTGAAAAAATATGGCCAGCACTTTCTTATATAGCCCTGATAAAAGTGCAAGGAAACCGCAGGAATTTTCCCGGAAAAAGTGCAACTAATAATCTTGAGATAATAAAGAAATTTCCCTAATCATGAACTTAACAATCATTTAAATACAAATGTAGTTCAAGGTCAATTTCAACCTGGAATTGCCCCTTAATCCAACAGGGGCAGGGGAATATAAATTCCCCAGAGATAAGACAATTTACGTATGGCTCTATAGGGTCTATATTATAAACAAATCATAGAGATAGGCACATCAATTAATCGCTATTTATAATAAACTAATTGTCTCTATTTAGGAGCACAATCAAAAGATCCGCTTTCTAATACATATTTAGTTTTCTTGTACCGAATTTTTGTTTATTTCTATAGTTTCTATTCTGAAATAATAATTAAATAAAAAAAGAGAAAGTAGAAAGTTTTGATTCGAAAAATTCATTTATTTAATATTATTTTTAATTATAAACTGAGCTTAAAATATAGTAAAATATTCCAAAGACCATGGCACCAGAAGTCAAAGTGTAGGAAGCAGAGCCACCATGTTCCATGGGGATAACAATATTTTCGTCGTTGTCCGGTTTATTACAATCGATGCATTTTCCATTAATATACACCTTGCCAGGAGTGGCTATAAGAAGATGTAAACAAATATTAATTCATATTTTCTTGAAGTGTATTAATAATTACCGTGAGCCACTGCCAAAAGGCAAAACAAAACCAACAGAGCTGGAACAAACTGAAGAGGTTTCATTGCTGAGTCTTGATTTCAAATGATTCTGAACTGAAAATGATGTGGCACTGGGCTTTTATATGGTATCAGTACATATATATTTCAAAAATATAATATATATTTTTATATAGATTATATGTATGTATGTATGTATACTATACATTGTATAGTAGGGTCTCGTTTTGGAGAACAAAGGTTTGAAAATGTTTTTGGGAAAGAAACCAAAGAAAATTTGAGAAGAAACGAACTCAACGCAAAAAAGCATAAATAAATAAAAATTAAAATGAAAATCTAGTTAGAAATTAAATAAAGAATATAAATATATAAAAACAAATAGTAGAGGATATATATTGTATTACAAAAACCCCAAAAGGTTTCCTAATAACACGATCCAACGTACATCTTTCTTAAACGTCAGAGATCAACTTTTTTATTGCATTTTCGTTGAAAATACTATAAATAATTAATAAAAACAAAACTAACTAGCTAAAAAACCTATAAAAAAGTATATATAGTCAGTGGAAGACAAACAAAAGTCTATATATGCTGTTTTCTCAGTGAAATCATATACTAGCAAATATTATATATAGCCTCAATAATTGATTTCCTGTAAATTTGTAAAATAATATCACCCTCTACCACCTTAAAAAATAATAAATATTTTTTAAATTTAAAATTTTTTTATTAAATTTGTCTTTTTTATTTATGACTTATTTGTAACATAATTTATATGGCGGTGTAAATCGAAAACTTTGGCCAATATTTCAGCGTATTCTTCCATCTTCCATCGGCAGCCTTAGGCCCTCACGTTGCAAACACGGCAGTCTCCGTTGATGATGACATTGCCAGGATTCAGGGGAGTGGCGGAGGACACTAAGCAAAGTAAATAATATTAAGTTATGTGTTAAATAAGAAAACAAGCTTCGTTTACTTACCACCAGCCAGGGCCAGCAGACCGAAGACAAAGGCGAGCGACAGGAATTTCATTGTGAGTTTTGGTTTTGTTTTTCGAGGTATGGTACTCGGGGAGTTAGCTCTGACAACTGATGCTGGAAATGTAGAAATCCGAGGCTTATATAGCTCAGGTCTAGGGTGATGCTGCTGGTGTTGTTATCAAGATGTTGCTGCCGGGAAAAGTCGCACCGCCAAGACAGATACTGCACTGGGTGGGAATCGCCCGGTTCAGTGGGCTGCCGCCAGGTACTCCCCCCACTCGACTGGCACCTCCTCCTTCCAAAAAACCAGAAATTCCCCGGCTGCAGTGCTACGTCGTTCTCAATGAAATTGAGCGTAAACAAGTGCAAGCTGATAGCCCGGGGCGAGTGGGGAAAATCACTCGGTCCGTCCAGAGACAGATTCTATTCACGTGCGATTTTAAGTCTCGAAACCTGATTTCATTTGGCCTGGCGCCCCACCGTTTAATTTCCAAGTATTAATACCCGTTCCTCCGGCTCTAGACTTCTCTAATACCAGACCCACTGCACACTCGATTCTGAGGAATCCATTACGCAAAATAAACATGTAAATTAAGAACGAATTAATTAGCAAGACTGGTGCGAAATAAAGGTAAACTTGCACTTTAGAAAACTCAAGTCAACAAACCAACGATTGTTGAAAAAATAATCCTCTGCGAAAGCCATATATCTGGCAATTCTTATCCGATCCTTGAGCGAAGTACCTTTATCGATTCGTGGATCGATTCTCCATCGATCTGCATCAAAATCTAGAAACAAATTATTTTTTTAATTTTTTGTCAAATTTTCTAGGGGTCCCCCTGCAAAAGTTGGAAAATGCATGGGACGCACAATATGGCCCAGCCCGAAGGCTATATCTCTTCCAATTCTTATCCGATCCTTGAGGGGAGTACCTTTATCGATTCGTGGATCGATTCCCCATCGATCTGCATCAAAATCTAGAAACAAATTATTTTTTCAATTTTTTGTCAAATTTTCTAGGGGTCCCCCTGCAAAAGTTGGAAAATGGATGGGAGGCACAATGAGAGCCACGCCGATGGCCATATCTCTGGCAATTCTTATCCGATCCTTGAGCGGAGTACCTTTATCGATTTGTGGATCGATTTTCCATCGATCTGCATCAAAATCTAGAAACAAATTATTTTTTCAATTTTTTGTCAAATTTTCTAGGGGTCCCCCTGCAAAAGTTGGAAAATGCATGAGAGGCACAATGAGAGCCACGCCGATGGCCATATCTCTGGCAATTCTTATCCGATCCTTGAGAGGAGTACCTTTATCGATTTGTGGATCGATTTTCCATCGATCTGCATCAAAATCTAGAAACAAATTATTTTTTCAATTTTTTGTCAAATTTTCTAGGGGTCCCCCTGCAAAAGTTGGAAAATGGATGGGAGGCACAATGAGAGCCAGGAGTACCTTTATCGATTTGTGCATCGATTCCCCATCAATCTGCATCAAAATCTAGAAACAAATTATTTTTTCAATTTTTTGTCAAATTTTTTTTGCAGGTCCCCCTGCAAAAGTTGGAAAATGGATGGGAGGCACAATGAGAGCCACGCCGATGGCCATATCTCTGGCAATTCTTATCCGATCCTTGAGCGGAGTACCTTTATCGATTTGTGGATCGATTTTCCATCGATCTGCATCAAAATCTAGAAACAAATTATTTTTTCAATTTTTTGTCAAATTTTCTAGGGGTCCCCCTGCAAAAGTTGGAAAATGCATGGGAGGCACAATGAGAGCCACGCCGATGGCCATATCTCTGGCAATTCTTATCCGATCCTTGAGGGGAGTACCTTTATCGATTTGTGGATCGATTCTCCATCAATCTGCATCAAAATCTAGAAACAAATTATTTTTTCAATTTTTTGTCAAATTTTCTAGGGGTCCCCCTGCAAAAGTTGGAAAATGGATGGGAGGCACAATGAGAGCCACGCCGATGGCGATATCTCTGGCAATTCTTATCCGATCCTTAAGCGGAGTACCTTTATCGATTTGTGCATCGATTCCCCATCAATCTGCATTAAAATCTAGAAACAAATTATTTTTTCAATTTTTTGTAAAATTTTCTAGGGGTCCCCCTGCAAAAGTTGGAAAATGCATGGGAGGCACAATGAGAGCCACGCCGATGGCCATATCTCTGGCAATTCTTATCCGATCCTTGAGGGGAGTACCTTTATCGATTTGTGGATCGATTCTCCATCAATCTGCATCAAAATCTAGAAACAAATTATTTTTTCAATTTTTTGTCAAATTTTCTAGGGGTCCCCCTGCAAAAGTTGGAAAATGGATGGGAGGCACAATGAGAGCCACGCCGATGGCCATATCTCTGGCAATTCTTATCCGATCCTTGAGGGGAGTACCTTTATCGATTTGTGGATCGATTCTCCATCGATCTGCATCAAAATCTAGAAACAAATTATTTTTTCAATTTTTTGTCAAATTTTCTAGGGGTCCCCCTGCAAAAGTTGGAAAATGCATGGGTGGCACAATATGACCCAGGCCGAATGCCATATCTCTGCCAACTTTTATCCGATCCTTAATCGGAATACCTTTATCGATTTGTGGATCGATTCTCCGCCAATCTGCATCAAAAATGTTTTTTTAAAAATCCTGTTCCCTGTAAATGTGTAGAAATAAAAGGTAAAAATGCAAAGTATTTAAGTGTTTTTGTTATATTTTATTTTTGTATTGTTGGCATTTTGTTGTGTTTTGTCTAAGTTCTACGATTTTAATTTTTTTACAATGTTTTAAGCTTAAATATTGTTACTTCGGGTTGAGGTAAGCTATGGCCATCATGGACAGTCCCGATCCGTCTACTTTCCACCGTGGACATTGCAGTATTTGCAGTCGCCGTTGATGATGACATTGCCGGGATCAGGGGACAGGGGAACAGCTATTTAGAAAATATTAGAAAAATTTATTTAATAAAATATGTATTAAAAAAAAATATAGTTGTTTAAACTCACCATTGGCCAGAGCCAAGAGGCCGAGCACGAAGACGGTGACAACTGAGAAGAATTTCATGGTGATTGGATTGGGATTGATTCCGGTTTGAGTTTGCAAAAGTGCTAAATGCTCTTGGCAATTGATTGGCTTCAACTGATGCTCTCTGGTAGCGGAACCCGATCTTATATAGCCCAGACTGGGATCGTATAATGCTCAGGTGCAGTGGCTGCGAGCTACGAGCTACTGATTCTGATAACCCCCGACAAATAAGACGCGTTTGGGAAAACACAGAATGTTAAGCGCTCTTCGCTATAAACAATTTAATAGTATATTTTGCGTATTGCAATCTGGAAATTCCAGTCTAGGGTTTACTGCTCTGTTCTGTCAGTAATGTAAGACTTGTATTAAATAAAAGATAAAAGTTATTAAAAGAGCATAGATATGATGCAAATTCGATTTGAAGACTGACTGTTTACTCTCAGTAAAAATTTAAAAAGAAACCCAACACGTGTTTAATAAAAAACATCAATAACCTACAATATATAAAAGCATTAGAAATAAGTTAGTCGTATTACGAAATACAAGATTTTTTAGAGATTCTATATTTTCCAAGGAAATACTATAGTCTATCAGGAATATACTTTTTATTTATTTTTAAATACCATTTTTTTTAAATAAAAACTATTTATTTCTTATCTCTGTAAGTATGAAGGTCAAAACATTACCTTTGTCTGAAAATAATGTAAAAATTATATAGATTACAAAGCCAAAAGTAAGTCCAGCTTAATCCAAGATTACCTATATTAGGTGCATATATTTAAATATATATTTATTTAGATTACTGATTGGTAATCGTCGGAACGGGTATATAAACAAACAGCCACTGGGGAACCAGCTAGTGATCAAGTCAGGCGTAGAACCGCATTATGAAGAGCCTGACGCTATTGGCTTTCTTGTTTTTGGCCTTTGTGGCCTTTGTGCAAGGTCAGTGAAGTACTTATTCCCCAAAAAACACATCTAACTCTGATCTATTCAACAGCTGGCAAGGTGAACATCAATGGAAAATGCATCGATTGCACCCATGATCGTCCCACCACCACCACCCGCAAGACACCCACAGCTAGCAGGGGTCGCAGCCCCCAAACTACAAAGAAACCCAAGGCCTCCGGTCGGAAAGCGCCATCCTCCTCCGAGGAAGATGGTGTCTGGGATCTGGCTCAGACCTCTGGAGGAGCCCAGACCATTGCAAGGCGGCACAGGCGCCAGGGGGGCCAGTACATTGATTTGGGCCGTGGAGGCGGTGGCTGGTCAGGCAATGGACAGGTGACCACCTACGATTCCCGCGGCTATCCTGGAACCCTGGTGAGGAACAGCGACTGCGTGGTATGCAATATTCGAGGATAAATACTATAATTATAATTATAATGTAATCATCGCACATCAAAACTTTGTAACACAATCCGAATAAACTTGTGTCAAGCTTGTGGGGAAAATAATTTCTATAGAATTATCTTCCAATTGAACTGGTTTCTGGGGCAAATCCCCATCCCACTCCAGCAATCTGGTTTCCATAAACAACGCAATCGAAAACGCTTATAAGCTTTGGGCTATGGTCTTCCCGCGAGTAGACTCTCTTCGCATCCAGATCGAGAATGAAGTGTTTCATATTTGCCACTGCCGTTGTCCTGGCCTGCCTGGCCTCCCTGGTGACAGGTAACCACAGAAAAGCCATAATCCTTCTTTGGAGCACGTTTCACTCATTATTTCGTTACTCTTTCAGCCGGAAATGTGATTATTGGCGGCGCCTGCCGCGATTGCAGCCCTCCGGTGGCGGAAAATGTCGTGATCGGGGGCAAGGCCTACAGGACTGGCAGGCCCGGGCAGGGTAATGTCTTCATTGGCTCCCCGGAGGCGTATCCCGGTGCCCTGGGTCCTCAGGTGTCTCGCGAGGGACCTCGGGTCATCGCCGGAGGACCTTCTATTGGTGGCCCCTCTGGAACCCGGTACCCCGATGGCTACAGCGGCCGTGTTCCAGGTGGCACTTACCTCCACAACCAGGACTGCGTCGGTTGCAGCATTAGCGGGGGCGGAGACTAAGACTGGGGTTGCTAAGAGTGACTGGGAGAGAATGTAAATAAATTTTTAAAAATAATAAAATTCATCTTTAAATATTAATATTTTTTAAATATATTTTTTAAATATAAATTTTGTATTAATGAAGTTATTAATTGGTTAAGCATTATGAAGGGTTTTCTTTGCTTCACCAAATTTTGAAAAGTCTTTCAGATGAAGTTTTTTTTAATACCCCTATGAGGCTTTTCTTAATTAAAAAGTAGTATTTCCTTTAATGACAAAATTTTAGTATTTCAAAAAATAGATATATTTTTTCTAAATGTTCCTATATTTTCGCAAATCTTCTAAAGTCTAAACTCATATCAATCTTTCTTTGAATAACAACTTGGAGTTCACTGCACTTTAAAATAGTGACTAATAATCCACAATCATCTAGAAATACTGCTTAAAAACCGTTACAGTCCCCCTTAGATAGACTTATTTGTTATTTTTAATCAAAAACATGCAGATTTCTGATTCTGGTTTAAATGCTAATCAACTTGGCACGCGAAACAAATAAATAAGAAAATAAATAAACAAAGTGCATGGAACCTGTTCTTAAATGTTTGTTTATAAACGAATTATTGAAACAAAGCATTAAAATATTCTTTAAAAAAATATATATTTAAAAAAGACTATTATTTTAAAGACAGATTTAATATAAGTTCCATTTACGTAATTTTTATTAATATTGAAAAATATAAAATTACAAAACAAATCAGGCAATCATAAGCTTTAAAGCTGCGGTTTTCTAGGTACGTTATCAAATGAGGGGATTTTGAATTGATTCGTTGGGCGAATGGGAAAATCCTATCTTATTTGCAATATTGTAGGGTATTTTCTGATCTTCTGGCATTACTCACCTCGCTCCGGGGCCATATAAAGTGCAGTAATGGACCAGACCCGGTTAGTGTCTCGTCTCAAGTGTAGCCGTCATGAAGTGCTTTTCATTATTTTGTGCCTTGCTGGCGCTCCTCTCGCTCCTCGGTCTCGGAAGTACTTGTAAGTAAATTGAGTTCATCTTGCTAAAATTTTGATTTATTTGATAAACGTGGTCCCGCTTCCAGACTCCATACCCAAAATAACTATTCGAAATGGAGATATTACAGTCCATGGCGACTGTCACGGCTGCAATGTGAAAGCCACCAAAAATTCGGCACATTTGTCATGGAAACACACCTACACATGGAAATCCAGAGGATAATTTTATTAAAATGTGATTTTTTACCAACATGATGCACTGCTTGCCATATAAACAAATAAGTTATTAAATTATTAAATATTTAAAATAAGCGAGAAGGGCTTTTGATTAGCAGGGAAGGTCTAGGTATAGATATTCTTATAACCCCTTAGTTTCCATCATATACCTGTCTTCACTGTACTGAATTAATAACAGCCAAATTGCAATGTTCTCGTAAATTTGTCATAAACTTCAAGACCTGGTCGTAAATCATTCCAGAGGCCAGAAAGAGGTTCCGTTTCGGCTTCTGTTTTATGACTCATTGGTGGAAATATTTTCAACAAAAAGCATAAAAATTGCCATCATATTTGACTTTACCCGAGGACCGAGGATCCGGGCTTGGTTTGGCCCCGGTTCTTACACGTGTTTTCATCCACTTTCCTTGCGGCAGACTTTTCCGCTTTTTTCCGCTCGGGCCGAGCCCGTGGCCCGTGTCCTTTGTAAGGATGTTTTATTGCCAAAGAAAACCAAACGAAGGCAACCGCTGTGCGCCTGTAAATGACTCCCCAGGCACCTTTATATTGACTCGTAAAATTGCGACATTTAGTTGTGTGTGAGAGCGGAAACACCCACACAGAAACCATCCTCCTGGTAGTCCTGGTAGTATACCTGCCACCCCTTGGTCTGTGGGCCCCTTTTTACTTCCGGCAGTTGTCTTTGGCCCGATTTTTATTTGTTTTTTTTTTTTTATTTTGGAGAAAGGTTTCTTAAAGCTTTAAATTTGATTTTTATTTGTACAAGCATTGTAATCGACAAACGATTTTTTTGTAAAACCCTCTTTCCATTCTTTAAAAGGAAATGAGATTTTAGGAAAAGCACTTCCTTTAGCTTCCGCCTTTTTTAATAAAATACTTTTCTTGGCTAACCATTTTTGATTAATTTCTTTGGAGAGAATACCAAGTAATTAATTAAATTTTTCAAGCACTTCAACCGAAAGCAGTGCCATTTTTCATAATTTAATTCATTTTCATTTTCATTTTGGTTTCCACTGGCCCATGGAAATTGCGCATACGCACAGTTGCCCCCAGAGAAGATGGAATGAAAAGGATTCTTTCATTATTTTTCTGCATCTCTTTTATTTTTACTTTATTTTATTGTATGTTTTGCTTTTTAAACCCCATTTTTTAAATCACGAATCAAGTGTGTATTCTGCAATTCAACATCAAAAATTACAAAAATATTGTGTATTTTTCGAAAAATAAACATTTTTCTACCCCACCACATTGAAAAAATCCTTCGGATGCAACTGTCACTGCAACCTAATTACGCTGCCCCCAACATTTCACCCTCGGGACAGTTGACATCGAACCGAATATGCAATCAAATTTTGCCAAACACTGTATTTTCCTGCTGCCATGCGGCCCTGCCACATGAGGCCCGGACATATGACCAACAAAAAAAAGGAGGGTGGTCAGGAAACAATTGCCAGACCACGCCCTTGGGCCGGCCCACCGCAAGCCAACATAACCAACAACAGCAGAAGCCACCCAACCACCACCCCCGTACAACCCAACAGACGCACCACCACCACCACCACCCCCAGGCCCAGCACTTGGTCATTCAATTTTGCAATCCCTCCGCCCTCGGGCGCTTGCATTATGCAGCTTACCTCGAATTGATTTCATTTTCGTAATTACCTCACCGATTGCCTCGGCCGGCCACCGCCCCAAAATATCCATCTGTGCATTCTGCCGTTGCCCAGTTGCACTGCGAAAAATTTTAGGGGAGTATGGTGGACATTTTTCATCAAAAATTGTTTTGGTTTCTTAGTTAAGTTAGAAGAAGAAACTGGAAGTAAAACCGTCATGAAACCACTATTAAGGATAACAGGAGTACTTTTACAACATTTTAGTGACGAAACTGATGAAAGAACCCTCTTAATAAGATATCCAAGTCAAATCGATTATAAAATCTTATTTAAGTACTTATAAATTAAGTGATTAAATATTAAATTGAAAAGACAAAAATATACCCTTTTAAAATGCATTTTTCAAAGTAATATCAGTTTGATGACGAAAATAGTTACATCTAGAAACACATCATTTAATACATTTACTTTAAATTTATGTTCCTATCATTTTTTTTAATAATTACTAAAAATGATTAAATTTAAGGTTTTATTAGATTAAACAAAATAATGAATGAACAAGATTTTAAGGCACTTTTCAAAATAATAATAATAATAACTTTCGTGACGATAATGCTTCTACTACTATCCAAGCCCAGTTCCTTCTTATTTAAATTATAATGCTTTTCTCATTCATAATCGTAAATTTAGTATTTAATTTAATATTTAATATTAGCCCATTTCCCACCGTGTCTTGCCATCCTTTCGGCCATCGACAGTCTGTGGCGAGCGAATGGGGGTTCGGGGGTTCGGGGGTCGAGCTGGCTTAACGAGTTGATTAAATGCTGTAATTGATGGAATTGCGAATTGGGGATGCAAAGGTGTAAATGATCGGCTTGGAATGCCGCCTGGATAAACATGTCATTGTCGTTAGACGGTGCCGGCCTCCAAAGTGAGTGGGGATAGCCCGGGGCAGCACCTCTCCTGGGTCGGAAATCATCAGTGGGCATCAATCAAAGGAGCGCCGAGAATGTGAGCGTATTCATTTCATAAATATTTGCGGCAAGGGTCGAGTCCATAGACCCTTTTTTACAAAAAAAAAAGGGCAAACAAAAAGGTTGAAATAAAAAATGATTTAAAAATTGAAAGGATTATGGGCGAGCAGCAACGGAGCGCGTTAATGTTGATGGTTGGATGGCTGACTGAGATGGGATGGGATGGGATTCTTCTCTCATGGGTCGAATATTGGGGATGCCAGGGGGCAGGGCACTCCGACTGGATGGTTGGTTGGCTGGCTGGTATTTTGCTGGTGTCGCTGTCAGTCAAACAAAACCGGGCCGAAATCAACGACGACACAAACAAAACGAAGGCTGGGTCAGCAGACTCCCAGACTCGTCCACGTTCTTGCCGGTCAACAATATAATTTGAACAGGAATGAAAAATAAACGAGACACACGAGCTGGCCAGTCACTGATTTCGAAAGGGTGCCCCAGGAAGGTCCGAGGGAGGGGGGATACATACACAGAAAAAATAACAAAGCGTGCAAATTTTTTTGTACATTTTTTTTTTTTAGAAATCAAATCAAATATGTGAATCAAGTTGTTTGTTTTTAGGAAACCGGAATAGAGAAGCTAAATGCTAACACAGTGATAAGAAACATACTAAATTCTAAACAAAAATATTTAATTAAAGAGGTGGATATAAAAATATTAATTATTTCTAAACATTTCTTAATAAATATTATATTTTTTTGTCACTGTTCGGGGTCTAGTTTCATTAAATTGGAAACAATTTCAATTTGTTCACTTCAATCCTTTCCCTCAGTCAACCAGGGTGTAGTCCAATATAGTCCTTTAGATACACTAAGAAAAATATTTTTTAATCAAAATATATATTAAAGATATGGAGGTTCTTAAAGATACCAAATTAAAGCTTAAAGTATCTCAAAAATTAATCATTTTTCATGCAAAGTCTTCTTGGTTTAAAATCCTTATTTTTTTATAGTGTCCTGCATCCCTATGCCTTCCTAAAATATTAATTCTTTTCTTGTTTAATTATTTATAATATTTTTATTTTCCCTTTCATACATAACACCTTTATTTCATTATTTAATAGACTTTTTATTATTCCAGCTATAAAAGTCCCTGCTATTTTTTGCTGTTTCTGCAGACACATGAAAGGACTTTTTTATGTCCTCCCCCTGCCTCTGCCTGGAGAAATCCTTCTGCTAATACTACACACACACACTCA